GTATTATGCACTTACTCCTTTACTCAGGGAATCTTCAACCCAACATCTCTCTAAACTCTATATTTAGAGTGGCTACCATGAAATCTCATTACTTTTATAGTTTCAACAGTGTCAATATCTCCAACCCATTCTCTCTATAATTCCATCTAAATAAATATTTTTTTATATTCTTTTGTTAATAATTTTATTTTATTATTAATAGTGTTTGTAATATGCATTTTAATGTTCTCAAGTAGTGAAAGTATACATATAGAAATATGATCAATAAATTAAATTATTATTATTATTATTATTAATTATTAAATTAAATTTTCAATATATGATTCAATTAATTATACCTAACAATGTTTATTAAATATTAATCATATTAAACAAATTGGTAATGGTAAAATATTAATCATATTAAATATTTCATATATTATGTTTATTTATATTTTCAGTTATGCTATTTAAGAATTAAGTAATAATACATTTTAGTGAATTACAATAATTAACTCATATTACCAAATAAAATACAAGGCTCAAGATAACCCAAAGCTTAAGGAATTACTAAAAGTTTCAAATATATACGGCCCAAGGTGAACAAAATTGGCTCAAAAATATCAAAAGCCCAACAAAATCCTAATTTGACCCAAAAAATAGAATAAAAAAATCATAAATAAAGGAGATAGGGGCCACCCGGATGAAGGAGCGGATGAACAGAACTCTTTCAGCCATGGCGGAGAGTGGAGCTCTTTGGCGGGGATAACGGAGCGGGGTAGGGTCCGTTGGAGCACTAACTCCTCCAAATCGATTTAGCGAATGCGTTGGAGATACTCTCATAATAAACATGTCAATAGGTAGAATATTTCATTTACTTGTTGCGCTTACATCTTTCTTTCTTTTATTTGTGATTGCAAATGTAATTTTTTTTTATATCGTAGGGTGTCTATCGTAAGTAAAATTGACTAATCCTCTTCACTTATAATAGGCACTGCATGAGTGAGAGAGCTGGCCATGTGATAAATTTAATACAATTATTATTGTTGGGTTCACATCCTCGTCCACAAATTAAGAATTCCTACCTCAAAACACCAGTTACAAGCGCTGAATGAACAACCATCATAGCTCACATCACCCTTGGATTCTAAATTTTATTTCCCTCTAATTTTAAAAATAAGTTGTTTTTGTCCCTATTTAATTAACCACTTCACTTTTCTATTTTTCCATATACACCTATTTAGCCTAGCTGGGACGTAAAAGCATGCCCAAGTTGTTGTCTGTCAACCCATTCGTGGCTTAAAAGGAAATCCATCCAAACCCGAAAAGGGCATCTGAAAATGGTTAAAATAAAAATGGAATCATATCATGCTGTCACTCTGTCAATGCCATCACAAGCCCATCACAATCCCATCTAATTTACTTTATGAGTTTATACTTTATACTGTTGTTAAATTAACAAACAAAATGCACGGCTTTCACACAGTGACCATGTAAAGCAACTTTTTGTGGCATACTATTTTTTTTATCATAGTATACAGTGTTTAAATCATATTAATCACTGGTTAATCCTTGACTATGCGATTCTCATTACTGTCAAAATTTACAATAATATTATAATTTCAACTCACCATGTGATTACGTTAAATGTGATGTATTTAACGTTTGATTGGTGACAGAGCTGGCATAAATATAACCGTGTCAATCAATTTTGTTTATAAACAAACGGAATGTTTTGAGTTTCCGACTCAAGAAAGAAGTTACTTATAAGTTCAGAGTTTTAATAAAAAGGTTACGAGTTCAATTTAAATAAGCAACATCTCTCCTATCCCTCAAAAATGAAAAAACAACGCCAAACGATGTTCAAGTCAATTGGGAATTTTATACAAGATGGGCGTGTTACTGAAAGTAGTTACACATAGAGTGGAGCATCATTGCTACTCACATGATAAAGGGGTGATGTGAATTGTGATGCTCTAGTAAAAGAAGTACATTTCAGATAGGGGATCTGGGAAATCTAGCTATTGAGAACTTGAGCCTAAAAGCATCTCAATTTTACCTCAAAAGAGCAAAACAAAATCTAAAAGTGGGAACTTCTACTTTCCCATCAGATTGTTTTTCAACATTTTTTAGGTCTTTTTTTGAGCACTTTATATCAAGCACCATCAGGCTAGCTGTATACTTTTTTCATTTATCACAAATATCACTACTACTGGCTATTCCAAAAGGGAATTTGGCATGGCAATCGAATTTCAATTCATTGATTGACCTTTGGAGGTTTACTCCATCCTTTTTCACATCTACCATCATCATAGTGCAAGAAAAGAAGCACAATGTTAAAAAGGGGGAAAAACAAAAGCATCTTTGAGACTTTAGGAAGCAAAAACACAGGAGCGGCATATTGACTTCGAAGGCATCCCTATTTTCCTATCACGCCCCCACCTCTTCTATAATTACTAAACTCATCGATGCATGGAAAGTATTATTTACTCATAGATTCATAACATATTTAAAAAAAAAAAAACGAGTTTGCAAATATTGGTAGAGGCGAAGATTAAATGTAACAAACATCGTCCAAAAAAAGGAAAAAAAGAGTCCAGTTATTTTTAAACACAACAAGAAGGCGAAAACCATCATAAACAGTGTTTAGTGTAAATGCCCGTGATAGAATTCTCCTTCATGCAAACTAAGAACTCCTGTCTTAGAATGATTATGCAGTTTAAAATTTTCTTTTATCATTATTTAAATTAAAAAAATAAAAATTCAAACCGAACAATTATTTTGAGAACACAGGAATATATAAATACCAATAACTCAAAATTATAGTTTTAATTTTATTAATTTTTTAAAAAACAATTATATTTTCATCTTTATGCTTCCCCAAAATTATGTCAGTTCCAACTCGACGGAATAATTGTTTGGACCACTTAAACACTTTGGAGATCTGGATTCAAAAAAATTTTCTTGGCTGGTATTATGGTGTCCTTAGCATAATTAGCAGACAATTAATTAACAAATTAAGGGGCGTTTTGAGCCTATAATAATATATCCCAGTCTTCCTTTGACCAGAATACCCAGATAGATAATACGCCCTTAGTTAGGACACCAAATATATAATAAGTAACTAATTGTGTTTCCTCATTAAGGACTTCTAAACAAATGCATAAACAAACAAGCTTAGATTTGGAATCAAGATGGGGACAGTACAATCTGATGCTGTAAAAAATTTGTGAGATACACGTGGGGATTGTACGATAAAAACCAATTAATATCTGATTATCCATGCTGTCTGAACTCTGAACTTTGACAACTTGAAATCTTAATTAATCTTTTTTTCCCCTTAATTTCATCTCCTCGGAATTCACCCCTCGTCTTTTATGGCCTCATCGAACTCCCAGATTACCGAAAGCCGGTTGGGGCTCTGTAATTGGTGCTTCCACAATTTTTTACCATTTCCTATTACCGACCACCGAAAGTTTTTATTAGAAGTAATAAACCACCAATTTGAGTTTTTTTTTTTTTGGTACGCTTTGGAGTGACAAATTAATACTCCTTCCTTCCCAACACGCCTCTTTGTAGGACGGAAGGAGTAATTAACCGTTTTACCGTAGAGAAAAATTCATGTAGTGAAATGATTGATCAATAACTCATACAACATACATAATACATAAGGTAGTTAAATTTATCACGCAGAATGTATATTGTGTATATCAGTCAGTCAGTGAATCAGTTCGGAAATCTTTATTTTTATCATTATATCGAATGTGAAATGCTTCTCCTACACATCAGCTATAACGTAAGTGTCCTGAAATTTGGAGGAGTGAAACCTAGGTTTTGCAATGTCTGAGGAATGTTGCATGGGCGTTGCGAAACACATTCCCCATTTAACAAGGAACACTGTTTTCCTTTTGGTTGGTCAAATTATCATTTTAATTTTTGTCGTTACCGTATTATGTTTGAGCCTAGCTGCCGTATATTTTGGGGCACGCGAACTTTATATAGTTTTTGTAAAAGGCGCTGAACTTATTTTTATCAAGAGAATGGAAGAAAACCCTCTTAATTTCTTTGCTTCTTTTATTTTCATTTTTTTTTTTTTTGTAGAATGTCCCATAAGTCATCCAGTCAAAGATCAATTTATTTAATAAATTTTGAATCTGCATGCATGCAGATGGTTAATAAGTTGTTAATTTGGAGAAAAGAGGTTATATAAGGTGAAAATATTGACAAGCAAATATTACACGTGTCAAATGAGGATTGAAATACATATATGATTCTTTTACAAAAACAAGGTATTTTTATACTGAACGGTTAAAATACTTACTCCCTACGTCCCATAATTATTGTCCTGTACGTGCGTATGAGTTTAGGAACGAGTAGAGAAAGAATATCCGCCCAAAAATTTGAGTCGAGAATACTCCAGAAGTGATTTCAACAAGGAAGGAATAATAAGCAAATAAATAAATCTTAAGTTTAAGTGCCCACTGGAATTCTTCTTCTCGTGGACAAATCATTTCTCGAAAATATTTGCAACCTTTTCTGTTCTTAAAAGATTGTTCAAATTGGATTTTCATGTTTAATTACGAATATTTCAGAAATTACAATTGAAATCTCACAGGACTAAATATTTTCCTTAACTAAAATAATCAAGGACTAAATTTGTAGGTATTTGATGACTACTAAAAACTACTTATACACACTCATTAAAAATGGTGAACCATGAACCATCATCATTAATTGAGTCGACAAACTTTGATTAAAACAAGCAATGGTTCCTAGTCAAAATGATTTGGCGTGTTGACCACATAATTCTTCTCATTTCATTTCTTAGATGGTAATTATTTTAATTAATTAAACTGTAATAATCTCCGTCTTCGTGTGAATTTTTGTTTTTGTTTTTTTTTTTTATTTCCCTTCTTTGATTTTTTAAAGAAATAATTTATATTAGTAATAATCATAGAATATTGAGACCCTCACCTGAAGTCCCTAAGGGGATCCAACTCCAAAGCACGAGACCAATACACATTATTTACATCTATGTGATAGTGTTGGCCACTAACATCATTCTACCCTTTCCTTTTTCCTCCCTTTTCACTTACCTGTCTCCTTCTATATATATACACACACACACACACACAAATTCACCTAAAAGAAAAAAAACTCCGGCTTCACTGAATTTGGAAGATTGAGAGTGCGAGTTGATAAAAAATGGAAGGAGGAAATAATCGTTTTCTGGGATGGAAGAAAAGCCCAAGAAATTGGCTTCAAGATCATCATCATCATCATCATCATCATGTAGATGAGGCTGATCATGAATCATCCATAGCTCTGCCTTCTGTGCCTCCACCAGAAACACCCAAGGAACCAATGGAGTTCTTGTCAAGATCTTGGAGCCTTTCTGCTTCTGAAATCTCCAAAGCCCTTGCCCAGAAAGAGAAATTAGAGAAGCAATCTTTTGAGAAGAAACTCAATTCCATTCCTGAAACTGTCTCTCCAAATCATCACCACATTGTAAGTTTCACTTCAGCTAATTGGTTAAAAATTTGATCTTTTTTTACTCTTTTTTTTTTTTTTTGTTGCACTTCTAAAACTTGAATCTTTTTTGCAGGCTGGGAAGGTTATGATTCCGGTACCTCAGGGGAGAAAATCAGGGCCAATTGGGAGGTGGTTTCAACACAAGGAATCTAACCATAACACAGTGAAGAAAAAGGATAAAGCAAGGATGGAAAATGCTCATATGCATGCTGCTTTATCGGTTGCAGGATTGGCAGCAGCATTGGCTGCTGTGGCTGCAGCAGAGAACAAGAAAGACACAAGCTCCAAGATGACTGCAGCTATGGCTTCAGCTACAGAGCTTCTGGCATCCCATTGTATAGAATTGGCCGAATCGGCCGGAGCCGGCCACGACCGTGTTGCCACCGCCGTCAGATCAGCCGTTGATGTCCGGGGAGCGAGTGATTTAGTTACCCTAACTGCTGCAGCTGCAACTGGTAATTTAATTTATATTCAGAGTGTTTTTCTCTGTTTTTTGTGTTCCATTTTGGTGTTCTGTTTCTGAAATTGATTTTTGGGTTTATTTTTGTTTAAAAGCTCTGCGTGGAGAAGCAGCTCTGAAAGCAAGATCACCAAAAGATGCTAAGAAGAACGCATCTATTAGTCCATGTGACAAGAGTTTAGCAGAAACTCAGTCTTTCTCTGCTTGTGATTATGAAGCTGCAGAAGTTCCCTGTGTTGGTGATTTGTTGCAACACACAAGAAAAGGTGATTTCCCTCTAGCAATACATATTAAGCAATCTAATAACCAGAAACAATCTCTGAAATTAAATGAAGCATTAAATTGCAAAAAGAAAGTTTTTATTTTATCAATTCTCAGAGTTCCTCATTGAGCTTTGAACTTCTCAGGTGCTCTGCACTGGAAGCATGTTTCTGTCTACATCAACAAGAAATCTCAGGTACTTAATTAAACCAGAAAAACCCCCCCAAATGAACCAAATTTGAAGCCCCTTTTGACTAAAGTTGCTTACTTTTACAACCGAAAACTTGCACAGCTAATGCCAACTTGTTAACCTCCTGGCAGGTCAAACTCAAAATAAAAAGCAAACATGTAGCCGGGGCATTTTCCAAGAAGAACAAATGTGAGTCTGCAACATTTTGTAATACATTATGTATGTATTTGCAAGCAGTGAATCAGGAGAAAGTAGTTTTGTTTGCTAATAAATACTATTTACTGAATCTGCAGGTCTTGTTTATGAAGTTTGTGATGACATTGCTTCATGGCCATTCAAGAAAGAAAGGGAAAACGTGGAAGTCTATTTCGGAGTGAGAACTGCTCAGGGTCTGGTTGAATTCAAGTGTAAGAACAAAGGCCACAAACAGAAATGGGTAGATGGGATTCAAGACCTCCTAAGGCGATCCAGTTTCATGGAAGATTCCGATAATTCTACCAGAATGTTAAACATTAATTATAGCATCTAGTTTTTCTACATTTTCTTGTTTTGGGTAATAGTAAACTTAGTTCATATTGAAATTCAGAAAAGTAACAAGTGAAGTGTTTTTTTTTTTTTTTTGGTTTTTTTGGTTGTGTGCACTTGCTCTAAATATCAGCAAAATGTGAGAGCTATGTGCCAATTTGTACAAAAGTTTGCACATTCGTTTCTGGTAGTTACATTATAAGATGAATCCATTTGCAAATAGCTGTAGAACAGGATTTTGAAGATCTTTGAAGCAAATAGTGTTTTTTTTTTCTTTTCTTCTTGAGCTAAAAACATTGAAAAATTATAAGGCACTTCCAATAAGTGCTAATGTTTACACTGAAAATCAGGCTCCTCTAAAGAGTGCAGTTTAACTAATAAACAAACCTATTTTCTAGTAGGGGAATGAATTATCTCAATCCAGCTTTTGTGAATGCATCTTCAAAATCATCATTGCGGTCATACCGAAACACCTCAGCTATCTCACAGTTGAAGTAGTTTTCAATCTTTTTTATCAGCTTCTTATCCCTGTCATTGCAAAGTAGGTTGAAGACGGCGCGCCTTAGCGCCCGAAGCGACCGGCTCTACAACGCGACGCAGGTATCCCTCATGAAGATCTCTTTGCTGATGGTCTGATCAACAAAAGCTCTGACATTGTCATTGAACGTGGCGGAAAACAGAACCACCTGGCAATCAGGGCTGCTTTGAACAATTAATCTCATAATCTTTTTCGACGAATCTCTGAAAGAACCCTCTGCAAGCATATGATCCGCTTCGTCGAATACAAGTATCTTCATGAATCTCAAGCTCAGTTTCTTCGATGTGATCAAACTGTCAATTGTTCCAGGGGTTCCGATCACAACCTGAGCGGTGATCGGAACCCGTTTCCGAACCGGAATAGTCCCGTTTAGAGCTAATTCCGATTGAATTCCGGTGAACTTCCCCATCTTTACTAAGACTTCCATGTTCTGGATGGCCAATTCTCGTGTTGGGCAGATACAGAGTGCCAGAGAGTTTTGGGTCGATTCTGCTTAACATTCCGAGAACAAAACAGGTTGTTTTTCCAGACCCATTGAGGGCTTGAGCCACCAGGCTCTTATACGGCGTGGAAAGAATCATTGGCAAAGTAACGGCCTGAATCTTACCGGGTTTTTCGAATTTCATCTCCAGATATAACCCCTTCAAGAGTTCAGGGGGATAGGTTCAAGTCTTCGAATTTCTTGGCTGATTCATATATGGTATCCCCAGTGGCGGCAATTGCTTCCACACAGCATTCTTCATCAGCATCAGCTTCATTCTTCAACTTTTCCGTGTCTTCGAGAGTTAACAAATCAAGACTAATTTCGTTGGCCATTGAAGGAAGAGATTATTAATCGATTTTTGTGTGATGGAGAGAATGGAGAAGAAAGTCAATCCGGTGCTATATTTATACGCGGCAAGTAGGAAAAGTAATCTTTTGCTAGTTCGGTTTTAGAAACCAATCTATATTTGGAAACAGGAATTACTAATTAGGAAATAAACAATCCTGTAAAGTAAAAATTAAATCCATCTTCTGTCGGAAAAAAAAAAAAAGGAGATAAATATCAACAGGGCGAAAATTGAAGACAAGTAAAACTTTAAATTTAAAGTGAAATAATTAAAAGTAAAAGGCAGTTCGGCTGTCAATATCTGAAAATCAGATGTCTTGGCCTAAAGAGTGAGTGTTTCATTGGTGTTAATGTAAACAATATGTTGGGTTATCTTTGATTTTCACCTGCCTCCTAAGCTCTGTCCCCAGATCCCGATCAACAAAAAACCTAAAAACACAAAAACAAAGAAGAAGAAGCTCATTGAGCAATGCAGTAACCTAAACGTCTTCTTGCTCTATTTGAACAACAAATAATGGCTTATTCAATCTCAGAAAACAACAGTCTTTTTATCTTCATAAGGCAACACGCGCAGCTCGCAATATGATTTTATTGCTTTCGACAGGCATTGCTTCTCAAGATCCATCGACTTCTGTACAAATGTCTGCAAATTATCTCTGTGTGAAACTCTCTCTACCTGAAATCAAAGGTTAAACATGTATATCACAACCCCAGTAGATGTAAACATGATAAAGACACTTTTACGGACAGTTTGCACTAAGAAATTTTTCCAACATCTTGTGCACGAACAAAAGTTACAGATAGTGATACTAGATTGCTAGGATTCAAAGAAACGGTAATGAGTTGGTGTAAGAAAAGCAACTCATGTACATTTTACGAGGCCTACAAACAAAGATTGATTCATTTATGATGGTAAGGTAACAAAATGTTCGACAAAACTTTTGTTTCTTGAAATCATACAAGACAATTTTCTGTTCGGAATCTAAAATTTTAAACATAGTTCCTTCCAAATAAGTTGTTTTTCCTTCCAAAGACTTGAAACATAAAGAGCCTTATAAACTTAGGGGTCAATGAACTTTTGACTGATGGAAACTTGAAAAGGTTATTTGGTTTTGGTACAGATCATCCAATCGGCAGATGGAAACTGACCATTATCATGGACCGGGAGTCACCAAACCATGATGCTTGCTCACTTTTGGCTGAAAAATTTTACCATAACAAAAGCCACTAATAAAGTTTTGTCCAAGCACAAAACAAAACGTGGACGGATTTTAAACGCCTAATAGAATCTTCACCGGCCCAAAAGTATCAGTACAAATGATAATCACACATGATAATGTGTTCTGTATATGTATCAGAGAGGTTTCTGGGCAAGCACATTGGTAGATATTAAAAATTTTGCAACCAATTTCAAGGAAACAAGCATGTCCAAAGGAAGGAAGCACCTGAGACTAAAAGAAAAAGTTCCAGGAAACAGATTTCCAGCAATGACTTGACTATTTCACCAACCACAGGAAACATAGTTTAAAACCAACATCCAGATAAATGAAGATGCATACCATTTGTTCAATGATTGGCCCAGCATCGAGTTCTTCGGTGACAAAGTGACTTGTTGCACCAATCAATTTTACACCAGCATCAAAAGCCTGAAGATGGCAATAATCATATTTCAGGTTATTAAAATAACACGGGAATGTAAAGTTCCAGAAGAAAGGTCTGCAGAGGGCTGACAAGTTTACCTGCTTAGCGGGATGACCACCCTTAAATGACGGCAATAGCCCATGGTGAATATTTATAATATCTTTTCCATAGGATCTTAAGAAATTTCCAGAAAGAATCTGCAGATATCAATCGAGATCTTGAAATACACCAGGCACATTACTTATAGAATAACTACTCCAAATTCAAAACTACAAAACAACTTGCAATAAATCCTTTAAGTTACAATATAATTTATAATAAGTCCCGAAAAAAATTTGCTAAGATCATAAAGTATAAGCAGTATCAGATGAATAAACAGGAGACTTTCTAAAGTCTGAAATACATAGCAAAGAGAATTTTCAGGAGTAATGACAAAATTCTGGAAAAAAACTAAAAGAGAAAAGCTGATAAAAAATGAACAGAATCATAATGTATACTCATATCATGTCAAAACATATTTACCTGCATGTATCTAGCAAGCACAAGAAAATCAGTATCCTCTACTAAATCTAAAATCTCTTTTTCCCTTTTATCGGTACGAGTTGTTCGCAGACAATGGTAAGGTATTCCATGCCTCTCTAGAAATCGATTCACATGGGTGTTAAGAGGTCTATCATGGTTGCTGCAAAAAACCATACTGTCAAAATTAATATTTTTAAAGTAAGAGCGGCACAATGGAAATAGTAGAATTTCCATTTACTTGCCTAATTACAGAAGTTATTTGAACTGGAAGCCGTCCATCCTGCCAGCCATGCAATAAGTCAACTAGACAATGGTCCTAGGCCAATACAAAAGCAGGTTAGTTTAAAATAACTGAGGATCAGGACAAACCAGCTCCAGTGTAGGTTTGGATACTTGACATTGATGCAACTATTACACTACAGTTTCTTTGAAGGACGAAGAGTACCTGCTTTGAAGCAAGAATGGCAATTTTATGTTTGGGATCCAGGGAAGGCACTCGAACAACAGAACTTATGGCATTGAACATCCTTGATATCTTCAGAAAGTCTTCTTCCATTTGTCCTTGGAGCCATTTAGCCGGATCAAAGACAAATTCACTGTAAAGTGCAGTGGTTTTCTGTATTACATACAGTTTGGGAGAAAATTAACTCTCATTGCATCTACTTTTTAACAAAATACTAGCATGATCAGAAGATAGAACAAACAAAGTCACACAACAATCTTTGAAAGCCCTTAGATGCACAAAATATCTATGGGACCTCTTTATAAGATAAAAGACAACAGTATGGACCTTTCAAAATAGGTTCGCAGAACTGAATCAATTCAAATTTGGTGAAGAAAATGCCCCTTGCAAGGTCAACCATTTTACCATCAAAGATATACTTAACAAATAACAATCAATGAAGGCTGGACCTTTTCACCAGAATATGATGTTCAAAGATCAGATTCTTGTAAACTCAAATATGGAGGTAATGATAGACCTACAGCAGCTGCTGTCACTCACAATTTAAGAGTCGTAGAAGCTCTTTATGTCATGCTCAACAGTGACAAACAATACGACCAGAAGTTCGAGAAACAAACTTCGATAAACTATTCATAAGATATGAACACCTTATTAACAACATATGCATACTTGTATACATCATACATCAAAAAATTTTAATTCGCCTAAAGCATTGATTGACGTAGAGCAACAAAACTAATCAGGATGTGATAGTTGACACCCTGCAGCCTACACTAGCTCAATAATTCAAAGGCAAACAACTTGAACAGAAACTTCGCCAGTTACATTTGCATTGCTTGCAATAATCCTAGTCAACCAACCAACCTATGAATTCAAATTTCAAAAGCACAATTTATAAATGCTGAGTAGTGAACTAAATAGCTCAGCCCGAAAAAATTCAATATCAAAATGTACATAAGTATAGAGCTGCAGGGCAGAAGACAATTGAAATGTCCACATAAACTCAACCAGAGAAACAAACCTATTAATTTGAGGCGTGAAACTGTATAAAGACGCAATGATGAGAAAAGATATATACCTTCTCGAATAAAATACATTCTTGTTCTCGGGTACAAAAACATCAGCACTAAGAATATTTCCACCTCTTGAAGCAATGCATTCCGATAACTTAGCAACAATGCCCACCTCATCCTGGAGCAAAAAATGTTCAAACCCAAATCAAAATTTCATCTTTTTTTTTTTTTTCCAAATTCACGTACCCTCATGGACCTCACATCCGAATCATATTTTAAAAAACACCTGTTTTTAGCAATCCAAAAAAATTGCAATACTTACAGGGCAATAGAAAACGTGTATTCCATGTATGAGGGAAGGAGAGGTGGATTCATCTAGGGATTCCCCTGGAAGTTTGAAAGATTTAAAGGGCCTTGATGAAATCCTGAAACCTTGAGGAGGAATGATTCTGCGAAGGAAGCTCATGTTCCTTAATTTTTTGTTCCTCAGTTCAATCTCATTGAGTTTGGCTGAGTTGGATAACCACTAATACTAATATATACTTTCTGCTATAAACGGAGAGAAGCCACTGGGTGAGTGGTGGGCTGCTGCCATACATTACCAGCCATTAGTTACAAAGATTGGAACTTTGGATTTTGGAAGAGGACATGGGGGATTTCCATGTTGGGTTGTTGGGACCTTTAGCAGTTGGATAATATTTTGGAGTTATCCCCTTTTCCGTCCCTTTAATTTTATCCCCAAGTCGGTTTTAGTCCCTTGTTTCTTAAAAAAAAAGAAACGCACCCCCTTATACTACATATCTATCCTTTAAACTTTCTCTATTTATGATTTAGTCATAAAAAGTACAATGCGTGAGGGAATTTTTTGCAGCAAAGTACAAAGTAGGGATCTCTAATTTTAGTTGTTTCTTCTTTGTTTCAAGAGTGAATAAAATTTCATCTGGAAAATATGCAAAATGATATAAGTCAAAATTCTTTTATAGTTTACATGTTAAAAAAAAGATAAAACTATGTTAAAAAAAATTAAAGTAGTAAGATGCCTTGACCAATAGGTCACGAGTTCAAGTCACGCCGAGGGTAAATGGGGCACTATTGATCCCTTAAAAAAAACATTATAGTGATAATTAACCTAAAAACCTTTAAAATTAACTATGTCTCCACAAATCAGATTTTTTTTTTTAGTGTTCCTCGAATACAATTTACAAATTATGATATAAACTATTTTTCGGGACGGAAGAATAAAATCAGGGGCGGAGGCAAATTATAACCAGCCAAAATTTAAAAAATACCCCTCATATACTATTAAATTATACCACCAAATTTAAAAACATTTTCAATCTTGTCCCAATAAAATTTGCATGTAGTTTAATCGCCCCACCTACTATTGAGAGCTTAGCTCTGCCGCTGAGCAAAATGTAAAAGACATGAACCTAGATAATAACATTGCTTGATTCTATTGATATGAAATACTAACACTATCGTGCTCAAAGCACCGAATAATCTCTACGACGTACAAATCTAAAAATCTCCCTATTATAGACATCGCAAAGGAAATAAAAAATAATAATAATAATCACAAAATTTGCCCTTCAAAACTCATATTGCACTCACCTCTACACCATTCACACTGGATACCCTCTTCAGAAAAGATTGAGTGTCGATTTCCATATTCACCCGTCCAAGTTCCATCTTTCAAGTCAAATTCAATATTTGAAAGAGATTTATAGCTCCACACCGGTGATGGTGCACAACCAAATAAATACTCATAGTAAAAACTCCGTACTATTTTTCAGTAAGATCTTGAACCACACTACTTGCACTCGCGATCCTCCCCTATCACGTTTAATAGCATGGTCGAAATGAAACTTTTGTCCCATTATTCACTTTCTTGGCGATGGACAGCAATACTGCTCAATCGAGGAGGAGGAGTGTTCCAATAAGTGTAATAAAGTTATTGTTTGTTGGGGAAACTCCTTCCATTGCCACCATACTTCAAATTACTAGTGGAACAAAAGTATCCATAAAACGGTAAAAGCGTTGTTCAATTATCATTATAGAAAATCAACAAAGTCATCATACATCCATTACAAGAGCAGAGAGAATGAAAGTGTACAAACAAATTAACACAGGCAAAATTAAGTCAATCATCAATCTCTCCGAATGTCAGAGCTTAATTCTCCGGGCGCATTATAGCCTTTTTTGCCTCTCTCAACGCAACGTTGGTGGTGCTATAACCACCGTCAACCACCAGATTCAGGCCGCTTATGTACTTCCCTTCATCACTCCCAAGATACAACGCTGCTTCCGCCACATCCTCCGGCCTGACTACGGCCTCTTTCAGATTCGCTATCCCAGAAACAAACCTCTCTGTTTCTTCCGCTTCCTTATGCCGGAACGCGTTCATCAGCATCGGAGTAGCAGCTCCGAACGGGGAAATACAGTTGACCCGGATCCCAAATTGACCCAATTCGACGCCCAATTGCTTGGCCAGCCCCACCACGGCGCTCTTGGACGCCGCGTAAGGATACGGGACATCGCCGGCGGTAACAGAGCAGACGCTCGAAGTTATGATTATGGATCCCTTCTTCGCCGGAATCATAACTCTGGCCGCGTGTTTCCCGCACAGGTAAGCGCCGAAGACGTTGACATCGAAAACCCTCCTGAAGTTTTCTTGATCGGATGGAATATCAAGCTGATTTACCACCGATACGTCGGATGAATTCCCCGGAGCTCCGGCGTTGCTGAACATTATGTCTAGCTTCCCGTACTTGGAAACGGCGGTATCCACCGCATTTTTGACGTCTGATTCTTTGGATACGTCGCAAATGACGTAATCGATGGTTCCCCCCTTTGATTGAAGCTCTTCACAAATGGAACGTGCCGGATCATCTCGCCGGACAGCAATCAAGACTCTGGCTCCCTGCTTAACGAAAAGCCTCGCCGTGGATTCTCCGATTCCACTCCCGCCGCCGGTAATGATGGCTACTTTGCCTTCTAACCTGTAAAAGATGAAAGATGGAATCAAGGATACAGTAATTACAAATAAATACAGTGTCATAGATAAATGTACCTTCTGGGAATAGCCGTAGAAGAAGAGTTTGAGTTAATTGCCATGTTTCTTCAAGTGCAACAGATTGATAAAAGTTTGGTAAAGCCAATACGAAGACTTTAGTAAGAAAAATTCTTCAGTGGGCTGTTCTTGTTAGGTGTGCTCTGCCCCTTATCATTTGGGGGGAGGATTTATGGTTTGTATGGATAATTTTTAAGTCTTTTTCCTATTTAAAAATATGAAAAATTACATTGAAAACTTTAAAAAGTTATATTAGAATAATAAGAACAACCAAAAAACCAACCAAAATTGAATGGCCCATATGCGCTTCAGAATTCACGTATACTACAAAATTGGTGACATTAATTAGTACTCCATCTCTACAAAATCATTTGTTCTGTTTGTAGGATTGGAGTTGATACAAAAAATTTAAAACCCACCCAAAAAAAAAGAAAAAGAAAAAGTTTACAGAGTTGGACCATCATCTTGGATGGAGACAAAGTTGGGCCGCAATTTGTTCAAAGCTTGAGTTCATAATATATTGCGAATTACAGCTAAACATAAGAGCTTTCTACTGTAGCCAAGGTATTATTGCTATATCACATGTCAGTGAAGGTTTTGAGTTATTTTTTCCGGCTGTGGAGCAGTGGAGCAGGCATGATGAATACATTATTTTCGAGCTATTAGGTGGAAGTGTGGGACTGGAACTCTATTTTCTAACATCTTTAATTTGTTCATGTTTTCTTTCTCTCAATAAATTTATATGATTTCCACCAAAACGATTCTCTTTCTTGGAGGGGGAATCTGATTCCGCTGACGAAATAGAAAACCGACTAATCAACCGACTAATTGATTATCTATGGGAGTCTTGACAATCTGGAACACAACAACAACAACAACGACAACAAAATTTTTCTTCTCACTAAGTGGGGTTGATTATATGAATCATGCATGTGTTGCGAGTGTGTTCGATTTTTACAAGATTTGATACACTATTAGATAATAATAATATTCATAAATCCACATTATATCCATTAATAATAACCGTAATATCTCGACATGTTAAAATAATTTAATTGAGTAGTTTAGATGTTTGATATTTATTCAAAAAGTGAGGGTGTTTTAGATATTTGATTAAACCTTGGGGTGCTTTTGCTAACAGCCCTAAAAGAAACCCCATGAGAAGTTGGGGAAAAGAAAAAATAAAATCGGAGCTCATTGATCTGACATTTCGATCGTCAACAGTCAGTTCCTCTAACACTCTAACTCACCATCTCCTCTCCTCCTCCGACCAACGACGATGCCGGTGAGTTACCTCTACTTCTCTCCTACCCCTAGTCCCACGCGCAAGATCAGAATTTCGCCCATTTATTGAATTCCATTAGTATTTATGATTTATTCAAAATGTTTGTGAGTTTTAATTTGGTATGATTAATTGGGTATTGAATTGGCAATTCCTTATTGGTGGCCTGCAGTTGCGGAGATTGATCGAAGTTGAGCCCCCGAGCCCATTAAGATACCTGATCGGAGTGGCCATCATGATGATCGGAGTAGTATTGCCTGTCGGATACATGATGTTCCGGAACAAGCGCGTCCCTTCTACTTCCTCTTACTCTAAGCAGACGTAGGTGTGCTTTTCTCAATTTCTTTTTGTTTTTGTTTTTGTCCCTTTTCTTAAGCTAATCAGACGAACGAGAAATTTTTGTTATGGTTTTTTTGGCTTGGGTTTAGGTATAGGTTGAGATTACGGATTATTATGCAATGTATTGAGCTGGATTTGAATAGGGTTGGAACTTAAAATGGGATAAATTTTGTTGTTTTTTTGGTGGATTCAGGAACAAGGTTTTGATCTAGAGAGAGGCTTTCAATTTGAGGCTGGATTAGGTTTTTTCAATTTTGGATGAAGCTGCCAAGGGACATGAGAAGAGGAAAAATACACGGTTTTATGGATCCGGTGGTCTTTGTAAATTTTACTGAACTTTCTACTTAGCCTAGTAGACATTGTTATGTTTTGTATTTTTGGTGGGATCTTACTAAAGTTAATGCTGATTTCTTCTATCAAGGAAGAACTGTGGAGTTTGTTCCGTTTCAGTTTTACTTCCTTAGTTTAGTTTTGTATCACTGAGGAGAGTAAAGTTCAAGATGCTTTTGTTGTTGTAACTCACTTCATTTGTTTTGTAAGGGATAATATGAGATCCTTAATCCCTTTTCCATTTCTTTTCTTTCTGGCACTGTACCAAATTGCTTCTTGCAAAGTTTCTTCCTGCAGCAATGCGGTTTATGACTTCGTTTTCTGGTTGTTTTATGTGTAAGATCGGCCGTCTCTGCAATGGAGTAAGGATTTTTGACTGATTTACATATTTCAGTCAGATTGGGGATTAATACTTTCCACCTTTGTAAGAATGCATATGTTTGTGTTTCATGGTAGCAAATGTTTGATCGTTGTACATGATTGTGAGCTATTGGTTGTTTCTTGCTTGTTGATGAGTGGAGTTTGGATACATACCGAGTCAGTAAAGTTGTTGGTCTGTTGGTATATCTAATCCCCTAATCAACTTGCTTTCATGGAACATGCCGGCTAGATAATTATTATGTGATATTGATTGGCCCTATTGATTTTGTTAGTGTAGCAAACAGTTCAGGATGTTAATACTGATGTTTCTGGATGCTCGATCGCAGCATGGCTGCTAGTAGTCTAGTTGTAAAGATTATATATGGTAGTGTGAGATCCGTGAATGCCTGATCTTGGACTTCCTGTTTGTTGTCACAAATACATGTTTATCTGAAGTGTTTGGTGCAACTTTAGTATTTGTAATGTTAGTGTTTGATTGAGAAGTTATCTTGAGAACGGAAACTCTTTACTTAAAAAGCAGTATGTGAATACAGGTGCGTGGAGTGCAGTTTAGACTCGTGTACCATTTGTATTCTGATATAATGTGGCATTTAATGTGAAATGAGAAATAAGGGATTTGATATCACCGTGGTTTAATTTTCCTTGCAGAGTGGAAGCATGATTTTGTATCATGAAAGCCTGTGTGTCATTGTAACATATGAGTTGGTCTGGGAAATGGAATGAATACATTTGGTTTGCACTTGTACTTCGAGTCCATATTGCACTATTGCAAGGTCAAACCTGACCAAGTGATTTTACATTTTACTGTTTTTCTAATTGCAATTTTTGATCCTAAAATAGAAAACCCCAAATGGTACAATAGTAACTACCGTTGAAAGATGATAAAAATTGTTTCGATTCTGACAATAAAGAGGAATATTTCAACTAAAAGAATTTGCTTTGATTAATAAAAGGAAGTTGTTTCTCCAGGTAAAAGACTGTAAAACTAGCCAATGTAACACTCATAACTTGTTCCTCTATATTTTCAATTGACAATTAGGTCTATTCCTTTAGAACCCTACAGATTCTTCAGCTTGCTTGCCTATACATTTTCCAGTCTACCAAGCACTTCACCCATTCGGATTCTGTCCCCTCTTTTAACCGAGAATCTAAATTTAGAAGGCAAACTGTCATTTGTAGATGAAGTAGGAGCTTGGAAGATCAGTACAACAGTTGATCCCATGTTGAAAGCCGCTACCTGCAAGGTTAAAGCAAAGATGTGCACATTCAATGAGGTTCTAATGTATTGTTCACGAAAATATAAGCAAATTGCTGTTCTAATGAATTGTTCTAATGAGTTATTCAGTGACTTGAGGCCTCTTTGCGCCATGAACCAACATGACAATTATAATAAGCCAAAATGTTGTCTAATGCCTCTTTGGGAGGTATACTGATTTGTGTATTATAAAAACTGATAAGCCAGACCACATCAGATAATTCCCTGCACTTCCATTTGATCTTTAGAGCATACAAAGGAAACCATTTTTGTCCAAAAGAAACTTAAGCATGAGATCAGAGATTTTTTCCATACCTCATCTCCTTTCTTAAGCGTAATTCCAGTCCCTTCAGGGCCATAAGTCTTTTCTTCAGGAGGTGCAGACAGAAGAAACCCCTTTATGGGCCTATTGGTACGTAGTGTTGGTTCAATGAAAAGCTGCCATGAAGTTCCAAGTAAGAGCAAAATCAGAAACTGAAATGATGAATAGATAGTTAAGATGAATTTTAACAATGGATGACTCAAAACAGAATACGGCCGATGTGCTTTGGCGCTCACCTTGACCCTATCCAAAGGAGTAACTGACAAGTTACTTCCCACCACTTAAACCTTAAATAGTACCAATGTAAAACAGCAGAAGTCCTAGGAGAGGTACTATGTTTAAAGGATAAGATCTTTAGTTGTAAGGCAAAGTTAAATTCATTCAATCATCATCTGCCAACAGCCACACTCGTGATGAACACTGCCCTACCCATCCCACACCAACCCTCTTTTGGGTATCAAAGACTGTGCGTATCATAATTCTTATATCACTTCCGAAATGCCAGACCATGGAGTCTATATTAACTTAAACAACTAACTTGAACAACTAACCTCTAATTATCTTCAGGTACATAAAACAATCTTAACTATTAAATAATCTAACAAGTACAGGGACCACCTCAATTGAACCGATGTTTGTTGCACCAATGGCTGCCATTGCCAGATATCCTTCTTTCCAATGACCTTCAAGCACCACCTGGTCATGAATAACAAAAGCATACCTTAGGCAGAGATAAGGAAAAGACAATAATCTCTTGGCACACAGTAATGAGTCTTACAGAAGTTGGGTTGAAGGTAGTGAGGCTATCTAAAACATCACACAAGACACAAACGCATGCAATGTCAAAAGGCTGACAGCTACTTTTGTCACCTGATATCCGCATTATGCAAGTTTCAGGTACATAGTAGTTAAAAAAGATTGGTATAATTTTAGCAAATTGTAGCAGAAATTATGTGTAAAAAACCTGAAACAATCATTTGAGTTTTTATTATTATTAATTTATTATTATTATTTTTTTTTATGACAACTTTAGTAAGGGAAGAACTGGAATACAATCAAGGCTGCGTACAAAATGTTCTTCTTTTCCGACAATAATGCAAAACCGTGTAGTTTGACATGCCAAGACAGTGGGTGAAATGAAAAAATAACAACGGGATCCAGTCATGAAGTCAATCACCGAAAACTTGGCTTCTAGAGCTGCAAGTTATAATAAAGATTGAGCAATCAGCATAGCAAGTTCTTCACAAAGCCATCGAAACACACTAGAGAAAGGTATTGTGAGAATAGAAGTGTTCGCCACCATTTCAAGAATGAGAACAACAAAGGGACAGAAATCAATAAATAAAGAACTTGAAAGTGTCTCTATCTTCCAAGAAATAAACAAATCAGAGTGAGATTATTGATCAAATCCTGTTACACAAAAAACAAGAGTTCTGTGTGCAGAAACTAAAGCATCAGCTTCAAAAATGTTATAGGCCTCTCAGGCTAGCAAGGGAATGGTTGCAAGTTGCAACTGCTACACAATTTCGTTAAGGATACAAACTATTCAGAAACTTCAAAAATTTGATGAAGAGGAAAAGGCTAGCACCAATAAGAATTACCCTTTCATTTTCAACATATAGATTTCTGATAGTCCTTGCGGCACGTTCGTTCACGGGAAAAAGTCGACCTGCTCAGGGGACGAGGGAACTATAGTTACAGAGATAGGTTCGGACTACCAGCAAGCGGAACATAATAAGAGGAATTATGTATAAATATTGCAAACTTCTCCAGAGCAAAATATATTAAACCATTTAAAAAAACAAATATCCAGGGACGAGTATTAGCATAAAATTTCCACTAGGCTGTCTCAGATTGAAAAAAGGATGACAAGAAACTTGATATGCATAGTGCTTTGGAACAAACCCCAATTACTTTAGGCCTCAGTTATACGTATATGTCAGAATATATTAGAAATCTAACCATAATACATAAAACAGGGACAAATGAGCAAGTAAATCTCAATACAGCTAGAAAAACTGATTTCTGTAAAACAAGGAAATTTCATGAAGACCAAGAAAAAACACATGGAAGAGCTGGCTGGAACATGTAAAAAGGGAAATCTAGTCTGACCCGAAAAATGTCGACGAACATGAACATTCCAATCAACTGGAGAGTGTATCCGATGGTAGTCTCCAGGTTTCAAGTAAATTACACAGTAAAATAGGCCCTTCAAAGAGCTGCATCAGAATATAACAGTTATATATTTACAATTGTGGGTTTAAGAAAAAGGCTGGTACAAGAGTTTAGGGTTTAGAGTATGTAACTGCTAATCTTGAAAAAAAATAAAAAATGAAATAACAGTTGAGTTTTACAAGGAGAGAAGCCATAAATCTTTGTCATTTATGAGTCTTGGTCAGAGTATGGACTTCAGAAAGTCTTTTACGGGTGTAAGTAGTAGCATAGTCTAAATTCACAAAGTTAATTTAAGTTTCCTTGAATGTGGCTTAAATGTCTTTTAAGATTGCCTAGGATATGTTATAAAGTATTACCTAGCTGGTTCTTCATCTCTAACTCTAGGAGAAGCTAAAGAAACACTCAAATATGATTTTTGAGCAGCCTCCTTAGAGTGCTCTTCTCCACCATTCTCTGGTTCAATGTTCTGTTCATTTGCAGCAGGAAGGAACTGTCTTGCTCCAAGAAGGGAAGAAACTGAATAAGAGAAACCTTTAACTTGCTCAATCATAGCCCCAGGTTTCAGCTCTCCAAATCTTAGAACAGTTCCATCAACCGGACTAATCTGCCAAAATGCCAAATGCGTAATATTTAGTAGGAGCCTGAAACCAAGATAATGGAACATAGACTACCCCAACATGTTCGTTACCAGTTACCAGACAATGTGGGTCTAATTCAATAGGCCTGGACCCTTCTTTCAACTTGCGAACAAAGAAATCCCTCAAAGATGCATATTCTTCCAAAGGCAAAGCTGCTTCTTCTAAGTCTGAATTAGAGGGAAAACAAAATCTTTTAAATTCAGAGATTACCTCAGAGCACTTATTCCTACTTATTGGCATATATTTTCATTCATTATCAACGGATTTATTAAAGTAACTAGTTCAATAAGAACACAGACTGAAAAATAGCATACTTGAATGGAATGCCCGAGCCCAAGCTCTGTAAACATGTGGCCGCATCCATATGGGATATTCCTAATCAAAGACAACAATTAGGTGGCAGTTCGTAGCGATGTGAATTATGTTAAACGTTATCGCAATTTTGATATTTTAACGTTTACTGAAAACTCACTAGACTGGTTAGATATCCCCAACACCTTGACATGGAACGAAGTGGTAGAAATCTCAAGAATGTGGCCTGTAGTTAAATAATGAAAAGGTAAAGACAGTTTCCAGAGGTTCATGATGAAGTTCATTAGGAAAAAGGTAGATGAGATAAGTAAAAGATAATCGAAAAGAAAATAAATCAAGTTCACCTTTACATCAGGCTGGAACTCCAATTCAATTCCTTTCTCTCTGGCCTCCTCTATCTACAATAAAAACCAACAGCAGTGAAACAATAAGTTATAGGTAGAATCAGTCTATTCAAACCTCAATGAGAACATGTGTTTTGACAGCATACAAAGGCAGAAAATGATCTATAGCGTCAAACTGTGAACAATAAGCATGATCCACATCATATACAAAAGGTAAGTTACTATGGTTTAAATATTTCAAATTCAGAAACTTCGAGGTCTCGAATTTTGACAGGATCAAAACTACCTTCTTATCATGATAGAGTCGACGAGCGTGCAGAGTTCCAAGCATAAGGATAGTAGCGATGGTTGCACCAGGAATGAACAAATCATTACCTACATTCTCCCAACAATAATTCCAACATTCAATCACATCAACATAAATCCCAAAATTTAGCCAAAATTTTTTTTTTAAAAAAACTCAGAATCAAACCAAATCAATTTACTGTCTATCGAGGCATAAATGTAACAATCAAAATTCAGAGTAGAACCTTGAGAGCTGCCACTACTACTACTACCGCCGGGGCCGCCAATGATCGAAGCACGCGCCGAAGAGGATTGTACCTTGCGGAAAAAAGTATTGAAATGGCGACGCTGTTGCCAAAGGTTATTGGCAGCTCGAGCTCTTCCAGCAAAGTAAAGAGGCCTCATCGTAACGATTCTAGGCTTCATCTTGAGAGAGAGATTGAAAGGTAGAGAGTTTCTGGAGAGTGATTAGGGTTTTGTGCACTGCACTAATTCGTTCAGCTGCTTGAAGGAGGGGAAACCGGCTCAATTTTTCAGAGCTTGTCGGAGAAGACGACTCATACGTTTCTTCCTTCACGAAGGCGTGATGTTTTTGGATCGGACGTAATGCGCCTTTGATAATTAGCGTTCTGTGGAGGGAAATAATTTCAGTCTAGACCTTGTTGTTTAAGGGGTTTTATTTTATGGATCAATTTTTTTTCATCCTGTTAATAACCATACATATGTTAGTACCCTTCCCGTCATAGGAAAATAATCTACTTTGAGTTTTAAAATTTATACTAAAAATAATACAAATCTGAAAATTCAATGTGGACTATTTTTTTTGGACAGAGGTAACACTACTTATTTAAAGCTCCAAGGGGAAATAAATATGGAGCAATAATATTTTAGTCAAATATATTCATTTAAAAATGAATTCACTAAGGAGTATAGGTTAATTTTGATTGAAAATGTTTCTTTTTTCCTTTTTCCTTATAGTGTTTAAGGAGTGCTCCCATAATCAATCAATAAATATTATACGAAAGAGTTTGATTTTTGTAATATGAGCTATGACTAAAAATTTGTAGAAGTAATACGCAAAAATACACTATTCTCCAATTTATTTTTTTCCAAAAAAACAAAAAGGAAAATACACCATCCCCTTCCCGTGTTTTTTTTTTTTTTTCCAAACTCTTTTTTTCTTTGAAGTTTGAACAATGGAACCTTTATTGCGTTGACCTGGTTTCCCCCAAAATGTAGGAGTTTAAAGGACGTAAAACCGAAATGTTGGGACTTGGGAGTAAAGACCACAAAATGACAAATATGATCCTTTCAAAAGGATAATTGAAGGCCGTTCACGCTTTTGAATTTACTTCCAAGTTCCCAAGTCAACAGCAAGAGTCAGCGTTTCATCCACACTAGTGCGGACTGCGGAGAGATAGAAAACACAGAAAAAACAAACAAGAAACAGAAGCAGAGTACCCTCTGCGACTGAGAAAGCAGCCTATGGCAACAGAATCGGAATCGGGAAGTGAAGCAATAATTAAATATGGGATAATCGGAGTTGGAATGATGGGAAGAGAACATCTCATCAACTTGTATCATCTCAGGAACCAAAGGGTCGCTGTTGTTTGCATTGCTGATCCACACCTCCCTTCCCAGCAACTTGCCCAAAGTTTAGCTGATTCTTATGGCTGGCCGATCAAGGTACGGTTCATTAACTAATGGATAATCCTAAAAAATTGGAATTTTTGTCTGCTTGAATTCCCGGGTTTGGTGTTAATTTTTTGTGGGGGCGTTGTTTTTTGAAGGTATTTTCTGGGCACAAGCAGTTGCTGGAGAGTGAGCTCTGTGATGTGGTGGTTGTTTCGACTCCAAATATGACTCACTATGAAATTTTGATGGATATTATAGATTACCCGAAACCCCATCATGTTTTAGTGGAGAAGCCTCTGTGTACCACTGTTGCGGATTGCAGAAAGGTCAGTGCTGGAAAAAGGTTCATTCTAATATCTCATTTTTTGTTGTCTACACAAGTGATGACTAATTTTCCACTATTAGTTTTGAGTATTGAGCATATTAAGTACTCAAACGTGCACTCATTAATTGAATGTCTTCCTATCATATTTACTGATTGTCTCTTTTCCGGCCATTATTTGCACGATTTATTTGTTATCACGAGAGAACATGAATTACACCGAAATATTTTTCTGTTTAATGCTGTCAAATTGGAATTTTGTAATCCTTCAAGTTCATAGTTACTCTCACATTATTTCAATCAGCCAGTATCTGCTTACTTTTTTATATTGTTTGTCTATCTTCTCGGAATATTATTCGATCTGAAGGACCTCCTCCATTAGAGGATTTGATGTTGCTAATGTGCTCCAAATCTTTTTTCTTTCAATTCCCTAACCACAATCAGCATACCATCCTTCTATGCCTCAACTGTCTGTTTGTCATTCGTTATAAACCCCTTGCTTATTTATCTTGTGTCTTAATCAACTCCATTGGACATTAACCCTCATATTTTCTGTCGTGCATGCTTGATTCATTTTCATGTCTTTAGCTGTTCCAACTTCCAAGTGCATTTCTAAGAATCCATCGGATCAGGTTGTAGAAGCGGCTAAGAGAAGACCAGATATGCTGGTTCAAGTCGGACTTGAGTATAGATACATACCTCCAGTTGCTAAACTGATAGATATTGTCAAGACTGGAACTCTAGGACAAGTCAAGATGGTAGCTATCCGAGAGCATCGATTCCCATTTCTTGTGAAGGTATCAAGCTTGTTGTTGTTTCCCCGCTCTTGCTTCCATTTATTTTTTCATAACACCATCTCATTGTAGGTGAATAATTGGAACCGTTTCAACTGTAATTCTGGTGGTACTCTTGTGGAGAAATGCTGCCACTTTTTTGATCTGATGAGGCTATTTGTAGGTTCTAATCCTGTTCGTGTAATGGCATCAGGAGCTATTGACGTGAATCATAAAGATGAAATCTATGATGGAAAGGTAAAATTTTCTGGACATTTAATTCTACTGCATGTAAACAGGCAGGAAATCTTTGCCAAGTGATACAGATTGCTTCAATGTAATGAAATGTACTATAAACTGACTCGTGACCACTTGCTAAACAGAGATGTTTTTGTCTGTCAAAAAGGTTTTTACTAGTTCCAAATCTGACCAAATGATAGTGCGAGAGATAATTTTCATCTAGACATTGGATCTTTCGATGGTATACATACACACATATATCTATCTTCTGTTGAAGTAGGCCACGATGCATCAGTTTCCTTAAGCATGTCGGTAGGGTTTGAGCTATTTGTCAAGTTCTGGCTGTTTTCTGTTATGCCATCAAGATATTTGGTAGTCCGATTCATATTTATAGCAAGTTCCACCTTGTCCGCATCAGAAAATTGAGCCCTTTCTTCAAATGATCATTGTGAATGTGTCAGTGTTAAAGAGTGTAGTTAAATAAGAAAAAACCTAGCAGAGGTTATCAAGTCAGAGACAGCTTTCTTTTTCTTTTTGCAATTTGTATTAATGCTATCATTTCCTGATAGTATTTGGATGTTTTAAATTTAGTTCATTTACACAGGATTATGCGACTGAAGAGTTCTCCTTTCATCATGTTGGCTTCAGGTTCCTGACATAATTGATAATGCTTATGTAATTGTTGAGTTCGAGAATGGTTCCAGGGGTATGCTCGACCTTTGCATGTTTGCTGAAGGAAGCAAAAATGAACAAGAAATATCTGTTGTGGGTGACATTGGGAAGGTACTCCAACTGAATCTATGGCAGGAATCTTAGTAATCATACATGATTCGCATGCATCTTGAACATGGGATTGCTTCTCATTTCTAATTCATAGTCCCCTAAGAAAAGAAATATCCCCGAAGTTGATCTCTGTGCAAATCAATTCATCAATTGAGATGAAGCTCTTGACATCAAGTTAACATCTCTAGCTTGATGCTCACTATTGCCAGTTCCATTTTTCGTAGTGGAAATGAAATTGCCAGAAATGTTCTCTTTGTTGTTCTCTTAACATATATTATTCTCTAGGGTGAGGCCTTTGTTCCTGAGAGCATTGTCCGTTGGGGTACTCGAGTTGATGGACGGGATGGTGTGAAAACTTTGCAGGCTGCTGATGACCGAATAAAGTGAGTTAAGATCTTTCAATTGTTTAGCTTTTATGAACAAATTGTGTGCTTTCCTCTTGAATCTGCTGGCATTCCTCTAACTTAGTGACAAATTTGTATAACAATCGCCCTTTCAATTACTTTCTAGGTATGATGGACTGCATCATGGTTCTAGCTACTTGGAGCACATGAACTTTTTGTGTGCCATAAGAGCAAGAGCACAAGCTCCGGCTGTTGATCTACAGGATGGACTGATATCAGTAGCTATTGGAGTCGCAGCACAACTTTCAATTGAAAAGGGAAGATTTGTCTCAATTCAGGAGGTCTTAAATCAATAACACGTCTATGATTTGGAACTGGCATATCCAGCAACAGGAAGAAGTCAGATTCTTTGAGCTTGGTTATGTGAAGTTTCTTTTCTTCATGTTTCTATTTTTGTTAAAACACGAGACATCATAATCCATTCTTGCGACACTATTTATAAAGTTGGTGCATTAATTTTTAGCTTTTTGAAAAAGGGGCATAATGACGCTGCACAAGATGATGAATTAAGTTTGAAGTGTTATGACATGATGTTAAAAGATCTACTGCAGCATATTTTGTACTGTTTACTGAGAAAAATAGTCCACTAGAACCTACGATGAAAGAAGGGAGTCAACAAAATTCCACCCATGTTCATTTGGAGACATACATTAAAGGGCACGAGCATTACCAAAAATCGAATTTCTGATTTCCTAGGTGATCAGTGTTGACGTTGTTCTTCCGACTGTCAGGTGCTTAGAGCTTACGATGGTCTTTGTTGGCATTTATGCCATTCCTCGAGAAATACTTCCCCTAGTTCGGCATATTGAAATCACACTGTTTGTTGGGCAATGCTGTCGCATGTGCCCCGCGGCGTTAATGGTTTAACCATATCACTTGCATATACACGAATTTAACAAATTTTAGGAGGTCTGAATGTTGGATGGTGAGGTACAAAGGAAGGTTGAAACCGCCGAGTCTTTCAATTGGTTCACTCATTCACTGAAACTATTTGGATAAACTTTGCTGGATTAGAGTTGCACAATTTTGTCAAATCTAGTAACACCTGTTACTGTAGAATTCACATCTATGGTTTTCGGATCTTTTGAAAAAAGTCTCTCCAGAGCATATTAGGTCGCCCCAAAAAGAAAAAAATGCTAAAAACATATCCCCGCAAACAGTATACAACAGTATAGCTCCATCTCTTTCTAATACTGAAAGTTAATTGGGTGCAGCGTTCAACCGCAGACGGATCTCCTCCACGAATGAGCTTCTGGGGACATCAGTGTCTATCGCTGCCGCAACATCTTTCAATCTAACTTTGCCTTCTTTTAGTTCATTTTCTCCAACAATAACCATGAAAGGTATCCTTGAATCTTTGGCACGTCCAATGTGCTTCATCAATCTTTTATCCAACATGTACTCGGCCTTCACTTTCGCATCCCAAAGCTCGCTCACTAGTTCAGCGGCTAAAGACAAGTCATCACTCAAGATACTCACCAAAACTTGAGTTTCATTTGGCCGTATTGCCTGCAAAGACATAAAAAACATGAGCCGGAATGCTCTCTTACCCAACAAGGCTCTCGTGAAATTCTCCCACACTATCCAAACTAAAAATCTATAAACAGTTCTTACCTCGTTCCTGTCTTTCTGAAGTTGTTCCATGATTGCAAATACTCGCTCTATCCCCAGACTGATGCCAACTGCAGGGATCTGGTCCTTCCCAAACATTCCTATGAGGTTGTCATACCGTCCCCCAGCTGCAATTGAACCAACCTGCATAAAGATGCATAATCTGAATCACAAAAGGGTACAGGAATCTCAACAAACTAACACCCACTAGGCAAGAGTTTCTCTCGTGTCAACATTTGTCACTCTGATGAGCATCATGTAAACAAATGAATAATCTGAATCAAACAACAAAAACATGACAAAAACGGACAAAAGCGAAAACTAAAATTGATATCCCATTTCCCTAATTGTGGATCACTGACATAGCTTCAAGCTTCACTATCTTCAGATTATGCTAACAATCAAGTGTTTGGCTACTACCGGATCTACAAGCAAAAAATTTGCAACTCAGAACTGCCAAACTTGGAAGCACTAATAATAGGTGAACAGAAAAGATTTTTAAGGTTGTCAATGAAAACGAGTAATAGAAGCTGATGTCCAAGAAAAAAGGCCAATCTTTTCATATAGGATATCTACCTGGGTAGCTCCTTTAAAGACAACTTCAAATATGACCCCGGTGTAGTAATCAAGACCTCTTGCAAGACTTAAATCAAAAACCACTTTGTGATCACAATTTGCCTTTTGTAGAGCTTTAAACAAGATGTCCAACTCGTTCAATGCAAGCAGGGATTCAGCATTCTCCAGAAACTTACTGCCCTCCTGTTTCAATTCATATAACATTTCCATTGGGGATCCCCTTTTTTTCACGAACGTACCAAGTGCATCTGCAGTTTCTTCAGTTAAACCCTTCTCATTAACCTAAGAAATACAAGATGCAATTTTAGTAAAATGTTTCCCACAGAAAAAAAGAAGATAATGATAAAAGTTGTCCTACTGGAGATGAACAATGCAGGCAATAGATATCAAAAACTTCAGCCCACCAAACTCAGAAGTATATGAAAGAAGTTTTCGAATGACTGTGAAGCATCCCCCAACATTAATTAGATAGTTTGACAGAGACATAGCTCCAAAATTTCAAATCAAAGAACAACAGATCCAGACAGGTACCAATTTATATGTTAATGATCCACTTAAGCAATTGCGACTTTGAGATGAACCATCAATACATCAAAATGAAAAGCCCTTGTACATCATGAATTATTCCGAAATGCGGAGCAACCAAATTACAAAGGTGAACAAAAAACAGCACACATAAAAATGCTTCTAGGGATGTGAGGCCATAAAAGATTAGATAGCAGCAATAACAAAACATCAGAACAGAAATGGAAAAACCACCAACAGTTGAGAAAATGAGAAAAATATGGGTAATATGGTCTTGGCATGTGTGCACTCAAGTGTCAAGTATGAACTGCAAAAGTTGAATTATGAACTCAAATTAATAGGGAAGGGAATAGAAAAGAGACTGTTAAAATGTCATGATTTAGTCAAAACTGAAAAGGAAATATATGTTTTCACAAACAGAAATAAGTGATATCCACACATTATCATATGCCAACCTCACAGAGCGTTAAAAGAGAGAGAAACAAGATGGTCTGTTGTTCATATCATGAGTACTCCTGAGGGTATTAGAAGTTGAGAATGGTATACTGACTTCAGCATGGAAATCAATCTTTTCCAAGAAACAATACACTGACATGCTATTCTCATCTCCCAAACTCTTTACCTGAAGTAATTCCTAACTAACAACACCCTGCAAACAGAGGTGAAAATTCCTAAATATTACACAGTATTCAGTTAATTCCTGCACCCACGAACTTGCCTACAACTTATCAGTTCTGCCTTTTGACTTGATAGAAAAAATACAACGGTCGCATGTACAGTTTGCCGTCTCAATCTCGCTTCAGACTCATTTCTCATTTTGCAAATACTTTATTTCATTTCCAGTGCACCTTTTCCAACTACTCAAATTTAAAACCAAATCCCAAAATTCATATAGACGAACTTACAGCTTTGCCAAAATCTCCACTTCCCTCGTAGTTCTGAAACTTGAATAAATTACAATACAACTAAATAAGAAAATTCGCTATAACTACAGGAGATGCTTTGCAACAGTCAAGTTGGTGAACCAATGCCCTAAAACCTCAAAAAAATAGAATGCCACATATCAATGACAAGGCAACAAAACTCCAATCAAACAACAGATAAGAGCAGGGTGTCAACTGCATTGAATGATAATATTTCTGGTAGATTAAATAAGGACAGAAGGGAAAAAAACAATGACAATGCCAACAAAAAGAAGTAACCAGTTGTCGCAAAAGTATATACTAAATTTTAACCAACTATTAATAACAATATATAATATATATATATATATATATATATATATATATAGATAACTACAATAAATAAAATTTCAGCGTCAACAATGGAAAAAGCTGTACCATTTCTTTCTTTATCTGTTCAAAAGGCTGTTTGTCTAGCTTATCAATGCTCGAACAAACAGTTCTGAATTTTTCAGGCGGCACCCCACATATGGCCATCATTCCATCAAGTAACTTTCGATGATTCAATTTTACCTAGACAAAAGTTACACAGAAGAAGAGAAGTAATTAGTATACAATAATCATAACTGTCATGGAAGATGCTTCAGAAATTTGCAGCGATGTTTGAAAGGAAGAAAAGATGTGGAAAGCAGAAACATATTATGCCAACAATGATACAAGATAGTTTAATATTCAAATCACTATCTGGCACTAACCTCATAATCCCCAATATTGAGCTCATTTAATAATTCAGTTAATATCTTTATAACCTCAAAGTCAGGCCCCATCTTGTCGTATTTTCCAGCAATGTCAAAATCACATTGATAGAATTCACGATATCTTCCCTTAGATGGATTATCCCGTCTGTATACCTTCGCTATCTGGTACCTTTTGAATGATGTAAGCTTGTTCTGTGCCACAAATCTTGCAAATGGAACAGTGAGATCATAACGTAGTGAACAAAGCTCTCCACCCTGTTAAATGGCCGTCGATAAAGTGTGTATGAGACAATGATTCGTTACAATAATGTCACTTACTATTGAAACTCATTCATAAATACGCTTTTCACGATGATTTCAAAGCATCACATAAATTATGTAACTGCTTGGTGCAGTTTTTTATCCGAAGAAGTACAATCTAGAAACCTGCAGGCTGAGCCTCAGTCAAATCATTATGATCAAACTAGATCATACTTCTTGCTTTCAACACCATCATTACCCATCCGCAAAGTATGAAACAACCATAAATCAGTGACACGACATCATTTTGATTAAAGCAGAGATGGGTTTTCCTAAGACCAACAGTAAACATGATCGATGCTAATCAATTCTAGAAACAAAACATAAACATTTTTCGAAACATTAATACCTTATTATAACTGTACCCATCATACAGAACAGTGCACACTCAATCAAGGGATCAACTTTGACAGACACAACACTCATGCAAGACCAAGCTAAAGAATAACAGAATCGAGTAACCATATGCCAGGAACAACCACCAGCTAACACTCCAAACAAACTTGAGAAAGGTAACCGAACATGTCTTCGCACATGCTGGTTGACATACCTGATCAGCGAGGTCATATATCAACTTTGAGTCTTCACCATATTTCCCCATGAGAGTTTCTCTCAATTCAAAAGCAGGAGTATCAAGTGCAGTGGCTCCATGCCTCTTAAATACGTCAACAATGATTGCAAAGGCTTTTTCTCTAACAGCCATCTGCTCTTTTGCAAAGTCTCTAGTACCCTATCAAACAAAATCACACTAGCAACTCAGTTCTTGACATGATGAGCAAACTTCACTGGATAATTCGAGGAGAAAACAGAACAGAGGCTTCAGAAACAAAAACAAAAGAAAAGAAAAAAAGGAAAAGAAGGAAGAGTACTTTTGTTCCACATACAGATATTAAAAATATGGACAAAGCACTAAACTTAAACATCGATATCTACATTACATACACAAGTTCATAGACCTCACAAAGAAATGTTGAGAATCGGTGAATTTGCAGAGTCCTAATGAACATCTGAGTTCTTGCATTGGCGCAATACATTGTGAAGCCTAAAACAATTGATGGAGAAACAGTTTTAAATAAGAGTATGCTAATCACAGTTGAAAAGGACCAACTCCCACCATGCGCCAAAAAAAAAAAAAAAAGGAGGAGAAAAAAACCCCAACGAAAGAAAGAGTTTCAGAAGGAAAAGATATAAATGATCAGATGAGTGAACCCTCTAAAAAATTACTGTATGCATTCTAAGCAGAAAATTAATTTAGATGAAGTTATGAGGCTTAAGTGTTACAATATTACAGAAATTAAATACCTTAGGAAGCTTGGGAACCCTTCGGCTCTCGTTGCTCTCCACTATCTCTTTCACTTTTTTCAGCAGAAGCTCAAATTTTGGTTTGGCTGGGTTAAATGATGATAGAAAATCCTGATACCAATTTTCCAATAAAGCCGAACCTTTGATAGGATTTTCTTCAGTAATGGCCCCGTCCAATATGCTTTCTTTAATAAACTGCACAAGTGCCGCCGATCCTGTCCCCAAAACTTTCCTTTTCTTTTCATTCTTCTTAATGTCAGCATTAGCAAGGGCATTGCCTTCATTAGTTGTAACCAATCCACTCGATGAGCCCTCAAGTAAAAGATAAGCCAATGTGGCCTCCCAAGAAACAGCCTTCCTTACACCCTCCAATAGAAGAAAAATGTTGTGAGAAAACCCAACATAGTCTTTTTCTATGAGAGCATCCTGTGAAGAGCGATAAGTTTGTTTGAACCATCCAATAGTAACAGGCCGTTGGGCACCCACATGTGCACGCAGCTCATCACCATCAGGTATTACATTAGCCAAAAGCTCAACTCGATTGCAGCTAAGTTCAGCAAGATTTAGTAGGGCCACAGCCAGAGATGACAAGGTGGCAGAGATGTCTAAAGCGGTCTCAGATCCAGTTTTAAAAGGGGTGCTCAACTGGACACGTGCATTTGAATGAAGAAGTCGACATTTTTCTCTGAAACTACCATGGGCAGCTGGTATCCCGGAGATAGAAATGTCAACAAGTTTTTTGTTTTGAACCAATTTGGAGTTAGTAAGGAAGACTTTGAGATCAGCAGCTACAGCGACCTTATCCTTAATGGAGGAACCATCACCAGAATCAGTTAGATCAAAGCCAGATACATTAGCCCTAAGGGCCTCACAGGTTAGGGCAGCAATGCCATCCACAATTGAAGCAAGAGAAGAGGAAATGTGGTCCAAAAGGGCAGATATGGCACTAACAGTGGCCACATCATAATCCAGATTACTTGGGGAGAAAGCGTCTTGTATTTTAAAACTCCGGTTGTGAAGGATAACATTGTTGAGGTCTAAGGCATTAGCATCATAAAGCTGGGCAACAACAGCAGAAGTTGGCCCGGCAGAAGGAGTTGAAGAGGATGAGAGTAACAGCTTATTCAAGAAAACAAGGATAGAAGCTCTCGCCTCTTCATAAGTAAGATAATCAGGAACAGAGAATGATGATTGGGAGGATCCAGAAGTAGTAGAAGAGGAATTTGATGAAGGCAACTTGGAGAGAGTATATTCATCAATAACCAGTGAAGCCAAGTTGTTGGCCACCAGAAATACAGAAGATGGTGACAGTGTCGATCCTCCTTGACCACTACCCAATCGCACAACCAAGCTTTTGTACTCCCCCATTAATAATCCGAAATTCTCCTTTGTCAATGCTCTTAAAACTGCAAATCCTGGACAGGGTCCTACGAAAAATTCAAGAAACGAAACAATAAAACTATTGTTTTAGTGCCAAACCATTATAGATACGAAGGTATCGCAAGTGGAATTTTACATAAGAAAGCAAGGCATAACTGAAAACTGGTAAAAAAGAATTCCCTAGAAAAGCATATCCATGGGTTCTTCATAATCTAAATTTGGTTCTTCCCACTGCTATCCAAATTATTCAAACACCTAACTGGGTTCATTGATATGGAAGGTTCGCTACAGTGGCATTAGAAACAGAAATTGCAACTTCAACTCCGACTAGTCTTTAAGGAGGCATAGCCTCCCCAAAATTTTCAGTTATAAAGCTTCAGAAGTTGGTATTAGTTCGCCAGCCACATTCAAACTAATCTCAGACGTCCAGTACCTCTCCACTCACCTCACCCATGAAATTCAACTCCACTTGTCAAAACACCAGCAAATTAACGGAAAAGGGAAAAAAAAAATTAAGGTACTTCAATGACTATCTATGCCAAAATAAATTCCAAACTTGATTTTGCAATGAAGCATAAAGCAAATACAATTCAGCCACAAGAAAAGCTCCGAAACTCGCACTATAACAGCAAATAATTAAGAACAAGAAGATTAATAATCCGCGAACAGAATAATCAAAAACAGCGCGTGAGGGATTTTTTCTTACCCAGTTATTGGTGAGCTGAGCTTCAATGGAGTTTTTAGGACTTGGTTCGAGTGAGCATTGGCAGTTGGCGGGGAAGAGTTGGCGGAGGCGGAAGAAGAGGCGGAGGCGTTTCGTTTATAAGCAGAGAGAATTAAAGGGTTTTCCTTTTCTATTATTTTTTAAAAGTCCTTTTTACCCTTTTCCAATTAGAAGCAGAATTCGAGACTATTTAAGTCCAGTGCGGATTTCAGCCGAGCACAAAATAAGCGCGCGTTTTCAAAACAAAACCCCATCATCATTTCCTCATCGCCGACGAGAAAATGGAAGAGTTAGACGATACCGGCGAGAAATCAAGCTTCGTCGTCGGTCTCATCGAGAACAGAGCTAAGGAGGTATCGCTTCCTCTTCCTCTCTTTCTCTTCCGCATTCTTTTTCTTTCAATTTCTGACTGTATTCCTCCGTTCATAAACGAATCACGAATCGTGTGTGTATACATGAATTTGAATTTTGTTTGACGTAGTTTTTCTTTATTTCTCGAAATTCCGGTGGAATATGTCATATTAGGTTTCCTGAACTCTATTAATTTTGTCGTGGATGGTCGAGTTGTATTTGGCAAGATCATCCTGCTTGTGTATATGCGTCTGAACTCATAGCTTCTTGACTTAATTGTTAATTCGAACATTTTCCTACTGATAATGAAGTTTCCTTAAGTTGGGATGAGCATACATCAATGGAGTGGGTCAGTTTTTCCGCCTTCTGGAACTCAAAAATCTCAAACATATGGTACTTATCATACATCTGTAAGGTGTTGATCCTTCAAAATCAGAATAATGCGCGGAAAAATAGGCTTTTCTCCATTGCTACATGTTACATTTAGGTACTATTTCTGTGTATATAAAAAGTAGCTGTTCTGATGAGCGAAAGGAAAAGAATATCGGGTAATAAAATAGAAACTCGAAGACCTCACAAAATTACTGCAAAAGATAATTTACGGATAATGCTATAAACGAATATAGTGAATGGAGAATGCTTCTTATTTTGACTTTAACTGGCTTTCGAAATCTTCTGATCAGGTTGGAGTAGCTGCTCTTGACTTGAGGTCGGCATCTCTTCATCTTTCTCAATACATAGAGACCAGTCGCTCCTACCAGAATACTAAAACAATGCTGCAGTTTTATGATCCTATGGTCATTATTGTTTCCCCGTATAAGCTTGCGCCTGATGGTATGGTTGGCGTCTCTGAACTTGTTGATAGGTTTTGTTCCTCAATTAGAAAGGTATCATACGCTTTCTGCATTTCTCTGTGTCTGCATAATTAATTTTGTTTTCGAGATTCTTATTTGCTTTTTATAATTTGAGGTTTTAAAACTTATTCATGCTCTGTTATAGGTCGTAATGGCTCGAAGTTGCTTTGATGACACGAGGGTAGATCTTACTCTTGTCAACCTTGTGATTGGTGCTGGACGCAAAATTTTATTTTAAGGTTTTGCTGCCTAATTTCGTAGGGAGCTGTGCTGGTAAAGAATTTAGCTGCTGAAGAACCCTCAGCTCTTGGGTTGGATACCTTCTCCAAACAATATTATCTTTGCCTGGCTGCAGCTGCCGCAACTGTCAAATGGTAACAAACTAATGTTGCTTCCAAGTTTTTCTCCTAAACATACAGGAGCATGTAATTTGCTCATACTGGATTTTGATATCCAACTGATATGTTTGTCGGGGGCATTAGATTGTTATACAAAGAAGCACACTTGAGTACCATGGATAATCTTAAAACTAAAGGCAGTATGGAGAGTTAGTATTTTGGCCAAATATGCTTTTCATGTGTTATTTATTTATTTACTTATTTTCCATCTTGCTCAGGACAGAAGCTGAAAAGGGGGTTATCATAACGAACAACTCATTGCTGGTAAGCTTTATCTCTATTACTCAGACATTTACAATTACAGAAAATCTACCAGTTGATGGTAGATTCACAGTACAGAATGCTGAACGCATCTCCATCTTGACCATGCTACTAGATAGTTGATTTTCAAGCAAATAAATCAGGGATTATTGATTTCAGATTTTGTAGAGTTTTTCTTGTTATCTTAAGTTAACATATTCAAATAACCATGTTTAAGTGTATTAATGATTTTATTATGGTGCTGTACTGACACTAGTATGAAACTGCCAAATCAACTAGTGGCAAGTAGCAACTAAGTGTCACTAGTAGGATGTTTTTTGAGGTTACTGTCCTTTGTCTGGGAGTGTGTTGCTTCATGTTATTATATCTTACAAATAGCATGCATAAGAGTTGCAATTTGCCATTCTGACGAATTGTAGCCTTATTACATGTTCCTCCTTAAACAGTGACCACTGTATGTGAGAGGTACCTTCTATGCTGGAATTTAAATTCAGGATCGGGGCAGTGCATTTTGTTCCAATAGAAAAATATCGGAAAGGGTGATAACAATTCAATATGGGGAAAGCTGCCTCCATTGTTTCCAATTCAAACCCTATTAACTTGTTTTTATCTTTCAGTTACAATTTAATCTTGTCAGATACTTTGTGATGTTGTTGAATTCGATATGAAAGCACTTCTCGCAATTTATGCCATGATATCATCATTCACTATTAATTTCGGCACCCTCCAAATGAAATGGTTATGTTCCAAGGACTCCACGGGGGGTGGTGGTGGTATGCATTTTGCCAGAATTTGTCCTTACAAACACATTTCTGATTCTCAGGTTACTTTCAATGGATCATTTGACCACATGAACATTGATGCTACCAGGTATCCTTCTTAACTGCAGGTTGGACTTCTCTCTTGGCTTATGAACAGATCAAGATTCACAGACATGATTCTATTTCACAAAATGAATCTCTGAAGATGCCATTGGCAGAGTGTTTTAAGTTACATTCCTGAAATTTTTCTAGATTCCTTGATCTTGATTGTTCATGAATTGGATATGAAACTAATCTTGTTACTCAATGGATGACAGTGTCCAGAACTTAGAAATCATTGAGCCGATGCAGTCCACTCTTTGTGGTACAAACAGCAAGAAAAGAAGTTTGTTCCAGATGCTAAAGACCACCAAAATAGTTGGAGGGTATGTCCTTAGTCAGCATTGTCAAAGGACTTTTGTTAAATGTAGTGCTTCACTTCTCAGTACTTAAGTTTGTGTCCTTCCAAAATTTTGTTCTGAGTCTGTTTTCCTTGTAAAAGGTTCTCAATCATTCTTTTTCTCTTCCTTGTTTCAATGGAAAAGTAGCATTTCAAAGTTACTGATTTACAAGCCTGCTAAATATTTATTTCAGAAGAGTACAGAAAATGAAACATAGGATTTGCTAAATTTAGCTGAATTCATCAGGTTACCAGGATGCAATATGTTTGATTATATTTTTTGATTCCTGATGAACAGGACTAGACTTCTGAGGGCAAATCTATTACAACCTCTGAAGGATATTGAAACAATAAATGCTCGCCTTGACTGCCTGGTAAGTGTTCACACTGACCTAGGTTTCTCAGCTATCAAACAAGAAATAATACTAAAATTTCAAAGTACTGATACTTTTCATAAGAGACTGTTAGAGAGGGCAAAAGCTCGCCCAAAGAAATTATTTGTCATCTTCTATCTGTTGGTACTGTGTCAGATGAATGTAGTGGCTTTCACAAGGTAAATACTTTGAAGGTCAAAAAAGCCTGGAATTGAATCTACAAAAGTTTATTGAAGTGTTTAAACTAGTAGGTTGCTGCCCCATGATTTTGAACTGAATATTGAGTATGTATTAATGATCACGGTTTCCTTAGGAATACCTAACTATAACAACTGTCTTATCTATGATTACGTGAAGCTTGGAGATAAGTATGTTTATTGCTTAGTCAAAAACAAAGTTTGTTTTAGGTTGTTAAATAATATTTTACATTAAGTTTCAGTGTTCTCTTGTAATCAGCAACCTGAATGATTGAAACTTGAATGCAGGATGAATTGATGAGCAATGAACAGCTGTTCTTTGGCTTGTCCCAGGCTCTGCGGAAGTTTCCAAAAGAGACAGGTAGTTGTAACCAAAGAAAGTTACTTATAAAGTTTCTGTCCTTTCTCAGGAAATGATCAACTGCTTTTCATGCAGATAGAGTCCTCTGTCACTTTTGCTTCAAGCCAAAGAAAGTTACTAGTGGAGTGTTGGCCATTGATAGCTCAAGAAAGAGCCAAATATTAATATCAAGTATTATCCTACTGAAGACGGCACTTGATGCATTACCTCTACTCTCTAAGGTGTAGTTTTCTTTTCAGTCATTGGGAAAGCTCAATATTGTTTGCACTTTGGTTTTCTAATACCCATTCATATTTCTCCATGTAAGGTTCTTAAGGATGCGAAGTGCTTTCTGCTTGGAAACATTTACAAGACTGTTTGTGAAAATGAAAAATATGCTTCCATACGGACAAAGTAAGTTCTGGATAATTTTTGCTGTTGTGAAATAGTGTATGTTTACTTTTCCTATCAGAGATTCTGACAATATTCTAAACTTGTGATAAGTTGGAGGACTTTCTGGTACAAGTTCTTTATTATATCTATATACCTTTTCAGAATTGGAGAGGTGATTGATGATGATGTCCTCCACACACGCGCTCCTTTTGTTGCACGAACTCAGCAATGTTTTGCGGTGAAGGCAGGAATTGATGGACTTTTGGATATGGCAAGGAGATCTTTCTGTGACACAAGTGAAGGTGTTTCATTAAGCAAGTCATTAGCTTCTTCTTGTGATTTCCCACTGAGAGTATTCTCATTAGCTTCAAATTAACAGCAATACACAACCTTGCAAACAAGTACCGCGAAGATTACAAGCTACCAAATCTAAAGATCCCATTCAACAATAGGCAAGGGTTCTACTTCAGCATTCCACAAAAGGACATCAAGGGAAAACTTCCAACCAAATTCATCCAGGTTGGTAATTCTATATTCATCTTTGTGAAAATATGGACTTATTTCTGTTGCTAATGTTTGCAAATTCTGTCTTGAAACCAGGTCGTGAAGCATGGAAACAATATGCATTGCTCCAGTTTAGAACTTGCCTCTGTAAGTATACTTTTTTTTTTTTTGAAACATCTGTGAGTATGCCGGGCATTCTGCCAGCCCATATACAACTGTTTCAGTACACCATATGTTGGCATTTAGATTAATGAAGCTGCGGAGTTCATTTTTAATGTACATCAACTTTTGTCATCTTCAGGTTATATATCATCTTTCTGTATGCTTTGAGTTTGTTCTATCATCCCTCTAAGAAAATGTCAAGTTCCGGAGTGAATGAAGCTTTTGTAAATCACTATCCTTGGCAAATAAGAAATTTAACTTCAGTCAGCTCGTGAAATTTAATTAATAAATTTATTACCTTCCCCCATGAGTTCAAGTGTCAATAATATTGCCTAGTTTTTTATTATAAAACATATTACAGTAGGGATATACCCCATCAATACATTTTTGAGGGATAATTAGTTCCTCCGAAACAACGATTTTTTATAGATTGACGCTGATATTGCACTATTTTATGCAGACTAATTTGCTGACTGCCGAGTGCCAATTCATGTAGCGAGTGTCTTTATGTTGTTTGATTATTGATTAATAATCACAGTAGAGATAGAGGAAACTCAGCTGTCTATATAACATTGAGCGGAGAAGAATGTAGTTAAATCTTTCTTTAGAAGTTTTAACTTATATCTGTGTTCATGCTTTAATATATTGTTGTAAGTGCTGAAGTTTGGATCTTAAAAAGTTTTCACCGTGGTCTGCCTTGATAGTTAAACGTAAGGAACAAGTCTGCTGCAAAAGAATGCTATTTAAGGACAGAACATTGTCTAGAAGGTATGCGAGTGTCAAAAGTTCTTCCTTTATAAACACTTTATGTGCATTAATGGGTATGCATCAAAGTCAACGACAAGAGCTATGTGGTTCAATTTAGTAGAGCTTCTCCGATTTCTGTTGGTGGAAAATATGCAGCATTAATGGAGGCCATACGCAAGGATGTATCTGCGCTTACTCTTCTTGCAGAAGTCTTATGCCTCTTAGATATGATAGTAAATTCATTTGCCAATACAATATCAACTAAGCCTGTTGATCGATATACTAGGCCTCAATTTACATGTAAGTGACGTAAATATTTATTTGGCTTCTTTATCTGTGGGTAATGTAGCAAGAATGCTTGACTCCTTTATGATATTGCAGATGATGGCCCTTTGGCAATTGATACTGGAAGGCACCCTATCCTAGAAACTGTACATAATGACTTCATCGTACGTCAGATGTACTTTATGCTGAATTTTGTTTCATTGCTGATTTTCAGGTCTAAGATTTACTCTTCTTTTGCAGCCAAACAATATTTACCTTTCTGAAGCGTCAAATATGGTGATTGTGATGGGACCAAACATGTAAGAATTTCTATTGGTATAGTTTTTCTTCTGGCTGTGACACTGAAATTTTCATGTAATTGTGAACTGAAACTCAAGATATGTTGCCCCCATTATTTTTCGTCAACGAGACGTTCACTCCACTTAGCAGTTTTAATTAAGATTATGCAACTGATGCTATATCTGTTTTTTCTTTAGGAGTGGGAAAAGTACATATCTTCAACAAGTTTGTCTGATAATAATTCTTGCTCAAATTGGTTGCTATGTTCCTGCCCGCTTTGCTTCTGTGAGGATAGTTGACCGTATATTCACAAGGATGGGAACCATGGACAACCTTGAATCTAACTCTAGCACGGTACTGAAAATTTCTATTCTAAATGATTTAACCTTCTTTTCTATATTTTGTAGCTAAGCTCATCACCACTAGTTTCTCTCATCCCTCTCTATCAAAGCTGAAACTACAGTACACTTCAATGTAACAAGTTGATTTTTACCTCTATTATACTTACAACTATGGTCATTACTGTTGTTCTGTTCAGTCCTATATTGTAAAAAAAAGAAGCTATATCTAATATGATGATGCTATTCATCTTAAGCGTTTCTTTTCTGCCTCGTTTATGATGAATGGTTCAACTGAATTTGCTGGGCTCCCATCCAACTTTTTAATTAGTGGTAACTATTATTATGCTGAGACATTTTCTTTGAATATGACTTGGTTCTTTTAATTATATTGTACACAGTAATATTTTTTATGCTTTGTTTTGTCTCTTTTCACTGCTTATATGATTGATCTCATGCAATTTCTTACAAGAACTCTGGCATTGTATAAATGCAAGATGATTTTTCGCTGACATAATTGGAAATTTCTCCCTATGTGATACAAGTTGAAATCAAGAGATACACTGGTTTTTAAAGCTCCAAATTATTACTGTCATTCCTGTAAACTGAATGCTGGGAGCAGATGATGTCAACATGGAAGTGTCACGTGCAATGGCACCAATTGAAGGAAATAATACTCTTTTGACTGAAACCATTGTAAAAAAGGCGCTAATGTAGTACATTGCATGTTGCAGTTTATGATGGAGATGAAAGAGATTGCCTTTATCTTGCAGAATGTCACTCCTAGGTATGCAAGTGACAAGGACATTTTAATTATATACAGATGGGCATCCATGAAGATATTGTAAAATTTTGACATTTTTTCTGAGATAAACAGGAGTTTGATTGTTATGGATGAACTTGGGAGATCAACCTCTTCCAGTGATGGATTCGCAATTGCATGGAGCTGTGCTGAGCATCTATTGGGGCTGAAAGCGTAAATTCCCTACTTGTACTTCTTAAATACTATATGATTGCTGTTCCTTGTATGATTCATGCCATTGTCACTTCACCGTTACTTTCCCTGCTAGTTCTTTTCAAGAATTTAACTTTTAGACGCTTTGTCAGTAGCATCCTAGCAGTAAATATTTAACTGGAAGTAATAATCTTTTTTTGTTTCAGGTATACAATATTTGCCACTCATATGGAGAACTTATCAGAATTGGCCACCATTTATCCAAACGTGAAGATTCTTCATTTTTTTGTCGACATTAAAAACAACCGTATGGATTTTAAGGTAAGATTTGATTAGTTCCCTGGGTTTATTTTTTCATTGCTGAAGTCGTTATATCAACCCTCTTTTATCAGTTTGAGCTAAAAGATGGGATGCGCCATGTTCCACACTATGGTCTCATGCTAGCAGGAGTGGCAGGCTTACCCAGTTCTGTGATAGAAACTGCTAGAAATATCACATCTAAGATTATCGAGAAGGTAAATTTTCCAATATATCATCTCATTTTAGTTGAAAGATGAGACGACGTGCCTTGGCGGTATAATAATAGCTGTCCAAGTAAAATTTTTCTTGCTAACTGTGACTTTCCTCTACAAATCCTCTGTGAACTGAATAAGAGAGTTAGAGTGGGGGATGGGAGAAATGAGACCGCAACCTTCTGAGGTCTTGGGTTTGATTTGAACCCTGATAGAAAAGAAGAGAAGAGAATCTATCTCACATAGTATTCAACTCTTTGAACTGCTTGTGATGTCTCTTATGCAAACAGGAAGTCCGGAGGATGAGAGTAAATCGGTTGCAGTATCAGGACATTCAAATGGTTTACCGCGTTACTCAACAGTTGATATGCTTGAAATTTTCGAACCAGGATGAAGAATCTATTCGGGAAACAATACAGAGTCTTAAGGAGAACTTTCTTAGTGGAAAACTCTAGTTAATATCACTCAACATTTGCCCTGTTTTCATCAAAACTTACCCAAATGCATTACTTTATAAGCTGTAGCCAAATCTTTCATTTTCTCTCTAATACACATTCCTCGATCTTTCTTTCGCTTGTTACTACCTTAGAAGTGAAACCTGAATCAGATCTCTCATCCTTGAACTAGGAGAAATACATTATCACAAAGAGGAACAATAAGAAGGGCGTAATCAAAGAAGAAAGGAGACAGTTTGATAACCACCAACAGGAACTTTCATAAGTCCAATTATCACATCAGTAATTTTTGTAAAATTTACATCCTTCTTAAAACAAATCAGCTGCAGAATTTTCTTTGCTCATCTATATTTGCGTAGTGAAAGTGATAAAAGCAAAAGAAGCCACACTCTGATTAAAAACATGACTGGAAATTGACTCGCGACGCATTTAACTGAGACAAGGTGTCAACTTCCAAGCACATAACGCAGTGGAAATGGCAGTTTAACCTCTTATCACATTTTGATGAAAGAAGACTATGAGAAAAGGTCAAAACCATGAAATGAATTCTTATGATTACAAAAATCGAGATAAAATACATAACAAAGAAAGTGGGGGCGAGGGCGAGAAAACCCTCAAATGATTTAATACAGAAAGAGTAGCAGGAGGGACCTGCAATCAGCTGCATGTCATCTTTCAATATCCACCATAAAGTGGTGCAGAAACTCATCGAATAAAAACATTCAGATCTGAATTCCCATACTCCGCCTGTACTTCCTCAATCTTCTCCACCGACTCTTCAACAGCTTTATGACAACTCTTTACCTTGATCATTTGAAGCATCGTAATGCTTTCTAGACAGGAAGGTATCTCCTCCAAATCCAGACAATAACTCAATTTTAACTTCTCAAGACACCCAAATTGGTCATCAGAACCACTCCAAGTGCGAAGCGATGAGAAATCCAACTTCAAGTATCTTAGTTTGGAGAATTCTTCTTCCTCCATTCTCCATGTATTGCCTTCGAATTCAACACTTATTAACTCGAGGATTTCGAGGTTTGGCAGTCTACCAATGCTAGAAGGACTCCTCTCAGACAAATGAAAACCCCATAGTGTCAATTTCTTCAGATTTGCAGGTAAACTAATATCAAACCTCATATGTTCAGGTATTTCATCCTTATCCACTAGCAAATAAAGTGATACTAGTTGACTCAAGAAGTCAGGGATTACAACCTGGACAAGATTTCCTCCATGATTGTGGAATCCGCAAAGCTCGCATCTCAACTTACGGATGTTTGGAAACTTTCTCATTACTCTTTCCATGTTGCAGTCAAGAGGTAACATCAGACCACAAATCTTATCCAACTCATATAAGTCAGGAGAGTTGTCAAGATTCTCCAGGGGCAACACAGCAGAAGCTCTCCTTACGTAAAAATGCTTTAGTTTCCGTAAATTCCAGAAACTATCTGCCAGTGAAATGACACTTTCGAATTCTTTATGAACAATAAAAGTTTCTAGATTAGAGAGGTTACCTACCGAGGGTGGGATGCCCTCGTACTGGTATCGAATTGCAAGGTAGGCCAACCAAACAAGGAGCCCGATTTCGTTTGGAATTTCACCAGCCAAGCAAACTTGCTCCAAATCCAACACTCTCAGAAGTCTGCACATGTGCATGAATGAGAAATTTCGCGTCCTTGATTCCTCATAATGCTTGAAACGCAGAGAACGGACACGAGAGCAAGATATTTTTGACTCTACAAAATGCTTTGCACTAGAGTGAATGCATAATCTTCGTAGATAGCGTGGCTCATTAAATGCTGACAACTCTTCATAGCCTCCTTCAAGGAAATAGAAGAACTGATCATCTTTGGCTTTTTGGGAACAAAGCTCATGAAGCAAATCATGGACGCGGCATGTTTTCACTCTGCCGTCAAATTTTCGTTCAGCAACCATAAGTAAGCTTCTGCCAATTAAATCATTGAGATACTCTTCAGCAACATCTGAAAGGCGCTTCATCTCAACTTTCTGAATGAACCCTTCAGCCATCCATAAATGAAGCAACTTCGTCGCCGAGACCTTCTCATCTTCTTGAAATGCCGCGAGATAGAGGAAGCATCGCTTCAAACGTTCTGGTAGATGACTGTAACTGAGCTCCAGTGTGTCCTTGCAGCGGTCTAATAAATTGCCTCTGCTTAAACTGGCCAGAATTTGCTCCCAATCCTCTGGACTTGTGGATTTTAGAATTCCTGCAACAATAAGAATTGTGAGAGGTACTCCATTGCATATTTCAGCAAATTGGATAGCGAGATCCCCTAATTCATTGGGTCTGAAATCTCCGCCATGTAAGTTTCTTTGCAATAAATCCAGGCTCTCTTCTTCGGTAAGTTGGCCTAGCTCAAATGGTTTTCCATCGAGCATATCAAGAGGAGCAACATCATGGCAGCGACTTGTAACTATAATTCTACTCCCCAAAGAATCATCCGGGAATGATTCTTGCAAGCACTCCCATGCTTCAGCTTCCCATAAATCATCCAAGACGACGAGATATGGCCTTCCCTTCAGACTGCGCCTCACCTGGTCTGCTACATCAGCTGCAGTCGACTCAGAACTGACATGAGAATATCTTTCCGGAGCAACTTGTTTCAATATGTCAATTAGGACTCTCTTCTTGTCAACTGCTTGCGAAACGGTGGTGAATGCACGGGCAGAAAAGCGATGCAACATAGAAGGGTCATTGTAAACTTTTTCAGCCAGAGTAGTTTTGCCTAATCCAGGCATACCAACAATGGTCACGACCTGCAACTTTTTTAATCCTCTCAAGACTCTATTAGCAATTGATTTTGCCTCATCATGGAAGCCCACTACATCTTTGGTCATCGATGCAATCTTTGGTTGCACGTGACTGTGAGTCCTGATTACTTTCTTCACTTTGATTTCTTTTCTCTTGGATTTAAATTCTGGTGTTTTGGCTTTGGCTTCTGACTTAATATTGATGATTTCTTCCATGATAGAGTCAAATGAAGTTGATAGAGAATCCGGAATATTACCAACCATGAGGGAGTCGATAGAGTCCTCCACTCGGTATGCCACTTCCAAAACACGAACCCCCAAAGTCTTGAGTTCCGGCTGATCATGTTGCAAATCCAAAATGACCCCCAAGAAAGATCTTAAGAAGACAAGTTCCTCTTGGATAGTCTTCACATGAGTCTTGGCAGTCGGTTCAGCATTGTTGCTACTTATCAGCTCCTCCATTTTTTGTAACAGTGAGTCCACAAAAGCCAATTGGGTAGTGCTTGGAGAGTAGTTGAACTCTGGTACTGGTACATCTTTCTCCCCAAGGTCCGCCAGAATTATCTTGATTGCTTCTAACAACTTTGGAAGAGGCCCAAGGTCCAGTTGTACATTTGTTTGGTACAATGAGAAAATGAAGACTCCAGCATCGCATACCACAGCTACAATGTCTTCCTTGGTTTTCAGAACAAATTTGTTTTCCTGCTGCTTGTGAATCATTTTTCTCAAGGATCTGAGTCCTTCATATAGCTCTAACTGTTGATCCTTCATAGGAACTAGAGCAGAAGTATTCCTAGGTAGCACTTCCCAAAGAAAAGAGATGAGAAAATTAAGCAGATTCTTCGTTGTTGTCAAAGCTTCATCCTCCATATCTTGATCATCATTGAGAGTAAGTGATTTCCTCGCCAACTTTGATGTAGTTAAGGCATCAGTGTAAGTCTTACAGACCCGAGGATCAATAGGCTTGATCTGTTGCAACAACGTCGAAATCTTCCACTGCTCACTTTCCTGGAAATCAATTCCATAATAAAACCGACGATGAAGAATTTCATTATATTTGTGCACTCCATTCTTAAGTAGGAGATATCCAGCATTGATAGCAACAGTTCCAGCATGAGCCAACAAATCCTCTCTTTGTTCCGTATTCCTCTGCGTGATAAAAAGGATGAGTGTTTGCAAGAATGTCAACTGCTCTTCCAAAAGTTCCAATTCATATACTACATCTTCAACGCAGTGTTCGATCATTGAACTCCGGAATTCAGCTTGATTCTCCATAAAGGAACCAATGATTTCCAAGACTTCATATGTCGTAAGACAACTTGATTGTCTTGCGGTATCCAAGAGGGCGACAGACCAGTCATCTATTCCTTTATCAAAAGATGCAATGGATCTTTGAAACATATCAGCATAACCCCATAAAGGAAGAACAACGTTGATCCGTTCAGCATTTCTGCGAACAGCATCGTCAATCTCTGCCAAGAAAGATCCAAGACTTGCATCGTTGCTCAATATTCTGGCGTAAAGAACAAAAGCTTTGAGATTCCGTAACCTGAATCTCAGTAGCTCCAACAGAAGAAGATACTCACGGTCAGAAGGCTTCGTGTCAAGCAGCAGATGAAGCTGGTGTAAGGCAAAATGAATAGAATCAGTAAGCGTGAAGGATATTTCTGCTGGATCAATGATCGTGAAGGGCACCTTGTCGGGGGATGTTTCTGCTGCTGGATCAATGATCGTGAAGGGCACCTTGTCGGGGGATGTTTCTGCTGGATCGGAAGAACAACAACGGAAAATACAATCAAAGAGAATGGAGGCCATCTTGTTGTTGAAATCTTGTCACTGGATGTGAAGAGCAGCAAAGGAATTATAGAGGGATGCGTTAGCTTGTAGGAAGGAAACAGCTGCGGAGAGTAAATGAGCTATATTGTTGAAATGAGAAGAAATATAACCAAAACTTTGATGCAGACTTGTGAATATTATCCCTTGAGAAGAAATATTGTCTGTTGTTTATAATTTATACAACAGCTGGGATTGCTCTGGATCAATACCAAACCTTACCACTTCCCCCTTAGCAACTCATTGCTGATTTTGGTGACCATTTTTGCATTAAACAAACAGATTATCACACAGTACACCAGATTTGAAATCTCACTCACATGTGACTAATGTTCCTGAGGTGTTGGGAGCTGAAACAAAGAAAGAGTTGACCTTTTTTTTTTTTTTTTTTGTGGACTTTAGGTGTTCCCCTTACCTTCAATATGGAGAAAAATGTGATTCTCTTAACCCAAATTAATTCAACCTAAGAGATCAATCATTGGATTCACTGGCATTGTTTGTGTCATATTAAAATTGATAAATGAAGCAGCAACCTGTCCAGTATTACACCTTGGAATGACAACTCAGCTGAACTAAATAAAAGAATTAAGACCGAAAGAGCTCCAGAGAGGAAACAGCTGAACTAAATAAAAGAATATGATCAATCTGAGATGTTATCCAGCCGTCCTCCCTCTCCATGATGGAGGCAAAGACAACTCAGGTGACCCACTAGGAGTTCACACTTTGAACGTAAATGGCAACGAAGGCAGTTGACCAGAAACATGATTGATTATGAAGAGAAAGAGGTGATGGGCAAAGGAAAAAAGTGACGATAGAATACAGAAATTTAGCGTGTTCATATCTGGAATGTTGATCCCAACTAATGAATGGCGAATACAGATTCCTGAAACTAGAAGAAGATCTCTGTTATTTCCCGCACCGATGGAGTAAAATATGGCGAGCAGAGTCGTTTACCTTAACGGGAAATGGTCCCCTCCTTTCTTGATTCAAATGCAAGAAGGGCAGATTTCAGCTGGACTAATTAATAGCACAAAATTCGCCAATGCGCCTGCTCTCACATCTTGTATTTGAACTTGTGTCTGAATCCCATTGCTGCAACTTAAATCTGAGAATCGAACTACCTCCATTAACAAGTAAAGATATTTCCATATGCAATCAAAAAATAAAAAAATAACCTTCAGAGTTGAATTTCCCAACGCCTCCTGTTCTTCCTCAATCTTGTTCACCAAATTTAATTAGTGTCTCAGCGGTATAGGAGGAGACCTCAATCGTCTCCAGTGTAGAGCTGTCCATAGAAAGCTACAGCTCCAGGATATCACAATGAACGGATAGTTTAATACTGCCACTGTCATTCAATGATCCATAGAAAGCTACAGCTCCAGGATATCACAAGGACATCAAGAAAAAAAACATAGTTCAACAGATATCATTTTATCTTCGGCATAGAAAAATCTAGACAACAAATATCCAGAACATTTCCCTCAGCAAATCATCAATTCAACAGCTACGCACAGGGGCAAAAAACACTATTCACTAAAACTCAACAACACGGTCAATTTTAAACACAAGTAGAGTTTAAATAACATAATACACAGCCAAAAAAAAAAAAAAATCAAAATAACCACGAAGAGGCATTCAAGCTCTACAGGGAAGGAATGCGCATAAGCAAAAATACCAGCAGTCTCAATAACCGTCCCCAATTGGCTTCAACGTATACACTTTCCAACAATTATGATAAATTTTGTAATTTGCGAGTTCAATCGTCACGGCGTCTCCAGTCTGTACACTCCTCACACAACCTCCCTTCCGATTCTAAAATGATAAATTTCTCCGGCAGCCACCGCATTCCTGAAGAATATTCTCGCGTACGACTCTGCCACCGGAGCGTGCTCCCGAATCCGAAATTATCACCACCGAAATGGATTCTTTATAAAAGAGTGTCAACAGCACAATTCAGGTAACTAGAGATCATAAAATACATAGCTTTAAACGCCAGAAATCCAAACCCAAATTGGAGAATAAAAGAGCAATGTTTTTGATGCGGAAAGAATGGTAGGAACAACATTGTGACTTCTTTTAATTTGGTACCGAAAAAAAAAAAAAAAACCCAATGGCATGGTTTTTGGATTATGACCTTCAGATCGGAATTTCCATACTCCACCATCTGCACTTCCTTAACTTTATTCACCAATTCACCCACAGTTTTATCACAGTCATTGACCTCCATCATTCGAAGCATCGGAATGCTTTCCACACACGAAGGTATCTCTTTCAAATTCCAGCAACCACTCAATTCCAACTTCTCCAGACACCCAAATTGATTATTAGAAGAAGCATTCCACGAGCGAAGCAACATGGAACTCAGCTTCAGGAATTTCAGCTTAGAGAATTCTTCTTCATCTTCTTCTTCCATTGTCCATGTGTCTCCTTCGAATCTTACTTCACGTAACTTGAGAATTTCAAGGTTTCGCAATTTGCCAATACTCGAAAGACTCTTCTGATACAGACGAAACTGAAATAATGTCAATTTCTTCAAATTTGCTGGTAAACTAAACTCAAACTTGATGCCTTCAGGTAGTTGAACCTGGTTTACGAGTACATGAAGTGATTCTAGCTGACTCAAAAATTCAGGAAACACAATCCGGATGAGGCTGCCTCCATGATTATCATCGAATCCGGATGTTTGGAAACTTTCTCATTAGCCCTTCCATGATGTTGCAGTCAAGAGGCAAAATCACACGACAAATCCTTTCCAAGTCATATAAATCAGGTGAGTTGTCAAGATTCTCCAGGGGCAACATACCGCCGTTAAAACGACTTCCTGTCATGCAAAAATGTTTTAACTTCTGTAAATTCCAAAAATTGCCTGGCAATGAAATGTTTTTTCCAAAATGACCATTCACAATAAAAGTTTCCAAATTCGATAGGTTAGCAATCGACGGAGGGATGCCACCAAATTTTTTTCGAATTGCAAAGTAGGCCAACCGAACAAGGAGTTCTATTTCATTTGGAATTGTAACACCTAAATCGATTTGCTCCAAATCCAACACCCTTAGAAGCCTGCCCATATGCATGAATGAGAAACTCCGTATCCTTGATTCCTCATAATACTTGAAACGCAGAGAATGGACACGAGATAAACATATTTTCGCCTCTACGAAATGCTCTGCACTAGAGTGAATGCATAACCTCCGTAGGTAGTGCGGCTCATTAAATGTCGACAGCTCATCGTAGCCTCCCTTAAGGAAATAGAAGAACTGATCATCTTGAGCTTTATGCAAACAGAACTCATGAAGCAAGTCATGGATGCAGCATGTTTTCGCTCCACCATTACATTTTTGTTCGGCCACCATAAGTAAGCTCCTCCCAATCAAATCATTAAGATACTCTTCAGCAACATCTGAAAGGCGTTTCATCCCATCTTTCTTAACGAACCCTTCAGCCATCCATAAATGAAACAACCTCCTGACTGAGACCTTTTCATCTTCTTGAAATGCCGTGAGATACAGAAAGCATCCTTTTAAATGTTCTGGTAGATTATTGTAACTGAGCTCCAGTGTGTGCTTGTAGCGGTCTAATAAATTGCCTCTGCTTAAACATGCTAAAATTTGCTTCCAATCTTCTGTGAAAGAATTATATTTGTGTGTGTATTACCGGTTGTACAATGATATATATATATATATACACAAGGATACATAAAACCCTAGCCGACTATTCCGGAAACCCTAATTTGATTTCCTTAATTACATACTCTATCATCCCCCTGCAATTGTAGTAGGATGAGGAATCATGCCTAGATTGGTTCGAAACAAATAGAATTTATCTTTAGCTAATAACTTGGTGAAGACATCTGCAAGTTGAGATTGTGTTGGGATATGATGAACAACAAGAAGACCAGCAGTAACTCTTTCATGAACAAAATGGATATCTAACTCAATATGCTTTATTTTGGCATGATTAACAGGATCGGCGGCAAGGTAGGTAGCAGATATATTATCACACAGAATAACAGAAGATGTGGGAAGCTTGATGTGAAGCTCAGATAAAACATTTTCTAACCAAACAACTTCAGCTAAGGTAGTAGCAATGGCGCGTTACTCAGATTCAGTAGAAGAATGTGAAACAGTAGATTGCTTTTTGGAAGACCAAGAGACCAAGGATGAACCTAAAAAGGTGCATAAATCGGTGGTGGAATGTCTAGTCATCGGACACCCAGCCCAATCAGCATCCGAATAAGCCATAAAAGGATCAAGAGGATCAGCGCGGATATGAATACCATAGTGAAGGGTACCCTTAATATACCGTAGAATGCGCTTAACATCCTGATAATGTTGCTCCCGAGGATCATGCATATGTTGACAGACAAGATTGACAGCATACTGAATGTCCGGTCTAGTGAAAGTAACGTATTGGAGGGCACCCACCAAATTTCGGTAGAGAGTCGGATTATGAAACGGTGGTGACTCATCAACAGAAAACTGAAAAGCCGGAGCAAGTGGAGTGGCAACAGGATTAGCTTCAGTGAGATGACTGCGAAAAAGTAGTTCCTCAGCATACTTGCGTTGATGCAAAAACCAACCATTGGACTGGGGAGAAACCGATACACCCAAGAAGTAACTAATAGAGCCAAGATCAGTCATTGCAAAAGAACCCTTCAGAGACTGAATAAGACTGGTGAGAAGACGATCACTAGATGTTATTAAGAGAATATCATCAACATAGAGGAGGAGAATAGCCATGTCAGTGCCAGCAGTGTAAACAAACATAGAAGAATCCGAGCGACTGCCTTTAAAACCCTGTGTAAGCAGGAAAGTAGTAAAACGGTAAAACCAAGCCCGAGGGGCCGCTTTAAGCCATAAATAGCTTTGTTCAGGCGAAAAAAAAGACAAACATAGTGAGGATGGTCTGGATGAACAAAGCCAGTAGGCTGTTTCATGTAGACAATTTTATTTAAATGACCATGCAAAAATGTATTTTTAACATCCATTTGATGGACGGGCCATTATAAGATGCAACAATACTTGAAACAGTCCGAATTGTCACTGGTTTAACCACAAGACTGAAGGTTTGATCATAATCAAGCCCAAGTTTTTTATTGTAACCCTGAGCGACCAAACGTGCTTCACAACGATCAAGGGATCCATCAGATTTGAGTTTCATACGAAAGATCCATTTGAAACCAATTACATTAGCGGAAACAGGTAGTGGAACTAAATCCCATGTATGATTAGAAAGAAGGGCATTGTATTCATCACTCATAGTGGCACGCCATTTAGGATGTTTATTTGCTTCAGTGAAAGATTTTGGTTCTATGGAAAGGGAAGGAGAATTGGTAGTGGCAGTGAGGGAGAAATCTGTTTAGATTTTCGTGTGTCATCCCGAGTGCAGGTGACCATAGGATGTGAGGGAGCAACGGAGGATACAGGAGCTGAAGTTTGAGTAGGAGCAGAAACTTGAGTGGCGTAGATTGAAGAATCTGAAACAGGAGATTTGCTTGGAAGGAAGGATGAGCCTAAAGGTGGAGCTTGAGTTGAAGAGGAAGTGACCAAAGGTAGAAGTGACCGAGGAATACGAAAGGAGGGATGTTTAAATGGGGAGTTCGATTTTTGTAGAGGCTGAGTCGAAGATGAAAGTGTGGGATAGGGAAAGGAAGTTTCATCAAAGGTAACACGACGAGAGATATAGATTTTGCGAGAGACGGGATCATAGCACCGGTATCCCTTGTAGGAATCCGAATAACACAGGAAGACACAGGGAATTGAGCGAGAACTAAACTTATGAGATGTTAAGTGACTTAGATTTTGAAAACAAGAGCAACCGAAAACCCGTAATATACCATAGGTTGACGACCAAACAAAAGATAGAAAGGAATAGCATTGGTGGTAGATTTGGTAGGCAACCGATTTAAGAGGTAAACACTAGTGTTTAAGGCTTCAACCGAGAACTCATTTGGTAATTTGGCTTGATGAAGAAGTGTACAGACCATATTAAGCAAGATTTTATTCATACCTTCAGCTTAGCCATTTTGCTGAGGGGTATATGGACAAGAAATGCGCATTTGAATGCCCTTAGATTTTAGAAAGGTTTGAAGGGAATGAGAGTGAAAATATTCAGCCGCACCATCCGACTGAAGAATTTTAATAGAAACATTAAATTGATTTTGAACAAGAGTATAAAATTCAACAAATTTCTGAGGAACTTCGGATTTATGTTTAAAAGTATATACCCAAAAATAATGAGTAAAATCATCTAGGAATAACACAAAACATTTAAAACCACTAAAAGAAAGACAAAGAGAAGTCCATACATCAGTGTGAATAATATCAAAAGCACTAAAAGTAACAAAGGAAGATGGCCAGAAAGAAAGTTTATGATGCTTGCCAATTTGACATGCTTGACATAGGTGAAGCTTATTTGAAGAAGTCATTGACCCAGGAAGGCTTCAAGTAGACACTAAACTTGACAGAACGGAAGGATTCGGGTGACCAAGATGTTGATGCCACACAGGAGAGGAAACAAAAGCAGCAAGCGCCGGACATGAGGATGGTACAAGAGATTGATGAAGTAGGGTTGAGGGAAAGGAGTAAAGAGAACCGGTACTATTGCAACGCAGATGAGGGGTTCTCATCCAAAGATCTTTCACAGAAAAATCAAAAGGGTCAAATTTAATAGAGCATTGATTTTCAGTAGTAAATTGACGACCAGAAATGAGATTTTTTGTAATGGAGAGAACACAGTAAACATGAGGAAATTTAAAAGAAGAACAAGGAAGTTATCCCATAGATTTGATTGGTAAAACATGACCATTCCCGATGACAACACTAGTAGAGCCAGTATAAGGTTTATAATTAGAAAAGATATCTTGATTAGGGGTCATAGTATTACTACAAGCAGTATCCACATACCAGGAAGAGTCAACGGACAGAGGAGGAGGTCGAGTGGGAGGAACGACAAAAAAAGCTAGCTGCTGGAATTGGAAACACTCCCGAGCCGAGTGATTGGGTTGATTACACAACTGGCAGCGAACTGAACTCGGCTGAAAGGAGGGAGCCGGACTGAGGAGAGATGGTGCACAATTCTTGGGAGAGAACACTGGAGCTGAATAATTAGAAAAGGATGGATAAAACGAAGGAGGAGAGTTTAGCGGCTGGTTTTGGTTTGTGTTGACACTGGTGGCTGTGGATTTCTCAGACCTAGCCATAACGTCGGATGATAAGAGAATAGAGGTAGCAATTGGCGGATATTTTTATTTTTATTTTTCATTTTTTTGGAAAGAAGCCGAAGAACGGTTAAGAGAAAATCGTGGTGAAGAACGGTAGAAAATGAAGCAGCAGCGGAGTACGAAAGCAAGGCCGTCGGAAGAAAACTAAAAGACAACGAAGCAGCGGCAATGAAAGACCTGATTGGAAACAATTCCCAAGAGGGGCTTGATTTGGTGTAGTGGAGTGGAGTTGGAGTTTTGGTGATAGGGTGTGCTGCCGTGAAGGGTGAAGGCCGGGAGGTTTGATGATTATGATTAAGGTGATGGTGATGGGCTACTGCATCAAGGAATTGCAGAAACTTTTGGCCGTGGGTTTTGTTACGTAGCTTCAAGGGTGATAGAGACAAGGGATTGCGTGGAGTTGGTGAGGTGCTGAAGAGTTGATGATGCGCAAGGCGGCTGGGTTTTGGTGGATGAAGAAGGAAACCGCGGACCAAGAAAGAAGAAACCTAAGGAGGAAAACAAAAGGCTTAACGGGGTTGAGAGGTCTAGGATCGATCGGCGGATGATACCATGAAAGAATTATATTTCTGTGTATATTACCAGTTGTACAATGAGATATATATATACAAGGACACATAAAACCCTAGCCGACTATTCTGGAAACCCTAATTCGGTTTCCTTAATTACGCACTCTATCATTCTGGACCGGTGGATTTCAGAATTCCCGCAACAATAACAATTGTTAGAGGTAGTCACCGTTGCATATTTCAGCAAGCTGCCTCCTCAGATCACCTAATCCAGTGGGCGTAATGTTTCCACCATACAACTTTCTTTGCAATAAATCCTGGCTCTCATCTTCATTAAGTCGCCTAAGCTTATGTGGTTTCCCCTCAAACAAAATATCACGGGGAGCAACATCATGATGATGACTTGTAAACATAATTCTACTCCCCAAAAAATCATCAGGGAATGATTGTTGTAAGCACTTACATGCCTCAGCTTCCCATAAATCATCCAAAACGATGAGATATGGCCTCACCTGTTCTGTTACTTCATCTGCAGTCGACTCAGAACTGAGCTGAATATACTTCTCGGGGGAAACTTGTTTTAAAATGTCAGTGAAAACTCTCTTTTTGTCAACTGCTTGTGAAACAGTTGTGAACGCACGAGCAGGGAAATGAAGCAATATAGAAGGATCATTGTAGACTTTTTCAGCAAGAGTAGTTTTGCCTAATCCAGGCATACCCACAATGGCCACGATTTGCAATTTTTTTGATCCTCTCAAGAGTTTAGTAATTATTGAATTTGACTCATCATGGAAGCCCACAACGTCCTTCTGCATTGATGCAGTTGTTGATTGCGCGCGACTCTAAGTCGCAACTGCCTCTTTCACTTTAATTGCTTGCATGTTGAGTTTAAATTCTGGGGTCTTGGCTTCAATTTCTGAATTAATGTTGATGATGTCTTTCATGATAGAACCAAATGATTTTGATAAGGAATGTGGAGTATCGTGATAATGTTCTCCACTCGGTATGCCACATCCGAAACCCGATTCCAGAAAGTTTGGACTTCTGGCCGATCATCATGTTGCAACTCCACAGCGTTCCCCAAGAAAGATCTTAAGATGAAAAGTTCCTCTTGGATAGTCTTCGCATGACTCTTTGATGTATGTTCAACATTGTTGCTACTTATCAGCTCCTTTAATTTCTGTAACAGTGAGTCCACAAAAGCCAATTGAGTGGTGCTTCGAGAGTTGTTGAACATTGTTTCTCCCAGATCTTTCTCTCCAAGTTTTTCCAAAATAACCTTGATTGCTTCCAACAACTTGGGAAGAGCCTCAAGTTCCACGAGTTGCACATCTATTTGAAAAGAAAAAATTAACACTCCGGCATCACACACAACAGCTAAAACGTCGCCCTTGATTCTTGGAACAAATTTGTTTCGTTGGTGCTTGAGAATCATTTTTCTCAAGGATTTGAGTCTTTCATATAGCTTTAATTGTTGATGCTTCTTCATAGGATCCTCGGTGACAACTATTGAGAGGTAACATTTCCCAAAGAAAAGATATGAGAAATTTAAGGAGAATTGTAGTTGCAATAAGGAATTGGTCATTAATGTCTTCTTGATTAGTGAGAGCACGTGAATTCCTTGAAAATTTTGAAGTAGTCAGGACTTCAATGTAAGTCTTACAGACCCAAGGATCAATAGGCTTGATCTTTTGGACCAATCTGGAAATCTTCAACATCTCAGTTTTTTCCTCGGGAATTTTTTTTTTCGTGAATAATTTCATGAGAGTTTCGCGGTCCAATTTTAAGTTGGAGATATGTTGCATTGATAGTGATGAAGTATCAGCCATGTCAGCTGGATTCTTCATCAAGTCAACTTTGCATCCTGGTCGCCACGCATATGATCACTCTTCTTGTCATCCCGAATCTTCCAACAACTTTCCAACTCAGCAATTTGCAGCACATGATCCAGGATAGTCTAATACGACAAGTCGGGAACGGAATTATTGTATAGATTTGACAGTAATAGTTTTTTTACAGTCATGTAACTTTAGCCAAGATAAACCGCCTTATTTATGTATATATATAGAAGACTCATGTACAGAATCTGATTGATGAAAAATACACACATTTTTCACACATTATTTTCTCTTTCTTCTCGAAACTTTCCTTCACTACCTTTTCATAACTAGGGTTATCGTTTCTTGAGATAGCAACAGTTCCAATATGAGCCAACAAATCCTCTCTGGCTTATGTATTTCTTTGCGTGACAAAAAGGATGAGAGTCTACAAGACTGCCATCTGCTCTCCCCAAAGGTTCCATTTCATGGACTAGAATTTGAAGAGTTATAGATCGGTTCATTCAACTCTAGAACTCCACTAGATTCTCCTGGAAGGAACCAATAATTTCCAGGACTTCATTTGTGGTAAAAGGACTTGATTGTCTTGTGGTGTCCAGGAGGGTGGCATACCATTCATCTAATCCGCCATAAAGCCGTGCGATGTCTTCTTCAAATTTATCAGCGGCATCTTTGAGATTAGCTCGACCAGTTGAATCAAAATCAAGATGAATAATGTGAATCTTCTCTGCATTCCTGCGAACAGTATCTTCAATTGTCGCTAAGAAAGATCCAAGACTTATATCGTTACCCAATTTCCTGGCACAAAGAGCAAACATTTTGAGACTCCGCAACCTAAATCTCACTAGCTTCAACAGAAGAAGGTGCCAATGGCCAGGAGGCATCATGTCAACCACCAGATCAAGATGGTGCAAGGAAGAATGAATACAATCAACTAGCACGAAGGCCATCTTGTTATTGGGGAATTTTTCATTTACGGGATTTGGAAAATGATGCAAAAAGGAAACAACAAACAACTAGTATATTTGTTGAAGGAAGAAGATATATAACCAAAATGAGATGCAACCTTGAATAATATCATCCCAAGTCTGTTGTGTATAATTGAATTGTACTACCTCTTGGCATTGCCATAATTGACTTTAGTTAATTGTTTTAAATTGATCACATCAGCAGTAAGCAAATGAATCCTAAGATTATTCTATGTTCATGTGACAAGTTTATTGTTGGCCAAGGAAACTTCTTCTCTTTTTGTGTTCTCACTCTATCATACATCATAAAATACTCACAACACATGATGATGAGCAGGGCAGTAAGGTCATCACTCCTCATCCAAAGAAATAGAAAATCAGGAGGTTGATATGGGCTAGTGTGTAAAGCAGAAAGAACTCTAGAGAGGAAACAGCTGAGTTGATTATTAAAATATAAAAGTATATGACCAAACTCAGATGACATCCAGTTTTCCTCCCTCTCCATTCTCTGAGCCAAGAAAACTCAGCTGGCCGGTGGTGGTATGAGGGTCATCCTTTGCACGTAAATCACAAGGAATACAGTTAACTCTTTACCCCAAAATATAATTTATTATGAAAGGGAGAAGGTGATGGGCAAAGAAAAAAAGTGACCAAGGCATAGAAATTTAGCTATTGGTTGGGTTCATACCAGGCGTGTTAATCACAATGAATGACAAGTACAGCTTCCTGACTCTTACAGAGTAAAACAAACATATTAGAAGTTGAAAAAATGGCCCATTTGCATTTGTGAATCATAAACTAAGGTCAACGTATCAGATTACAAGTCTCAATCGTGCATGAGGTTGGCGTTTCTAGAAATACGCAAGATGGCAAACTACAAAAAGACAATCTGTATATCCCGCAACTAAAACGCTGGAGTAAAATATGGCTAGATGCCTAGATGAGAGTAACTTACTGGCAACATGAACTGTAAGTCTGTAATTGAACAATGTATTACTCTGAAGAATTCTGTTTCTCAATTCCTCAATAAAGAGGAGATGACAAATAAGTAAACCATTAGCCTTGGCTGGGGAAAAGAATCAGCCAAAGAATTTCTCGACTCAAAGGGGGGACATGTGAAAGAATCAGCATTCTTCATTGTCATCGTTCCAATATCATCAAATTTCTAATGAAACAACAAAATCTAAAGAATTGAAGTGCCTCCTCCAACAAGTAAAAGAAATTCACTAGACTGATTTTGCTTTCTCATAGCTGAAGAACGTACTGAGGTTGTAATTCGAAGTTTCAATATGCATAGAATCCTCAAATTCATAAAGTCCATCAAATTACTCAGAAGGCTTACCTAAAACCCAGTCCATCATCACATCTTTCATATCCACATTTCAGGGATTCCTCAAAGTTTTCATCTTTTGAAAAGTCTGTGAGGTGGGTTTTATGCCAGATTTCCCCTTTTATGTTTTTATAGTGTTTGCCCCTCTGTATGAGGTTGGGCTCTAACATTGGTCGCTTGAACCGATTTGGGAACAGAATCATGCGCAACAACAGGATTTCTTCTGATCATTAATTTTGGAGTGTACTAAAATCCTTCTTTTAGAAGTGTCCTCTAACGATGTTATGACCATAATCGCATTAGTAGCAATTATATGGTGTCGTGCTATTTACAAGTACAACACTTTACATATTCATCTTTTGCATCTCTGATCGACGCATTTAAGCCATCATTCCGTCAATTTGAATTGCTTGTGATGGCCTTAAAAAGAAATGACTTGTGATATCTCTTCTGTAAACACAAATTCAGGGGGTGAAATTTAGAACCGTCTGCAATATCACAACATTCACAAGGGGTTACTCATCACTTGATACATATGCTTGAGATTCTCAAACCAGTATGAAGAAATTTTTTTTAGTGGATAGCTCTGCTGCTCTGGTAATTTCTCAAACCATGGATCTTTCTTTTTGCGGCAATCCTTGTTTCCATTTTCTAGTTCTACATTATCTTTGTTTTATCAAAACTTTAAATTTATCACACTTAAGGATCATCAACTCGAAACTATACTTTTTTACAATGTGACGTAATGAAACTTGGGAAGTGGTTATCTGAAAGAACCACAACCATGTTCCACAAAAGGGGGAGAACAATGAATCAGAAGTAACGGCAGGGAATTAAGAGGAATAATTCATACTGATTAGCAATCCAAAAATCATGTCAAGAAGCATCCCAGTCTGCATCGAAATAAATAGAAAAAGGGAGACTGAATGAAACATGTGTATGCCCCAAGAGATGAAAGATAATATGCTTTTGAAGATGAATTGAAACTATCAGTTGCATTGATGAGAAATACTATATGGTCAAGTTTCATCTGTCAAGAACAATGTCAAAAAACATGCACCTCTTTCTTCCCCGCCGAATACATATTCCAACGATAATGACTCCAACAGAGAAGGTATTCTATACACTGATATCAATCGAATGCCCATTGTCAGATCTTCTTAATCAATCAATAATGATGACCTTCAGAGTTGAATTTCCCCACGCATCCAGTTCTTTCTCAATCTTTCTCACCGAATCTAATAGAGTCTGATTGCTTCTACAATAGGAGACCTCAATCGTCTCTAGTGTAAAGATGGTCTCTAAACAAGGAGGTATCTCTTTTAATTTACGACATCCACTAAATACCAGCTTCCGAAGACATCTCAATTGATCATCGCAAGTTGCCCAGCTGACAAGACTCGGAAAGTAAAATTGCAAGACTCTAAGTTTGGAGAATTCCCCTTCTTCCATTTCCCATGTCCTCCCTTCAAAGTTTGTGCGGTCTAATTTGAGGACTTCAAGGTTTGGCAACTTACCAATGGTTGAAATATCACTCATAGACAAATCAAACACCGACATCGTCACCTTCTTCAGACTAGCAGGAAAAACTAACTCAAAGGAAATGTGAACAGGACGTCCGTCATAAGATGTCAGATTAAGGCTCTATTTGATAATCACTTAATATAGTGACTTAATTTATTTAAGTAATTAATGAAATTAAGTGTATTTGATAATCGCTGCTAAAAAGTCTTAATGAATTAAGTTTTGAATTAATTAAGTACTTATAAATTAAGTACGTTTGATAACAAAATTTCACGATCTGAATTAATTGAGTACGTCTGAATGACCAGTTCAATTATGAGCCAGAAAATAAGTGATAGGCATATCACTTATCATTTATCACTTAATTTCTGTGACGACTCTTTTTTTTCTTTTTTCTTTTTTTCTTTTTTTCCCTCGTCTTTATTTTGTCGCTTATTTTTACATTGTTTTTAAAAATTTTATTTTCTTAAGATAAATTAATTAAGAGTGCTTAAAGTTGAATTTATATTATGTGTATAAAAGATCTCAAACTTTCAAACTCAAATTAACTAAGTTTAATACATGATATTTGTTAAATAACAAGGTATACACATATATATAATAATCTAAATTTAATTATATTTTTATTATTTACGAAGTGTAACATCTACTTTCCTTATATGTACAAAAACTTATTTTAAAATTATTATTTTATTATTTAGAACAAAATATTAGTTATTTTTCTAATTAAAAAAATTTTGTTTATAATTCAATTTTAATGATATTAAAATTTTAAATAATTTTCAGACATGAGTATTCAGATTCAGTCTTAAGACTTCGAACTTCAGTCTTCAGACATCATATTAAGACGTTTTTATCAAACAATGTAAATTCAGTTTTCAGACTTCAGACTTCAGTGTTAAGTGTTAAGTGTTCAGATTCAGACTTCAGTGATTATCAAACAGACCCTAAGTGATTCTAGTTGACTCAAAAAATCCGGAACCAAAATCTTCACAGTTTTCTCATCACCACGTTCAACCACGCACTTCAACCTGCGGATGTTGGGAAACTTTTTCATTACCCTTTCTGCGATGCTCCAATGAGGAAGTAGTATACCAGATAACCTATCCAAATCATGTAAAACAGATGAGTCATCCACATCTTCCATTGGCAACCTAGCTCCCATTTTAGAATTGCAACACCTTATGTTAAGGTACTTCAATCTCCCTAGAACCCAGAGAGTATTTGGAAGTGAAATTCCATATCTTCCATATCTTCCACCATATCTTCCACCATTAAAATAAAAGTTTTCAACATTGAGAGTTTATCTATTGATGATGGGATGTCACGAATATTATCACCTCCAATTGCCAGAAAGGCCAACTGGACAAGCAGTTGTATCTCACTTGGAAACCCAGAACGTAGAATGATTTGCTCCAAGTCCAACACTTTCAGAAGGTTGAAAATGTCAGTCACAAATGAGATATTGGACAAATTTTCGTCTTGGTACTTTTCCTTCTGAGAACAGCAGTAAAGCAATGAACATGCGCGGGGACAAAATAACTTCGACTCTTCAAAATGATTTGCCTTAGAGTCAATGCACAGTCTCTGCAGCTTGTGCGGCTGATTAAATGCTAAAAGCTCTTCATACCCTTTCACCAACTGGAAAAAATTTTCATCCCTAGCTTTCTGTAGAACAAAATCATGAAGCAAGTCATGAATGCGACATGATTTGATCCCACCGTTCCATCTTTCTTTAGCAACCATAATTAAACTCCTGCCAATTAGATCTTTTAAGTAATCTTCAGCAATATCTTCTGCCTTCTTCGTCTTATCTCTCTAGACAAAACCTTCGGCTATCCATAGATGAAGCAATTTTGTGGTTGAAACCTCTTGATCTTCGGGAAATGCCCCAAAATATAGAATGCATGATTTTAAATAATCTGGTAGCTCTCCATAGCTCAGCTCCAATGTTTTTTTACAGTGATCTACAATGGATAAATTGCCAGAGCCTAAAAAATCCAGGATGTCATCCCAACCCTCTGTCTCTGTACTTGCTAGAAGTCCTGCTACTATGACGATTGTGAGAGGTAGTCCACGAAAAATTTTAGCAACTCGAATTCCGAGATCAAGCAATGCAGGCGGCCAACCATCACTTCCAGGAAATAACCTTTTCTGCAATAACTCTAGTGTCTCTTCTTCATTAAGTGCACGAAGAAAATGAGATGTGTTGTCCATCAGCATCTCAGGAGGAGCAACATCTTGATCACGACTCGTCAAAAGAATTCTGCTTCCAACATCATCATTAGGGAAGCATTGGGCTATGTTATCCCATGCTTTCCTACTCCATATATCATCTAGAAAGATGAGATATTTCTTTCCTTTCAGACTGCGCCACAGCTTTTCAGCTACATCTCTTTCATTTGTCTCAGGATTCATATTAGAGTTGGGAACAACTTGCTTTAAAAGTTCAAGAAAGAGTTTCCTTTCGTCCAGAGTTTGTGAAATAACACACAATGCACGAACATGAAAATATTGTGAGACTGAAGAATTATTAAAAAGTTTTGTTGCTAAAGTTGTCTTACCTAAACCTGGCATACCGACAATGCCAATAATCTTCAACTTCTTTGATCCCCTTAGCAGCTTATCAACAATTGCTTGTTCTTCATCCTGGAGACCAACAACTTCATTTGTATTTGCTATTGAGGGTGTTCTTTTTGATAGCATGTGACTGTAAGTCCTGGTTACTTCTTTGACCTTGGTTTTTGACACATCTGCCTTGATCTTCCCAATATCTTCCATGATGGAATCCAGTGACGTTGAGAAAGAATCTGGATTATTGTAATATTTAGTATATTTCCTATTATGTCCTAGTTTAGGGTTTGTTATTGTCTATATATAGTCTGTATATTGTGCACAACATATTATGAATCAAATACAATTTCCCTGTTCTAAGTTGGTATCGAGCTAGGTTACCCAATTTTTTTTTCTTTCTTCTCCTTTCTTTTCTCTTCCCCGCCGGTTTTCTTTTCTGGCCGTGAGAAATCCATCCGCCGTAGTCGGCCTTTTTCTTTCATTTCTTAGCCGCCACACACCGGTTCTTAGCCGGCGTGCCCCTTCTTTTTCCCCTTTCGAATCCGTTCCGTCGTCGGTCGCATCCTCCGTGCTGCTGCCGTCGTCGTTCCTCACCTTCCTGCTGCTGCCGCCGTTTTTTTTTCTGCTGCTCCTGCTGGTTCTGTTGCAGCCGTTGATCTCCGTTGCTGCTGCCGGTTCGTCGTTCGGAGTGCCTTTTCTGCTTCTGTTTTCTGCCCGATCTCGGCGTCGTCGTTCGCGCCCTTGCTGCTGCTGCTCTTCGTCGTCGTTTCCTCCTACTGCTGCCACTGTTTTTCTACCGTCGTCAGTTCTTCTTCTCTTTTTTTCTGACGTCTTCTTCGTCGTCGGTTCTGCCGTCTGTCGTCGTCGTCGTCGCTTTCTTCTCCCCGTCGGTTGGTGCTGCTGCTGCTACTGCTGCGTCATCGGATTTTTTTTCTGCACTGCCGCCGGCCTGCTGCCGTTCTTCTTCGTCGGTGTGCGTTTTCAATTCGTCGGCGTGCTGCTTCTTTGCCGGACGTGGTGCTTTGTCGGCGTGCTTCTTCTTTGTCGGCGTGCTGATTCGTCGATGTCCTCGTTTGCCACCGCTGCCTACTGAACTTTGATTCTCGGCCATTAAAAAAAAAACAAAAAAAAAAAAAAACAAATTGAGCCTTATTCGGTTTTGACTGTTGGCCTGGCTCGTGGATGGTCGATTTCTCAGCTTGATGTCAGTAATGCCTTTCTTAATGGTGTTCTCAGTGAGACCGTGTATATGGTTCAGCCACAGGGGTTTGTTGATCCGGTGCGCCCTCATTATGTGTGTAAACTGCATAAGTCCTTATATGGTCTTAAGCAAGCTCCTCGGGCCTGGTATTCTCGGCTGGCAGCATTTCTACTTACCTTGGGTTTTGTGGAGTCTCGTTGTGATCCGTCTCTTTTTGTCTATCGCCGTAGGTCTCAGTTGTGTTTTTTGCTGGTCTATGTGGATGACATTATTCTTACAGGCAGCACTTCTGGTTTGGTCCAGCATTTTATCTTTTGTCTTGCTAAGGAGTTTTCTCTTCGGGATTTAGGTCCATTGAGTTACTTTCTTGGGGTCGAGGTTCGTCGTACTTCCAAGGGTTTGCTTCTCTCTCAGCGCAAGTATGTCACTGATTTGCTACGACTTGCAAATATGCATACTTGCAAACCTGTTTCGACTCCTTTGCAGGCTAATGTTGTGTTGTCCCGTTTGGATGGTACTCCGTTGTCTCCTGATGATGCGACTACTTATCGTCGGCTGTGTGGTAGTCTGCAGTATACCACTCTCACTCGTCCAGATATCTCCTTTGCGGTTAATAAGCTTTGTCAGTTCATGCATCAGCCTCGCACTTCTCATTTTCAGGCTCTCAAACGGGTTCTTCGCTATCTTCATGGTACCGTTGATTACTGTTTAGTTCTGCATCCTATAGATTTGGGTATTCTTACTGCGTTTAGTGATGCTGACTGGGCTGGTTGTCCGGATGATCGTCGTTCTACTACTGGTTTTCTCATTTATTTGGAAACAATCTCATTGCCTGGACATCTAGGAAGCAGCCCACTGTGGCTCGCTCGTCTACTGAGGCTGAGTTTCGTGCGGTTGCTAATGTCTGTGTTGAACTGCATTGGGTGTGTCATCTGTTGTCCGAGTTAGGCGTTTCTTTAAATCGCCCTCCCTCTATTTGGTGTGACAACAGTAGTGCAGTTTTCCTTGCTGTCAATGCTGTGTTCCATGCTCGTACAAGACATGTTGAGGTTGATTTTCACTTTGTTCGAGATCATGTTCGGCGTAAGTTTGTTTCGGTCAATTCTATCTCTGCTGCTGATCAGCTTGTTGATATTCTTACAAAACCCTTGTCCAAAGAGTTATTCTTTCGATTTCGGGACAAACTTCGGCTACTCTCTTCTCCGCCGTAAGTTTGCGGGGGCGTATTGTAATATTTAGTATATTTCTTATTATGTCCTAGTTTAGGGTTTGTTATTGTCTATATATAGTCTGTATATTGTGCACAACATATTATGAATCAAATACAATTTCCCTGTTCTAAATTGGATGATCGCCAAGAAGTTGTAAACGGTCTATGCTCTCATCCACCTTGAATGCCACCTTCAAAAGACGGTCACACTGGGGTTCGAGTTCCTCCTGCTGTAGATAATTATCGCAGAGCACTTGGAATTCTTCCGGTTGTTGATGTCGTGACTGCACAATCTTTCCCAAGAAAGATCTTAGGAAGAGAAGTTCTTCATGGATGGTTTAAAGATGGCCTGTGGCATTTGGGTAACCTCCGAAATTTGTGACCTCCACCAATCTAAGAAATATAGTATCGGAAAAATCAAGCTGTTTTGCCATAATAATGTGTAACAAGTTCAGAAGCCGAGAAAAGTCAACTTGGGAATGATTCTGGTACAATGAGAAAATCAGGATTCCGGCATCACACACCACGGCTGCAATCTGTTGCTGAATGCTGTTGTTGTTTGGCTTCTTCTTCTTCAGATGCTTGAGTATGGCTCTCAAAGATCGAAGTCCTCCATAGAGCTCTTGCAGATGATGCTTCACAAAGGCTAAACGGCAAGAATCAAACCGTAGTAGCCGCCAAAGACTAGAAATGAGAGAATCAAGGAAAGTGATCAAAGTTGGAATTGTGGCGTCATCATCATACGCGTCGCATTGAGTGGTGAGAGGAATTGAAAGGCTTGGCAACCTAGAGCTGCTTAGGGCGTGTGTGTATGTATCAAACACTTTAGGATCTACAGGGTTGATCATTTGCAACATTTTTGAAACCGTAATCCCTGTTTTTTTGGATGGTCTTTTAAAAAACCACGATCCTCTAGAAAAGATGGTGTTTGTGGATGGTGTTTTAGAAAACCACAATTCTCTAGAAAAGATGGTTTTGAATGCAAAAGGAAGTCTCCAAGAGAAAAGGAGAGATGCAGTACTGATATAAACAGTTTCAGAATGAGCCAACAAATGATCAATGGGTTCAACACTTGTTGTGTAGCGAAGCAGATGAGACTTTGCAAGAATGCAATATGGTCTTTCAAGGCTTTCACATATGCTTCCATGGAAGTGTGCTCTTCAAAGAGATGTGGACTTATTATTTGCCCCAAGATTACAGAATGAAAATCCAGTAGAGTCTCCAAAATGCAACGAACGATTTCAGAGAGATCGGTTGTGGTAAGACAAGTGCTTGATTGCTGCATAGCTACGTAGCAATTACGTATTTCTTCCTGCAAAGACTTGTCGTCTTTAAGGAACTCAGAAGCAATACTATCATGCAACTTCGTCTGTTCCTCGCAACTTCTACGTTGAGGAACCTCAAAACTACTGCTCCATCGAGGAACCGCGAAAATGGGAATTTGCTGCAGGATCTTGCGAACAACATGTTCAATCCTTAGCAGCAGAGATGCCAAAGTCGCATCGTTGCCTAACTTTTTGTTAGAAAGGACAGCAAACGTTTTGATATTCCTCAACCAAAGGTTCAGTATCTGTTTCAGTCTCTTAAGCATTCTCGATTCGTCGTCAACGGGAGGATCGTTCGCTATTTCAGACTGCACAGCATCCAAGGCAGAAACAATACAAGGAATTACGGTGGAGGACATTATTGTGGTTTTGTTGCAAGAATCTCTACCAGATGATTAGAAACACTGATGGAATTCTTCACACAACTAAAGATGGAAGAAATGGGGAACTCCAGTCAGTCCTTACACATTGATCTTCATAAACTTCAACGTCATTCTGTCTTCGTGGAACCCTCGTCCTGTCCTTCGCGATAAAATACTACATCCTTCAGTATATTAACACATTATGTATATTCGGGGTTTTTTGGGAAAAAAAAAGAAATATTTTGATTTCAGAAAACACGGGGAACAGATAAAATGAAAAATGTGAGTTAGTTTACGGGAGAGTTGGCTTTACCGGAGAAAGTGTATAGTGACCCGTGAGAAGAGTTGGCTCTACCGTAGAAAAAATAAGAAGATGAGGTTATATAGTACTACCTCCGTCCAAAAAAAAAAGTAGTCCAGTTTGAGTTTTAAGATTTGAACTAATTTTAGTATAAATTTGAAAACTCAATGTGGACTATTTTTGTGAGACGGGTGGAGTAATTACTTATGATAGTAAATTTTATATCTCCCTTTGTTTCTGAAAGGATTGTTTGTACTATGTCCTAAAGGTAAAGAAAATTTTTTCAAGACAATCAATTTGAATTTGAAATAGAGGGAATATATACTTTACTTTGTAGATGATGGCTTGCCTCTTACTAATCTTCTTTCCAAGCCTTATACAGTTTTTCTTTTTCCCCTTAGCTTTAACATCCTGATTGGTTTCCTAATGATATCTCTCCCGCAAATGAGGCAGATGAAAGTAAATTATCTGCAAAAGCTCTACATCCAAAAAACTAACCGCGTAACATGCTGGGAATACTCAACTCAGGGCGGGGTTCCAAACAAGAAGCTGGGTTGAGTTTAAAAAATTACAACATATCCAGCATATTCTCAAACTCGGTTAGGGTTTAGAGAGTTAAAATATAGCCTTATTCCTATATTTCAATACAGAGAGATTGTTTAAGTAATATAATCCAAGATGCATTAGTGCACTAATGCATTGATTTTAGGAAATTTCACCAAATTAGGAAGCGTCAAAATTTAGATGAGGCATTTTAATCTAATCCATTATTAGCACAAAGCTGAAAGAATTGTTATGAATCTCTTCTAGCTTCATTTGCAATGGATAAATCTAGACAATTACAGCAGGAAAGAAATGCAATTGAATATGGATTACAGAAAATATAGACAGCAGTTACTTGAGATCACAACACACAATAACCATGTCACTGAATTCAGCACTAAATTCATACTCGCAATAGTAATAGGTCAAAGTAATGATATCAGACAAACACAAGGTTGACCACACAGTCATCTAACAACGCTCTTTCACAATACAATGAGTTCTGCTGGGCCTAGATTCCCTGAAGATCAGTAATTAGCTCTAATAGCCTGAACCCATCTCATGAACTTGCACAGCTAATACAACCTGCAGAATTTGAGACATCAAATTGAGCACTGCTTGGATAAAAGGCTGTGTCAGTTCAAAGAAAATAAAAAAAGATAAAATCCCCACTCGATGCCTTTGAAGGAGGAGTGGAGCAAGCTACTACACATACTTGTTCGTCCTTATAAACGAAAAACAAAGAATAAGACGCAGAATATGTCTATTTGTAGTGTTATGACAAGCCAAAAGTAAAAAAAGAACACTAGGGTGAATGGAATAAGAAAATAAACAAACCACAAAAACCTTAAACTTAGGCCTGGCATGATTGATATGTGGAGAAGCACTATTAGCCATTATTACATCTATTTAGCTCAAAATTTCAAAGGGAAACCACTTCAGAAGATGTAAAACATGACAATCTGCAAGATAACAAATTCACCTAAAGATATGTATGTCTTCAACATTGACAACACTCGTGAAAGTTCATATGCAATCAGCATCATAGACAATGCTTATTTTGTATAAAGGATAGAGGCACACCTATAAGCTATCTGAATTAAATGGCATCATGTTACAGCCATTTATCTGTACCTTACCATATATGTGATTCAGATCCATGATGTACTAACAACACATGTCTTATGCTTGTTATCCTAAAGCATCATCCTAATAAGTAGCACAGTGTCTTTTGAAAAACATTAACACCGATAAGTTTATTTCATCAATCAAAAGAAATTAAACTGCCCAACTTACATACAAAAATTAACAATTCCAAACTAATATGTGTGATTGAGCTTTGAACTAGTAAGGAAATGGTGAAATGAACTGACAGTTTAATACCACCGAGTGGTGAAATGAACTGGCAGTTTAATAACACCATAACATTCAATGATCCACAGAAAGCTACAGCTCCAGGATATCACAATGACAGAGAAAAAAAGAAGTTCAACAGAACACATATCATATTTACATTCGGAAGGCAGAAACATATAAACAACAAATATCGAGAACCGTTAAAGTGCTCAAAATGCAGCTCATTTTCCACAACAAATCATCACTTCAACTTTTAAGCACAGGGCAAAACACACTATTCACTAGAGCTCAACTACAAGGTCAATTTTAAACACAAGTACAGTTAAAATAACATGATATACAGGCAAACAAATCAAAAAAATTACCACAAAGAGACGTTCAATGTCTATCGGGAAGGAATCATCCCAGTCTTTCGCGCATAAGCAAAAATCCCACCAGCCTCAATAACCGGCCCTGCATCCCCAATTGGCTTCAATTGATACTCTTTCCCAGAAGTATGATTGATCAACTTGTTATTTGCGAGTTCAATCGTGACAACATCTCCAGTTTTACACTCCTCACACAACCTCCCTTCCGATTCTAAAGGATAAATTTCTCCGGTAGCCACCGAATTCCTGAAGAATATTCTCGCATACGACTCCGCCACCACAGCCGCCACACCGGCGGCTCCCAAAGCCACCGGAGCGTGCTCCCGAGAGGACCCACATCCGAAATTATCACCACCGATGATAATGGTAAAGTTTGACTTGAACTGATCCGGCTCCACAAAACGGGGCTGGTAAGATGAGGGGAGCCCACATAAAGCATACGACCCCAACTTCTTGTACTCTTCCGGTTTGGAGGGAACAAGGGTGAGGTATTCAGCAGGGATGATTTGATCAGTGTCGATGTTATCCCCAACGACGTAGCAAACGCCGTGGAAGGTGGTGGCAGCCTCGCCGGCGGCGGCCGCTGCGGAAGGGGGAGCAAGGGTGGAGAAGGGCTTGTGGTGGAAACGAGGAAGGGAAGAAGAAGAATAGGAGGAGGATGAGATTAGGGGTTTAGAAGAGGCGTAGTTTGGGGAAGTTGAGGTAAATTTGAGAGTGACTAATGGGTTCCGGGAGGAGTTAATGGCGGAAGGATTGGAGGAAAGTTTGGCGACGGTGGGGTTTGGGGAGATGATTGAAGCCGCAGCCGCCATTGTTGTGGAAATGTGCTGAAGAATAGGGTAGAGGTGTTAAGCTGCTTAAACTGAACCGAGGAGTTAATCGTCAGTAATTCGGTGGTCAGAGCCGCCAGCACTAATGCCCAAATTTTGTTTCTCTTCCTTCCTTTTCTTTTTTCACTTTTTTTTTTTTAAAAAAAAATTCCGCCTCTGTAGTGAGAATCGAAATAAAGTCTAATACTAGAAAGTACAACGTCTTAAATACTAAACTGTCATTTAATTCTCTCGTATTTTTTTTTTCACTTATTTAAAGTAAGAGTTCAAAAATTTTGTGTAATCTAATATTACACGTCCCAAAATAGTTACTCGAAATTTTTTTGTTAAACAATTAGCAAATATGAGATACAACATTTTAAATCACAGAAAATGCATCATAGTATATGAGATGATAATTCTCTCGTTACACTTTACCGACTTTGCAAGTAGTTACTTTCTCAAATACTTCCCATGTTCCATAATTATTGTCCAGTTTTACTAAAATGAAATATTTTATTTTTTATCAAACTTAACTATATTTTACCTTAAACAACCGGATATACCCCTACATAAGTAATTGTTTAACCACTAAGATTTTATGGATAATATTTTTTACTAAGGACAAATGTATAACTTGATCCATAAAAAGTCAAATTGGACAATAATTTTAGGACAAAATTTTTTGGGCAAAGTGGACAATAATTATGGGACGGAAGGAGTATAAAATCTATGATGTATTTGATCGTAGTGTAAACCAATTGTAATATACTTATAGTTTGATACTGTAGTAAAAGCCAAAAAAGTCAATGGATGTATGGAAAGTGAGCCAATAAAGCTGCACGAATGCATGTTCAGACTTAAACCAGCATCACTAAACTATGCATATACTCTAGAAATGTGATACTGAGCAATTGAAGCAAGAAAACTGTAATAAGCAACCACTATGTGGAGTTTGGCTAAATGATGACAATATCATTGTGTACTATACAATATCCATAACAAGCAACCACTATGTGGAGTCCGGCTACATGCATCACATGTTTGCAATCGTGCTCAGTCCTAATATGTATCTTTCTCATTTAAGTATGAATAAAGACACACAATATCATCTCGTGGCAGCTCAAATTAAATTCTCAAGGACTTTATAATCATCACATTCTGACAGCTGCTGCTTCTGATACAGGAGAAACCTTACGAACACCTGACTTTCCTTCGTCTGATCACGTGCAATCTGCAGCAATCACTCTCGCCCAAGAGAAATTTCAGTTACAGCTCTGCTCTGGAAGCGTCATCCCTCGCAGTACGTGGGGCAAAAGATGAGTAGGTTTTGATAATTGACACATACAGGTCAATCCCCTTCAAATACTCATCCTTGTTCAAATACTGCAAAAGGAACGCAAACAAGTTAATGCAATTAAAATTGTGTAATCTCAGTCGATGAAAACTTTCATAAAACAGTGGTTGGGACAAAACACGACAGTAAAACACCACGATGAAATATGCAAAACTTGTATTGGCAACTCTTTAGAAAGATGTAACACCATATAAGTAAGAATTATACTAACAAATCAACAAAAGATGCTGACAAATAGAAATTTTTTCTTCGAGGAGTTCCTTCATAGCATTTAAGCTTATACAACTTAGACCAATATCCTACTTAGTCACCCATATTGGCAGTCTTGTGGTATACGATAAATCAAGTTATCTAGGAGAGTCGAGAGACATAAGCTTACAGGTGCAGCGGTTTTGAACAGCTTTGTTTCATCCAACAAACATATTCACGCAACCAAACTTAGAGGAACGCATCACAGGGTTTCTTTTCTCAATTAGAAGTAATATCAGGCACTAACTCATATACAATCTAGTCATGCAAACATTCAGAGACTTGGTCCAACTATGCAAGATATAATGATCACCTCATTGTGGTCGTGAAGTAGAATTGGAGTGTTGGCCATAGGAGAAAAGCCAATAGCTGGCAAGCCTCGGTTGCGGAAGTAGCGAGCATCTGTAGAAGCTGGAAATATTTCTGGCTTTCCAAGAACGCCATTTGCATTCTTGATAGCTTTTTGTAAGAGTCCCCACCAAGGATTTGAATCATCAAGGGGTGTCACCATGGGTTTCCCAAACTTGTCATGAAGCGGGCCCTTTTGTTTGAACTGCCCAAAATTTGCAAAGTTAAAATAAGAAGAAATTTTGCTCCCCCTCATTTACTCATAAAGAAAAAAATTCTTCACAAAAGAAAGAGGTTATAAACCGAAAGAAAAGTTATCAAGGTTAAGCCTTTCTCTGTTCAAAACCATTAGCAAAAATCTCCAATACTTCCATCATCTTGTAATTAAGCAACTGAGAAATAAAAACACAACAGGTGCAACTTGCGTCCCTACCTCAAAGGTCATATTACGGGAACTTGGTGCCCATTCCTCAGCAATTCGTCTCTCCAAGGCCAAAGGATCAGCTGTTGGAGGAACTCGTATGTCAAATCCAGCTACAGCTTCAGATGGCTGCAAATTCATAACAAACCCCTGCCAAGCCCAAAATCCCAAAAACAAAACCAGTTCATAAATAGTTGTCATAGTCAAAAAAACACAGAATAGCAAACTCTCAAAATAGAAATAAATTAGAACAAGAACAGCAATAACAATTAACTTTAACCTCACTATATTGGATCGGCTATATGGATCATATTGCACCACCTCGTTCCATATATAGCAGTCAATAAATTTAAACAAATCATCTTACTAATTGAGGTCAATCGTGCTCCACCAATATAGAGCCATTGCATTCTATCAAACACGTGAGATATTTGAAATTCAAACATGTGAGGCCTTTTTCACTAGGTACTTTCCAAACTTATGCTTACAAATGTTATAAGCATTACTGCATGTGCATCTCTAGCTTGTCAGCACCACCTAAAGCATGATTCTATCTTTATTCCTTATCTATCGGGGTTATCTTGTTTCTAAGGCAGGCATTCATCACCTGATCACCGAATCAGTTCAATTTAAAATATACCTTCTTCCTAACGCAAGCTTTCATCTAATCTACTACAACAGAAGCCTTCTTTCTCACAAATGCAAGTATTCCCTATCAATTTCACCTATATCTGTTGCATCATCATCATCAGTAGTGACGGCATTTAAAAGGTAAAATACATTTAACTGAAAAACAAAAATAACTAAAAGAAGAAAGAATTTCAGACCCAAAAAAAAAAAGGAGATTCTACTTACAGTTGGGGAAGGAGTGCCAGCTTTGAGAAACACCATGTTGACAGAGATAACGTCCCCTTCAGCTCTGGAACCCGATTTAACTAAATCAAACTGTGCACTTCTAAACCTCCGTATACTCTCAATACTCTTGAACAAATTCTCCATAGCACTATTGTCATACAGCTTCGCGCCATGACCTGGTTTCCCAACCGCCTTAATCGACATCCACCATGCCGATCTCTCCCCATAAAAGACACGATAAAACCCATCCGGGCTCGCCAACCCTTCATCCAAAACAACCCCAACATTCATTTTATCGAACACTTCGGACTCTGCAAACTTCTCCGCCCCATCATGTCCCCCGATTTCCTCGTCGGGTACAAAAGAAAGGTACACGTCCCGGGTCGGTTTAAACCCGGAACTTCTCAGCTTCCAGATGGCTTCCAAGTACTGCATCCCGACGCACTTCATGTCCTGTGATCCCCTGGCGAAGATGTGGCCGGTGGAAGGGTCGAGGTGGGCCTGGAATGGCGGGTGGCCCCACTTGTGAGGCTCGGAGGGGACGACATCTGTGTGGGAATTCAGGAGTATGGAAGGAAGACTCGGGTCGGTTCCGGGCCACTTGAGGAGGACGAGGGGTTTTCCGGGCACGAACTCAAGGACTTGGGATTCAAGGGAGAGGGAGTTGGCGATGGCAAGGAGGAAGGAGGTGGATTGTTTGTAATCCGGGTCGGGTTGGGATGTGTTTATCTGGAGGTATTGCTGGAACCTGGATATGATTTCGGATTCAGTTGATTCTTGTACTGATGGTTTGGCCAGTGAAATTTGGAGGGATGATACAAGAAGAAGAAGAAGTAGAAGGGATACTGATAGAAAGCATTCGGGTTGAGGGAGATGAGGAGTAGCTGCCATGCTGGCAACGGTGGCTGTAGAAGTGGTGGTGGTGGTGGCGCAGTGGAGTGGTGGAGGAATTGGAGCAAATTGTTAATTTGTTATCGGAGTTGAGAATGAGAATCACAAGTGACAGATGGATCATCTTTTTTTTTTTTTCCTAAAAAATTCGACTTTCCGTCTTCTTTCGATCCAAGATTCCTTCTCATTTTGATTTTAGTTTGCCAACAAAATAGAATGAATAATACAAAAAAATGAATTTTTAAAAATGGGAGCAGAAAATTATCACTCTTTTTTCCTCTGTATCAAAAAAGGGGATGGATTTTTAAAGCCCCCAAATTTAGTACTCAAAGCCACCAAAAAAAAATTTGGACGATTTTGCTCCTGTCATTTAATACAGTAGAGAGAGAAAGAAAATCAGCCATTTAGAGGTAAAAAAAAAAAACTTAAAAAAGACCCGAACCGGGCAAGAAAACCGTCCCGGTTGAACCGGAGACGCCCAACAAACGCGTCCGGCCATTGAACCGGACGCGTTCATCGTGCGTCCGGACCGGGCGCGCAACACACGCGTCCCGGTTGATCCGGGAACGCGCAATATACGCGTCCGGTTCAATGGCTAGACGCGTCAAACACGCGTCCCGGTTGAACCGAGGACGCGCAATACACGCGTCCGGTTTAATGGCCGGACGCGTTTGTTGCGCGTTCCCGGTTCAACCGGGACGCGTGTGTTGCGCGTCCGGCCAGTGAACCGGTTTTTTTTTTTGTAATTTTAATTTCATACATGTTATGTTAATTTATTTGTTAATTTAATTAGTTATGTTAAGTAATTTAATTAGTTTAATTATATTTATTTATTACATGTTATGTTAATTTAATTAAGTAGGAATATTATTATTTTATGTGTTAATTTAATTATGTTAATTTATTGAAGGTTATGTTAATTTAATTAAGTAGGAATATTATTATATTATTTGTTAATTTAATTAGTTATGTTAAGTAATGTAATTAGTTAAAATTAGTTTATTTATTGCATGTTTTGTTAATTTAATTAAATAGCAATATTATTATTGTAGTTGTTAATTTAATTAGTTAATTTAAGTGATGTAATTAGTTGAATTTTATTTATCTAGATAATATTTATTTAGGGGGGAATTAAAGAATTTTGTGGAATAAGTATTTAATTAAGTATTGGAAATACAATTAATTAAATATATAATTAATCGCTAAATTAATGAATTCTAGCTTTTTAGGTAGGTATTGGGAAATTTAATTTAGTATATAATTAATCTATTTATGTAAATATATGTGTTTTTATTATTTATTATAATTGTATATCTTTTTTAAATGATTGGAATATGTGTTTAATTTAATTTATTATAATACAGATTTTTATTGTTGTAATTTTATGTTTAATTTGCAGGATTCTTTAGAAGATTTTGGTGGCGATGGTGATGATTATAGTATATTGTTTGCTACAGATGAAGAATTTGCAAAAAAGGATGATGCTGTTGTTTGGGTGAAAGGCATGGGCATGGCAAATGGTATGCTAATAAACGTAGTTTCTAGCAAGAAGAAGAATGTTTTTCTGATGAGATGTTGTAAAGGGGGAAAGGTGTCAGTTGATGATGGTGAATACTATGTCACATCAGATTCGAAGACACAAATCACTGGGTGTAAATTTAAGTTATATTTGCACTTAGTGGATGGGAAGTGGCGCATTCGGGTGTATCCTGGTGAGTTTGGAATGCATAACCACGAGCTGTTTGACGAAGATCATCCCACGAGGGGCCTTAGCGATGGAGTGAAACAGCTTATACAGGATATGTCCAAAGATGGGTGCAGACCGTGTCAGATCATGGCTGCGATTAAGAGGATCTTTCCTGATGAAAAAGTTAATAGACGGCAAGTGTACAATTTCAGGAAGAAATTGCGTAATGATGGGTTCCCGGTCTTGGGTGAATCGAGTGCCATGGATGTCGCGACGAAGACACTATCGGTGGCCAAGCATCATGGTTACATCATCATGACAGATTGCAATCAGGAGACATGTGTGCTGACTCGTGTTTTTTTTGCACATCCTGATGCTGTCAATTTATTTTGCAGTTATTTCTGGGTCATCGTGATAGACTTAACATACAAGACGAACAAGTACAAAATGCCATTGGTTGAGTTTATTGGAATGACACCGTGCAACCAGAACTTCCTGGTTGCATACGCCCTCTTGAGTGATGAGACTAGTGACAGTTATTATTGGGCTTTGAGACAGTTTAAGGATTTGCTTCCTAGTCATCTGTCTCCGGCTGTTATTGTTACTGATCGGGAACCGGGGTTGATGGCGCCGCTGGATATGGTATTTCCAGATTCATGCCACTTGTTGTGTGTTTGGCACGTTTATGAGAATGTAAAGCGACATCTCAACAAGGAATTGAAAATTGAAGCCAAGATTGCAAATGGTTTTGCATATGGGTTGTGGAAAGACGTTGTGGAAGCTAATAATCAGGATGAGTACAATAAAGCTGTTGCCGTAATAAACCGCCGATGGCAGTCTTTTCTGAGAGTTCTTAATTATATCCAGAAGACATGGCTAGTGGTTGACTACAAATTCGTCAAGGCATGGACGAATGTTGTGTTTCATATGGGCAACACTACTACAGGTAGGGTGGAGAGCGCGCACAAGCAGTTAAAAACTTGGATGGAAACATCCACTGCGTTGCTGGATAGACTTTGGGTTAAGGTGCACTTGGAAATTCAGAGTCAGCTAACCGAAATACGATAAGTTCTATTCCATTATATTAGAAGTTATATTTATTATAATATATTTAGTATTTATTTTGTTTTTATGGTATTTTACGTAGAATGTTTTACAGTAAGTGGCTACATTCATGTACAAACTGGAGTACTCAAGATAGAAAATTGGCACCCATTATTGCGGTTTTCCACTGAACCGCTTGAAGTGTCAAGTTTCACATACTTGTTTGCAAAAGCTGAACACAGAGTGGTCGAAGGCGCAAGAGTGGAAAGAAGAAACGAATGACCGATGCGATCATGTGGTGTACTGGACTTGTCGAATTCCATGTGCGTGCGCCCTCAAAAAGGCTGCAGATGCCGGCACATCGCTAAATCTTAAGCATATTCACCCATTATGGGCGACCCTTAATATCGGTGAACAGGCTGGTACGAGTGCTCCTAGCGATGTGGATGACGAGGTCCTTTATACCAGACAGTTGATGGAAGAGCTGAACGAGTGTCCTAAGGCAGTACGACGTACTGTAAATAGGGTTCTCCACGATATTATGCATCCAGACCAGTGTGGGTTCAAACAGCCCGAGGAGGTCAAGAGAAGGAAGGGGCGGCCTAAGGGGGCTAAATCAAAGACAAAAGCAGAGGCCAACACTCTTGCCCATGAACAATCCCCACAAAAAAAAGCAACTCCTAATGTGTGGGATTACAGGAACGAGGCGCAAGGAAAGTCGACCACAGTTACTAGCGATTCAAGTAAGAAGCGCCCCTCGTCTTCAGGTGGTCGTACAGATGCATCCACAGGTATATGTTAAGAAGTAATTGTTCAGAATATTCTTTATTTATTATTAATTGTTCCAAATAACATTGTTTCCGTGTAATGTACAGAGATCTTTGCGAGTGATATTTCACAGTATGGTTGTTACGACCTTATTCCATGGCCCATTCGGCCATATATTACCAGTTACCTTGATGTTGGTGCCGATGGCAATTGTGGATTTCGCGTAGTCGCGAGTAACATGTTTTTGAGCCAGGACAAGTGGGCGATGGCGAGAGAGGCAATGGCGAACGAGCTAGAACAGAATTGGCATCTGTACACTAGAATCTACGGGTATAAATACTTTTCATTTTCTATGTTATGATGTTTGCTGAACTTGGCAGTATTTTGCACAAATAAATGTATATGTAAATGCAGGACGTCCTGCCAGGAAGAAGTCCGTCGTATACGGTGGAGTGGACAGGGTTTCGCACCTGAGCGCCATTGGATGTGTGTGACGGACTTGTTCGTAGTTGCGACTATGAACAATGCAATTGTGTACTATTACGGTGCAGGAGAAGAGAACCAGTCGCTAAACTCTACATGCTGGACTATACTACCTGTCACTGCACGCGGTGAGGCAACATGTTCGGCATTTGAGATTGGGGTATGTCACCATGGTATTTACAAGCACTTCATTCGGATCAATTTGGACTAAGGAACATCAGCCTAGCGTTGCTGGTTGGGAATTACCACTTCTTCCTAGAATTCAAGATTGGTATAGGTTGGTCCCCTCCAATCCTGGATGTCCTATCGGGGATTATGCTAATGATTTCATTGATCTTAGTTTCTGAGATTAGATTCATGTTTGTTTGTTTGTTGTGAACTAGATATTGGTATTATCTAGTATCTAATTTGTTTTTTTTTTTTTTTATTTGTGAAATAACGAACCTTGTTGGCCATACTAGCAAAAAAAACCTTACTACACGGACACCAAATAAGCTAACTAATATATAACACACAATTCCATCATACCATAAAGAAAAAACTAAATGCAGTCCAAGAGAGAGAAAAACAAACAAATCCGGTCCAATAATACAACAATGATCATGGGGCCTTGTAATAACGGATCATCGTATCCTGCAGCTTCTCATCATATTCGTCAGCCAGGTCGCGATCGGACACTTTGACCTTTCTAATCAGGTCCCTCGTCAGCTTCCTCAATTCATTCATCCACTGAAAACACAAAAACCAAAAAAGGTTAAACTATTTATAATATAGAAATGTATGTCTACGAAAACTCAAAAATTAAAAATACAACTTACATAATCCTGACTGCTCCTAGCTGGTGTAGAGACCGCAGATGGGTCAGTTGTCGGCAGCAGAAATGGATGTGAATACTGCATGTACCATTCAAGGTACCCATCCTCACACTCTCCTACGATGTCACCGATATTGGGTCGCCATCTGGTCAAATTAAGACACGCTGGCTCCGGGAATCTCTTCCAAGTACTGAGTGTGTCAACAGCAGAATGCTGTACAAAGTACTGGGTAGTCCTGGGTCCTCGGAATGCATCATCAAGGGACATGGGCGAACGAGGAATGCTCTGTACGTAGCCACTCTGACGTATACATCTGTCCGGCATGTATGACTCCTGCAAGTTCCTATGCATTATCCACCCACTGTAGATAGTCCTAGGAACTATTCCTTGTTGGCCATGTCCAAATGGCTCCCAATTAACCTGCGAAATAGTATTTAGATTATTTATAAATATAATTTTTAAAAAATAAAATGAAATACAGTCAAATGAAGCAATCAAGTACCTCTAACTCGGTGAAACGGTCGAGACGCTCCCTAACCTGACGAAGACGATCTAGCACAGATGTCGGCCCCGCAAAAGATGGTGGTATCCAGTCATGTACTCTGGGCCTGTCATTACCCCCACGGGTAACTCGCCCTCCCTGGGGACGGAAAATCGGAAAATACTAGTATATCCAGGGTTGCAGTAGGGTCAAATAACCACCTAACTGAGTGCACTTTGCCCTACTAGACATCCCTAACTGACGATATAGGAACGCAAGCGTAGCAGAGCCCCACGAGTATGAACCCATATCCTCGATCCCAGCCATCAGCTCATGTACAAGTGAAACACTGCACCTCCCACCACTCTTGCCCATGAACAACGTCGAGGCCAACAATACCCACAAGAAAGCAGAGGCCTGGGTATTCTCGTCCGCTTTCTGGCATCGCTCAAGGATGAACCAATCAGAGACACCGCCATGACTCCATTTGTAACCATTCACATTCAGGCAAAGTATCCCTGCTGCATGTCTCCTCAACAAATCTGTCTCGGAGGGAGCTGACACCAACTCTCCATCGACCCCAATGCCCAAAATATGATAAACATCATGCATTATGATGGTCATCTCCCCAAACGGGAAATGAAATGAGTTGGTGTCCGGCTGCCACCTCTCAACAAATGCCTGAACTAAGCGAAGATCAATATCTTCATACGAGGTATAAAAAAGGTGACCCAATCCAGTCCCCCGAATCTTGCCTCTCACTACATCATCCATATCTTTATACCACATCTTCAACTTATTCAGAATCTTTTCGCCTTTAAAAATCTTCAATGTGGGTCTATTGTATCCATGCCAGAAATGATAAGCAATATGCCCAAGGAAGCTAGGAATCACGCTACCATCTATCGGCCCACCAGGTACTTCATATATCACTAGCCATGTAGTCGGATCAATTTCATCAGAAACTCTCGACTGGCTGCTGCCGCCTGTACCATGAATGAGTAAGCCAAATATTATTTATTACATTTTATGCACATACAACAATTCAATAAATATAAGTAAAAATAATTAATTAAAAATAATTACAGAATATTAAATAATTACAACAATTAAATATAGATATTTGGTACCTGATGATGCAGTAGTGGTAACTAGACGTGTAGATAGTCCAGTGGATCCGGGACCTCGGCTAGGGCCCACAGGATCAATGAGAGGGGGAGGACGTGTAGATACTCGAGCGGAGACGGGACCTCCGTGAGGGGACACGGGATCAATGTAGGGGGGAGATGCCTGAGCGGGGCGGGGGGGACGAGGCTGACTACCGGTGGATATACCCTGTGGGAATTCACCCGAATGCGGGAAAGAGAGACTATGATATGGACTGCGCCACTCACCACTCATAGGAGAAGGGATAGGGGTAGGGGGAGAGGGTAAACCGCGAGGACCAGGCCGGGGACAACTGGAGTACCGAGGAGGAGGGTAACTACTAAGATTGTACATAGGCGTATCTCTGTGATGTGCACCCATCATAACACTGTCCTGCACATCATCCTCATCAAACTCATTCTCCTCATCCTCCTCATCCTCATCCCCCTCTTCCAGGTCGTCCTGAGAATACTTGGGTACATGAATCGGCTGACTAGACCGAATCTGAAGCGGTACACCCCTCCATAGTGACCTGAATCATTTTCATTCACTTCTTTTTCTCTTTTTCCTCTTTTTTCTTCCGACGACTCATGATCCGATAACGCGCACGAACCTTACGCTTACTACTATCTTCAGTATCACTAGTATCACTATCATCATCATCATCACAATAAACCTATAAACAAAATTTTATTCATCGTCATCATATTTTCATAGTCTAAACAAATAATTATACACATTTCCTAAATCCTAAATAATTTAATAATTAAGTACAATTCATATAATAATTAAGTAAACTAAAGTACTTTACCAAATTTTTAATTACATTACTATTAATTATAATTAATTAAAAATACTCAACTATTTTACAAAATATTTATATTAATTTAATTAATCATAATCTACTTTACACACAATTTAAATTAGCTATACTAATCTACTATTACTTAAATTATAAATAATTTAATCAATTAAACAAATTAGGTAGTGAACTAATCTACTATTAATGAAATTATTTTTTAATATTCAACTAATTTACATACTATTTAAATTAATTTAATCAATCAAAATGAGTAACTTTACTAATCTACTAATAATGAAATTAAAAATATAACCTAAATACTTTAATAACTAATTAAATTAGTGAGTAAATCAATTAAACTAATTAGGTAGTGAACTAATCTACTATTAATTAAATTAGTTTTTAAAATTCAACTAATTTACATACTATTTAAATTAATTTAATCAATTCAAATGATTAACTTTACTAATCTACTAATAATTAAATTAAAAATATAACCTAAATACTTTAATACTTTAATAACTATTTAAATTAATGAGTAAGTCAATCAAACTAATTAATGAACTAATCTACTATTAATCAAATTAAATTATTTACACAATTAAATTAAATAACCAATCTAAATCACAAACTATTAATTAATAAATAACTACTTAATAACCCTAATTATATTAAATCAAACATAATTAAACACTAACATTGAATTAAACAAATTAAAAAAAAAAATTAACATTCTGGCCACCGGACGGCCACGGAAGCCGGCCGGCGGCGCGACCGGAACGCACAAGAAACGCGTCCCGGTCACGCCGCCGGACGCCTTCCTTGGCCGTTTGGCGGTCACACAACATTAAAAAAAAAAAAAATTTCCTTCCCGCCAGACGCGCAAGGAAGCCGTCCGGCGGCATGACCGGGACGCGTTTCTTGCGCGTCCCGGTCGCCCCGCCGGACGGCTTCATTACGCGTCCTGCGGCCAGAAGGAGTTTTTTTTTTTTTCTTACCATTTACAAATTTTTTTTTAAAAAAAAAACGTACCCGTGATGAGATCGGCTCTTTCCCGCTTTGATTCTTCCGTGTTGCCATCAACGGTGGATCAAATTAGACTTCAAATTTGGGTTTAGAAGGGAGGTGGTTTCAAGTTTTCTCTCTTTTTTCCTTTGGTGGAGGTTTGAAATGTGAGGGACAAAATAGTTCAAAAATATTTACGGTGGCTTTAAGTAGTAAAGATGGTGGTTTCAAAAACTAATGCCCAAAACCAAAACAAATATAAAAAATAGTCATCATTAATAATAGGCGTAATACACAAGAATCCCTCATACTTTTTTAAACCACACAAGAACCCCCTATAGTTTAAAAAGCACACAATAACTCCCTTGTGTTTTTCCAAAATATGCTAATCAGATAGAAGTGAATAAAACAAAGGGTTTATTCATAAAAACATCCCTTGTGGTATCTGAAACTACAAGACAAGCCTCTTGTGGTATAAATTCATCTGATAAACTCCCTTGTGCTTAATCCGAGATTTATAATATGGATGTCACTTGCTAAAGTTAACACTATTAACTGTGTTTTCCGTTTTACTCCCTTTATTTTGGCCTCTTTTTCCCTTTTCCTTTTATAATTAATTTTTTTTCATATTTTTTTTCTTAATGTTTAATCCCTCAGCTCTTTTTTTTTTCCTTTTTACCCAGAAGGCCAGAAACATGATCTAAAGGATATTCATCATTAGTTTCCTGTTTTATCTTTATGCTTAGAACATATATTGCATTTTTTCCAAACTTGATAATTTCTCCATATTAAGTTTTTAGTCATTATTTTTTATTCTCTTTAACCAAATTTTCAAATTCCACTACAATTACAATCATCAAAATCACAAATTCAAGATGATGATCTCCAGATGTATCCGTAGAACTATGAATACTCATGGCTGCAATAAAATCACTTAGCAACAATCCAATTATAATTAAACAAGAACTAAGAAGGTTTCTTTTTCTTCTTAAAATTGATGCGAGAAAGAGAGATGAAAAAAGAGGGAATAAAAGAAGAATGATAGGGGAGCCCGAGAGTGAAGCTCTGACAAGTTGCGTAGTTAGAATCTGGCAACTATGGAGATAAAAGAGAAAAAAGTGGGAGATACCTATAGGAAGAAGGGTTCTTTGGGTATTAAAATTATAAGTCAAATTATATTTACAAAGCCAACTTGCAAGTTTCGTGCGTGAGATGTAATCCCGGCTGTTTTTAACCCTTTCCGTCCATTTACAATTGTCGGACAAAGCACAATGAGGTTCATTAGATAATATTATACCACGAGGGGATTATCATGTACTTTTGAATACCACAGGAGGATTTTAATGAATTAATCCTAAAACAAACAGACATCTAACAGATCCAATCGAAATTACTAATCCACCCTTGATTCCAAGAAATAAAAAATTTACTCATGCCTACATTAAACATTTCCTTTTCAATCTCTTATTCTCTTATAATAGTAATTATTTTACTGTTCTCTTTCTTTTTATTTTCAATAACTTTAATTCTACAGAAATAATTTACAATCATTTTAATTTTACAAAAATAATTATTTCCTTTCCTTGATTAAATGTAATATTATTCTTATATTCAATTCCCAATTCTTCTTCAAATTGAAAGGCTATCACCATCATCACGACACCACTACTCAGCTGCACTTTTTCTCAATTTTACTAACATCAAATTATATTTTTTCATTGTTTAATTAAGAAACTAAGTAAAAAAAAATCAGAGATATAGAAATATGTGAAACCCTAATTCCTTGTTAGTTCGTGGTCCTATGGCACAAACTTTTCCCACCCCCAATCAACCCAACCCATCAAAATTAACTTCCACGAGGAACCACCCCCAGAAAGTTCTAAACATAAAAAAAAAGGACTAAAAATTAAACCCAATATTTTTTTGGTTACTGCAATCAATCGTAGAAAAAAAGACGGAAAAGAAATCGACGCAGCGAAGGAAGAGAATGAATCTTGGTGCCCGGTGGTGGGAACTCAAGTGGCAGCGAATATGGTGAGATACTGGAAATACCAGTCAACAGGGTTAGTAAAATGATAGAGGCTGAAAAATTTGGACGAAATAAAAAAAATAAATAAATAACAAGGCAAAGATTGACTAGAGAAGGGAAATGAGAAGATGAGAGATGGGTAAAGGGGGAAGATTAGTACAGAGGAAAGAAGAGGGGAGAAAGCAAATAGCAGCGGATGTGAGTTCACTTCATGATTAAGTACAATAAAAATATAAAAAGGTATTTCTGGAAAAATAAATTAAATGTGTTTACTTTATTTTACTCTCAGTTAAAACTAATCTACCATTAAGACGAGCACTTTCCATACAATTAACACATTTGGGAAAAGCACGAGGGGTTTCTCGTGTACTTTTTAAACTACAGAGGGGTTCTCGTGTGGTTTCAAAAAGCATGAAGGAGTTCTTGTGTATTATCCCTTAATATATTATAATTTGTGAAGGAATTCTATGGACCGCCTTAGGGGGACCAAGATAGTACTAGTTTATTACTCTTGTTTGTTTTATTTTTTTATAGTATTTTTAAATTAATATATTAATAGTTGTCCAATCCCAACATAACTTTTTACATTTTTAATATACTTTTTTACATTCTCAATACAAAAATACCTAAAAATACACACACAAAAAAATGAAACAAACATGAAAATTATCAATTTTCAGACGTTTCATGTCATTATCTCAGAATTCTTACTTTTTGGAGCTTAGTTTAAAAAAAAAAAAAAAATCTTTTTTTTGAACGTATGCATTTCCTTACAATAAAAGTGACAAATCTGTAAGTTGGCAACAGTGATATTCCTTTGGATGAACAGAAGTAATTGATAAAAAAAAAAAACGCAACAATTTTCTTGAGATTCATTCTTCTGCTAGGTTTATCTTCTTCCTGAATCCTGATCAATCATGTCATCCAGCTTCAAGGTTTGTCCAGCCGGATACTATTTTGACACATTCTTTACAAATTCCTTCAACGCCTTTCCTGATCACCTTGCCTTCTTCATTAATGGAATTCCTTCACAATCGATAATCATTTCCTGATCAACGCCTTTCCTGATCGCCTTGCCTTCTTCACAATCGATAATCATTAATGGAATTCCTTTGTACCACCATAATCTGTTGGTGTAAAACAGTAAAAAGTAATTTTGCATTCCTGCACAATCGATAATCATTTACAGATTTGTGGAATCTAACAAAGCTGCGACTTCAGTTTCTTCCACTCTCCAATATCGGAACTCGAAAACAAAATTAGAGATTTGAGTGGAACTTCGGTGACCTTAAGCTAAGAAAGTGACTTACATATTTTGAATGCTCAAGTTTGTTTACCGCCTAAACATTACTTTTGCATGATATTGTCACCATTACAACATGCTTATCTCCAAGTACATGCCGAACGCATATAATCAGGTCAAGTTTAGGGTTGTGTCTTCGGCGCTTCATTTTGATTAATGCAGCAAAGTGTGCTATAAAGCCGAACAATGCGGCATTTACGTTGCTACTAGTGACCTTTTTTCTCCAGAAACGGTTACTACAGCAATCAATATGAGAAGAAAGAATTACTTTGTAAACAAGAACCCGAAAAGGCGAAAACAGATCAGACCTAAAATTTTAGAATTACCAAATTCAGGACAAGGTGACACGGATGACATAAATGGTAAAGGTCAACTTATTGAACATCAATTGTTAGGGTAAGATTACAAAAGTCCTGGATGCTATTGAGCCAATTTAAAGAGCTCCAACCGACCAGAATCACAGTTTTGTAATGACCTTATATAATCCGGCCATACAAGATAATAAAACAAAGGTACAAAAAGAGCCAATAGGCAGTCATTCCTTCGTCAACTACCCAGCCCCGGCCATCAGCACCCTCCTCCCATCCTCAGCCTGCCAGCAGCCAAACTCCCCAAACAGGAAGAGCATGTTGCCAGAGGTCGATGTTTGCTCTCCTCCATCCATGCTACACATCAACCCCATAAATGCATTGTCCTGTCGATTCTCTGAGCTCCTTCATCACGTCGACATCAGCTTCACCAGATAAGACTTCAGAAACAAGCTACCTGTGTTTGCTGTAGCTTCCTCGTTCCTTCTCTCTCTCCCTCTCCTTAGACCCCTTGGAGTGCCGGGGCTCCTCCTCCCGATCCATAGTAGCTGCAACCGGTGGTGACGACTCATACCTCGATGGTCTCCTCTTGAAATGCCTATCATCATCACTGCTTTCATAATCTAATGAAGCAGCAGAGGTAGCACTTTTTTTTGTGCTTCCTGAAGGCACTTTGGCTTCATAGTGACCATTTGATGAAGCTTTATGAGTTCCTGAAGCAGTGGCTGGTGGCTCGGATGATGACGACAGCTTTCGCTTCTTCGAAGCAGCTACTTGATCTTCAGCAGGAAAACTAATACGAGAAAATACACTAGCCTTCTTCTTGTCTGCAGCTGACATGGTTTTACTAGATGGCGATGACGGAGCTTCCGGGGCTACTTTGGCAGCCGCTTTGGCAGCCAATTCTGCACGATGTTGACTGCTACTGCTACTTCGGTGAGGATGATCACGGTGATGGCGATCATCCTTGGGTTCCCGATGATGGTGATCAGTTTCCTGGTGGTGGCGCTCATCCTTTTTCTGGTCACGATGATCTCGGTGACGACTACGATAATGGTCATCATCGTGCTCAGATTTCTTCTTTGAAGATGGACGGGGAAGTTCAGGATCACGGGAACGGCGATCCGGGGAAGGTCTATCACGGGAACGGCGATCGGGGGAAGGCCTATCACGGGAGCGGCGATCAGGGGAGGGTCTATCTGACCGGTAACGATGGGGATGATCCGAGCTTGAAGCAGGCGGAACGGCCTTCTGAACAAAACCAAGACACGCAAGTTATGGGAACTTCACTATCAACACATGCCAGAAACATCTTATACAACCCATGTCAATATATTTTAGCCAAAAATTCATCATTTTAGAGTGTTCTAAAAGAGAAGAATATCTGATCCTGACCACTTTTATTTGACTCTCTTCTAAAGATGCAAGATTCTGTATGACAAGTCATTCACTATGCCAATTTCCAAAAGGGATCTCAAAGCCGAAAACATAAAATAAAATAAATAAATAAATGAAATATAATAAAATAAAATAAAAGTAAAAAAATTAAAATGGTGTTAATCATATCCGGATTAGAAATAGAAAATTCCCTCGAGGACTTCCATATTTTTTTTCATCAGAACAGAGCCAAATGCACTCTGCAATTCTGAGACTCAAAGAACAATGTAATGGAGTTCCATGATACATCATTCCTAAACTTCCTCGTTCCACCACCCTCAACAAGGATCTATCAAAGGAGTTTAGACAACGATGATGAATTATCACAGGGCATCCTGAAACTCTCTTTTTGGCGTACAAACTTTATCTCTAAACATTAACACCAAAAAAACTCTAGCATGAATGCAATCCAGACGCACAAGAACAGAAGAGAGCAGCTGAAATAAAACTTCAGAGGAAAGAAGGATGCTCCTAGACAAAGAAGAATGCTGCAGAAAGGGGTGAGGAAGGGGGCCCAAAGGTAAAGAAGAATATAAAAATGACTTCTGTACCAAACTTCATTACTATTCAGCTCCATGCCTTCCCCAGAAAGGACCAAATGTTGGGTCACGTTTAAAGAAACTAAGAAAGAATTCTGGAAGTCTTTTCACTGTCCTCTTTTGTACTCAAATTGAGACTTTGAATGCTGAACGACAACTTGTCTTTCATGCCCTCATTCTGAGTTATTATTGGACTAATAAATCCCAACCAGGACAACAGATGAAACAACAGGAAAAAAACCCTTTCCAAAACAATTACTAGTTGACACTTATACCCAAGACTTAACCCAAAAAAGCCATAAACAAAAACATAGAATCATGATAGAGGTACATACAGATTTGAACTTCAATGAGGACATGTCAATGTTGCTGCTCATTCCTCGGCCATCATAATCTCGATCTTTAGCTAGTTCTCGGCTGCAGACCCAACCAAAAAAAAAAAGAAAAAGAAAAAGATGTTAACTACAATTAAAGCAGTACATTCAGTTCGATTAGAATATAATGAATCCAGATGGAACACATGATATCCAGAGAAAAAGCATACAAATTCATCTACACCATTTAAGAAACACCAGCGTTGAGGTAAAATTCACCAATTGGCACATTAGGCAAGTTCACCAAACATAAGGTTGATTCACGAATTATCACATACACAAGATCCTTTTCCTTACCCATCCCGTCTTTCAATTTCGCGTTTTCTTTTCACGTTAGCTTTTCTAGCTTCAAATTCCTCTCGACTCATCAAAGGAGGTCCAGCATTAAACCCCATTCCAAAATCGGCAAGATCCCTGGAGTCAATCATACATCAACAACAACAACAACGACATCAGCGTACTCAGTAGTTCAACCAACCGGCAAGGCAAACTGACTCAGTTAATTAGGCATTATAAATAAAGGGGCTTATTAAAGATCAAATGTACCTCTGAGGCGGACCAAAAGGCAACATGCCTTGACCTCCAAAGGGATCCGGCGGTAAGACACCTCCAAAGGGATCCAGTGGACCAGGACCAAGACCAAAACCCATATAAGGAACCGCACCAGGATATGGGGGCATGAATGGATCCATTCCAGGCTGCATGCCTGTCCAGTAAGGGTTATAAGCAGCAGGGCCCATGGGCATCATGTAGTTCTCAGCTGCAAGGTCCTGGGCAGCTCTCCATTGCATATCAGCAGTTGCCATGCCTAAAGATTAGATCCCACCAAGAGAAGCACAACATCAATTCATTATGAAAAGTTCCATTCAGTATCTGAGTTTCAGTATGTCAACTTATTTGAAGAGATAACGGTCTCAGCATGCATACCAGGCATTGGAACACGAGTTTTCTTCTTTTTCTTCTTCTTAGCTGAAAAGGAGGAAGAGGATATTAGGATGCAAGCGTCAACAAGCAAATAACTCTAGAACGCATACTACCATAAGAAATATGATTCTGCATTAATAATTAGAAAATAAAAACAAATTTACCACTCATCAAGAACTATTACAAAACCAGCACTGGAAAACCACAATCCCACCACACGGGGAAAAAAAGGCGTGGATTCCACATTAATGCCTCCCAGTAAACAATTATAATGGATATGGAAGTTAAAATTTAAATCATACCTGCCTCACCAGGTTTCTGGTGAACTTCTTCATCAGCAAGGGGGGCACTTCCTTGAGATACTGGTTCCTTCAGGCTCATTGACTCATGCGTGGCTTCAGAAGCATCTGCAACTTTTGGTAGTCTCATTTTGTCCATTGTCTGCTGCGTGGCTGTAGCAGGCATAGCCTCCTCTATGACTTCATGTACCTTTGGAGTCTCTTCCCTTTGAGTGGGAGGAGGCATCTGCTCCCCCTTAGAAGCCATTGAATGTGTAGGAGATGGTGCCCTGGGCTGTGGTATCCGTGACTCCATATCTGCACAGAACAAGATGTTATAATGAATGAATGATAAGGTAAAAGAAGCAAAACTTGTCACTAGCACAAACCTTGTATTTGAGAAGCACCTCCACCAATATCTCCACTGCTGTTGTTGGACTCCAATATCCGGTTAATTGTATCCCGCAAGGTCTTGTTGGGTAAAAGATCATCAGCAAGTACATTTGTGGCCCCACATACACAAGCAGACTTTGAAATTATATATTCTCTTATACCTGGAAAAAGAATTTAACAAATCGAAAAATTAATATTCAGAAATGGCAATAAGACATCGGAGTAACAGTTTTAGATGATAATTTCTTCACACGAGAAGTTGTAACCAAGCTAGTGGTTGAAGCTCAAAGGCACGCGCATTAATGATACTGAAATGCAAACAATGATAGAGAATTTTTGAAGATCAACATCAGCAAGCCATACATTTGTCACAGAAACTCGTGAAACAGCACTTGCTTGTGAGCACAGCATCTTTCATAACTTGTTTGCATAAAGGACAATGGAGTTCGGGTGGAAGATCACCAACAGAACGTGTGGTAGGTAGACCCTCAATCTCTTTTTCAAAAGCCGCCCTGCAACAAACCCAAATGTTAACACATGATATTCCACAATACTGGCTAAAACAATAGAATAACAGAGAAGTGTAAAATAAACATACTCATTTGGTCTCAGAACTGCAACAGCTCCACTTGGCAATGCATATGAGCCATCGGGTGTCGCCATTAACATAGATTTTGGGATACCAGTCGGAGGTTTAACCCTCTTAATGTCATAATTAGGATCGCCATTTGTAGGGCAATGTTGAATAAAGTGACCTACATTGAAGTGACTTTTCAATTGGCATACAAGGAATCATGAGATAAACAATATCAAGCAACATGTGTAGAGATATGACATGAATGATCAGAGAGCACAGAATTGTCAGTTATCACAATATCTACATACCTGGAACCTTGCACCTGTGACAAATATAACCCTGGGGTGGTGTACTCCGCTCCAATCCACCTCGACCTGAAAAAGTAACATTCAACATTGGGTTCACAAATAAGAAAACTAAATGGGAAACAAATGATATAGCAGCATTCCGCATGCTATAGTCTCAAAGATTCATTTGTTATTCATGTTAAGACACAGGATTGGGTGGTTAACGTTTCTGAGGTGAAGAGTACCAAAAGTAGAAAAAGAAGACAATAGTAAATTAACTAATATTGCCAATCGGTATAGAAACAAGATAGAGATTAGAAAATCACCAAAACCACGGCCTCTCATCATTCTTCCACCCATACCACGTCCAAAACCTCTACCAGGAGCAAAACCATCAGAGGATTGGCTGAAACTCAAAGTAAGATTCTCAGAGATCACCAAAAAGGCAAAGTGACAAACCACAAAACTACACAGATCCAGTATAAAATATTTAGTGCAAAAGAGTTCTCACCGCTGCCAATCTAAAGCAGGTGTCTCGATCAAGGCCTTGATTTTACTGTCCTCATCGCCGGTACTAGGAGGAGGAGCATCCGGAACAGCATTGCCTGATTGGGTCGGCAATGTTTCCGGAATAGCATACAAATCATTCCCAAATTCATCCCATTCTAAATCTTCAGGCTGCTGGCATAAGAAATTGATGCCTACATTAGCAAACTTCTTTGCGGCTACAGGCCAAGCAAAACATTTTGGGAAAATATCTTACATATTTCACTTCAGAAGAATGTACTCCTATGAGGCCACTCTTTACAGTTTGGTTGTCACCAGTTTCATTTTCCATGTTCAGTCTGCAATGGAAGGCATACAGAACAAACTCAATTAAAGCCTAAATTAACTAAAAAGCCTACATTTAAGAGCTCTCATAAGTTAAGTTAGTCTATAACATAATCTATCTCATGCAATTTTTATCACAGAACGAACTTTTCTAGTCTCAATTGCAACAAACATGTCTTCTACCAATTACAACAGGTCTCACAGAAAGTAACATGTAGCTGAAACTGACAAAAGATACTTTCTAGAGATAATTGAACCCAATGGAACAAACTAGTTTAAGGGATGAGGATAATACTCTTCAGGTTCAGGAACCGGTGCTGTAACTATAGGCATTAGAGTCTGAGCAGGTACTCGACGAACTAAAACTGTGCTATACCTCGGGATCAAAGTTGAATCATCAAAATAATCTGAAATTCAAACATCCAAAAAGCTATAAGAACTCAAAAGCAAACTTTTGATGCAAAAAACACATTCTAAGCAAGTTCAATGTGCAATAAGACAGATTTCAATGGCATGATAGCGGTTATTCACAAGTGTTCTCCCTCTCCAGAATAATGGGGATAAACTAAAGCTTCAAACTTGAAAGAGAAATAACCGTATGATCTGATCTTAAAAGGACAGTCTAGCCAGGATGGAGCTTTATTACAGAGCACTCAGATCGTAAAAGAATCTCTCACAAAATTCAGGAGCACAAAAGCTACTAACCACAGTTTTCTGACAAAATTTAAAAAGATGCCCCCCACCATAGGATACTTAAGGTAACTACAAGCAATAAAGAATCCATGAATCCCACAAACTTAGACTAAATTTTAAGAGCATAAATATCATGATCTGTTTCACTGGCGTATAAGAGAATGTTCGATCTCCGACCACTAAAGTTCACTACAAGTTTATCAGCAAAGTCTCCATTTATCAAATTTACCCCGCCATTCGACAAACACCACTTGCCGTTTCCCCTGCTTAAATACAAAGTACTCTCAAACAAGCAAATCGACACATCCAATCATAAATTGCAGGACTTGATCCCCCATGTCCTCTCTTCAGGAGGTGACTTATGATGTTACACATCATGAGAGTATCACATGTCAATAATTCATTCAGACATTGAATGAAACAGGTAAAGGTTTTTCCAAACCAATTAGAAAAGCTTTTGAAACACAGCTGAAAACAGAAATTCCTAGAGACGGAAGGAGTAACCACAAATTTATAAACTAATACAAAACATCTACGCTTGTGAGCAAACTGATTTCACTAACTGGCTCTTACTCAGAACTGTTCAGGATGAAACCTACAGAATGCACCTCATTGAAAAAAGATAATAGGTTGACAGTAAGAGCCAAACCAACCTTCCTTAGTCTGGGAGTTGGTGATGATGAGGTCAAAATTACCCCTTCTCAACTGCTTGGATTCAATAATTTTTTCTTTCAAATTCCCAACTGTTATAAAGTGTCCATCAATTGGAATTGATTCCTTAACAGTTGAACTTTTAAACTGAAAATGAACAGCCATATTTGTTTTCGGGAATTTCCTTCAAAAACTTTTCTTTTCCTTTTTTTCACAGAGATAAATCAACAACAAACATGAATAATGGCCACCAAAATTTATCGTATGGCCTGTATTTGCACTCCCAAAAAAAAAAAAGAGATAATAATAGTACAAAATTCAAAGAAAAATATCTATGCTTTTTCTTTTCTTTTCTTCTCTTCAACAATCCAAAGAAAGATCAAACCAATTTCTCTTCAGCAACCGGCACGGGACGAATCGATGGTCGCATGGGCCTGATCAACAAAGCCTTCAACTTCTGCGCTGTAAACAGTGCCTCCGATGAGAATATCGATAAGAAAAAATCGATTTTTCCGCCACCAGCGACCAATCCGTCGAATCAGGAAAACACCGCAGATCGATGGAACGAACAAAAGCTCCTTCTCCTTGAGATGCCGCGAGCACCAAAACAGCTTCAGAATCCCTGACGGTAACTTTGAGATTAAGAGCCGCGACTCCAACCGAACAGCTGCAAAACTCAATTCGAATCACGAACCCTCCGGTTCTTCCAATCGATTGCGCCTTTCTCTTCCGAGCAGAGAAGTCGATAAAATGATTACCGTTCCTCTTTCTGATCAATTTATTCAATTTATTCACAACGAAAAATTCATCGAATGAATCGATGCATGAGTACTTGATATCCGGCGAGTTTTGCCCGGTAAATAGAATTGGGGCTAGGGTTCGTCGGATGAACTAAAGAGAGATAAATAGAGCCCCCATACATGAAAAAAAGAAGCTTCTCCGATAATCTGATTTGGATGAAAAAAAATAATGGAGAAATCACCGAAGAAAGGCGGGTTTCGAGGCATTTTATATAAGCCGATATGCAATGAAATCGTGTGGGCTGGGGCCTGGGAGTTGGGCCTGGGGAGCCAAACCATTTACTATTTTTTTGGTAAAAGTCAAACTGTATTACTTCGGACTGAGTTTCTTTACATCAAGGTGTATTATAAAGTAAACTATTTCTTAAAGCCTAATGGTATCAAGTATCGTATGTCGTCATTGCTACTTGTTCTACAAAAATTCTGGATTTTTCATGTAATTTCCTACACTATCATTGCAAACCTATCATATTCAGTTAATCTCCTTGAACCAAACTTTCTTTCATTTTTTTCAATCTATGATAGATAGCAGCTACAATACTACAAATAAGGCTGTTCTTCTCACTTTCCTATATCTCCATTGTTTCAGCAGTCTGCCAATACTTTTCCTCAATGTATTGATATTAAGCTTCAATTCCAGCCATTGAAGTATTTTGCCAATCAAATTCTGAGAGTATGGACAAGCAAAAAATAGGTGATTTGTGCTTTCCTGCTATCCCATAAATAATTCACATTTAACTGGAAACTGCAATATTCTCATCTTCTCGAGTTTTTTTTGTGTTAACAGTCAGTCTTTTAGTACAACCTAACAGACAAAGCTATTGTTTGCTATATTGTAAGCACTCCAAATAAGGTATGCTACTCTATACTTGCTTTTCTCTCCCATCAACCATTTATAATCACTGGCAGTAGTGTAGACCTTCCCTTGATTCACACTCTATTTGTCATTGCTAACCCCAAACTTGATCAGGTCCCTGATCTTAATGAGCTTCTTCCGCTAGCAACTACATCTTGAAACTTGAAAGCATTTCTTTTCTTTTTAAAAAAATAAAACAATTGTATAATTAAAAAATAAAAATAATGGAGTAACTAAACTCTCTTTTCTTTCTTTCTTTTTTTTTTTTTTTGTAACACCGAAAACCCACCAGAGATGGGTAAACTCTTTTAACCTCAATTAATTTTTAATTTTGTTAAAGATTATATGAACTCAACTAAGTTTGAACCATGATATCGTCTTACTAACTTTTCCATTCATGTTTGAAATAAACTAAACATGAAGTGAAATGTGTCTGATTAGGTGGATATCACGTTAATTTGCTGAGTTAAGGTAAATTTGGGTGGAGCTCTTGATTGGAAATCTGGTTTGGCTTGTGCAAGAGGATTCGTGTGATGTTTACAGTTGCCAGTGGGTGTTTTCATTGTGAATATGGTTTATGTGCAATCACGGGTGATGATGAATTATAAAATTTCTTTAAGCAACTTTTTTTTGGGGGAAATTAATAATAAAAAAGTTGAGGTAAAAGAAGATAATTGCTTTGCAAGTGAAAAAAAAAAAAAAACAATTATAACATGCGGCTCAAAAGACCAATTTTACAGGTGAGCATTTGACTTCTCCAACCCCAAATACGATATTATTGATATCCCATTGTTTATAAAATGTTATAATTTGAATTTTTTAAGTTTTGCTTACAATATTGTATCTGTTATAAATATTTAATAGTGCGGGGATCCACAAGTTAGAAGAGTTATATAAGGAATCAACTATTTAGAAATAATATTTAGTTAGCTAGATCTTATCATTATTTGATGTTATCCTTATATCTATTTTGTCTATAAAAGGAGATTATTCTCCACAGAATAACAGACATATCTATTCTCTCTTTCTGTCTCTCTACTTGTTCTCTCTCTCTCTCTGCATTATTCTTTCTCTATAGCTCTTCATATTTAATTTATAACACATTATCAACGTGACTCTCTATCCAACTGAGAAGATTTTAATCCGTAGATCTGGGAGTGCGGTTAATTTTGATCAGATCAAGGAGTGCAGCTTTTCTTGTTTTATAAATATTGGATACAACCAAGTGCTCTTATAATAGCCTTTTCTATTAGAAATTTCTCATATATTGAATTTGCTCCATTTGTAGCAATTTCATGAAAATACTCAAAGGGATTTTCTTCACTTCCTGAAGCAAGTGGATTTGAATATGTTCAAATATTATAGTCATATAAACTGACCACTTGAAGTGGTAAATATGAATAAACACATACGATAATGATTGAGCCTGTCAGTCAAGACAAATTATGGGAACATCACGAACCACCAGAAGTTGGAAATTAGTGATAACTATTTTTCAAACGCTTTCAATGATTGGATGAGTTTACATTCACGAGATTTTTGGATACATAAGTATAATGTCAAATTGCTCCTGTAGTAGCAGTTTATTATTTTTGTTAAATTTACTAATATAATTTTGTTAAGAGAAATCACGAGACCCCTTGATTTGATCATTTCTCACTTCTTGACGTAAGTGGAGAATTACTTTTACGAGTCAAGTTGCAAACTGTAAATCTTATATAACAATACGAAGATCACATATAAAATATGATTTTTCACCCGAAGTGAAAGATTAGTGAAAAAAATTAAGGAATTACTCCTTATGTAGCAATTTGTTTTCTTGTTACTATTAAATAAACTATTAAGTTTTTCTTTGTTGAAAAATTATTAAACTCGTCCAAATTGGACTACTGCATTTCCTGAAGTGGATGCAATTATCAGAAATTTAATAGTGGACAAATTGAAGCTCCAATATAATTGAGAATTGGTAATGATACGAAAAATATTTTTAATCACCAGAAGAGATAGATTTTAATGAAAATAAAATAATCCACCTGAAGTGAAAAATTGAAGAGAGCAAAAGGGTAAAAGATAGAAAGTCCAATTGTTATAGCATAAAAGATCATAAAAGATCATCACATACCTACTTTGTGCTAAAAATATATTGTGACTCTCTATCATAACCAGAAAACTATTTATGTTAACAAAAGTGTTAACGATATTATTATGGATGTTAGTTATATGTTCTCCCTGAAGGTGAACAAATCAAGAATCAGAACTATTTATGGATGGATCACCCTGAAGGTGGTGTTAGTTATCTATTCATAATGAAAACATCTAGTGGTAATCTATTTTATATTTTAGATTAGTAATTTCTTTATAATATACCTCATCGCATACTTTATTATTTTTTATGATTTATGAGTTCAAGAAATGTCATCATTCTTTTATTTGAACACAATTGATTTATTGCTCCTGTAGAGTATTTATATGAATTTCTTCACAAAATTGGACAAAATCTCCAGAAGAGCAGAATTTGCTATAACAAAATACAATATGTGAATGTTCCCTAATTACTGGGAATAAGTACATTTCTCCATAAATAAAATTGGATGAAATCTCCTGTAGAGCATCAGTTATATAATACTTTATATATGTGCTCCAAAAGAGTAAGAATACTTTGATACAATGAAAATAACTGATTAAACAATACTCCTGCAGAGTAAATAAAACTCCATTAGAGTAAATGCTCTTATGAAGAAGGGTTATTTTGACATGGTTGAATAACTAGTTATTTATTATCTCCGGAAGAAAATTTGTGAATTTGACTCTAAAAGAGTAAATAAAACGACAAAATGATTTTGCACCAATGTCAAAAGAATTGGAGAAAAGATTTTCCATTATCTCTTTACTTGTGTAAAAATAATACAATTTCCGAAGAAAAAAAATATCTGTGTATTTTTTTGTGTTTAAATACTGTACATGTATTACTATCATTGGGTTTTATAGTAAACCGAAAGTTTACTAAGGAACCAGAAGTTCATTTCTCGTACCAACAAGTTAAACCAGAAGTTTATATTGACTTAATTTTTGAGAAAATTGGTTTGCCATCCCAGCTTTATTACGATCTATAAAGGGTCAAAGAATGTTGTGACTACAGTGAAGAGCCAGAAGATTCTTCTATATAATGACTTTGTAAATACTTTTGTGTTTGTGTGAAATGATTACCACATTATTATCAGAAAAATTCAGGCTAAATATCTGGCATAATACAATGCATACATAATAACGCCGGTGGGTTTGTTCTCTCATGTTTTAAAACTATTTCATAATTAGGTTATTAACTGGTGTGCTTACGAGATAGCCACATGTATGCTTATTATTAACTTGCAAACCTGAAATTTGTGAATTTTTTACAGAGTTAAAGTGAAGTGCGTATCTATGTATTCTTCTATCATGAGAATGAAATATCAGAAAAAATATGAAACAGTCTTGCAGAATCGTTCGCTAAATGTGTTCAGATAATTAAAATCATTATGTAAGAGAAGTAAATACCTCATATACAATTGAGGATGTTTTGAAACACAAAAGACATAAATGGTATACATAAGACCAAATGGATCTTTATAGATATTCTCCCAAACGTTGGTTTTCAGTCAAAAACCATATCTATCAATCTTCAAATTTTAGATGTGTAGTTTATATTATAAATATTCCACCACAATGCACAAAACGATGGAGCTTCCAGAAGAGGTTAAGAATATATTATGATTATTTGCAACTTTAGCATTTGGGGTTATTGATGTTGGGTTTTACCATTCGAATGGTTTATTGTTAGTTTAACGAGTTAGTTACTGCAAAAAGAGATATATTTGCTACTCGATTGGCTGACAATCAGTTTGACGAATTAATTATCCTAACATCAGGGGGAGAAATGGAAACAACTGATTAATAAATTAAATGGACGATATCATTATCTCATTACAACCTCGATAGCTTGAACCTAAAGTTCAAGAGATAATGTTTACGACCAGATATTTGTAAGACTGTTGCATTCAAAAGGCTGTTAATGTTTAAAATTTTGATGTTACATTCCTGAAGGATCAACTACCACTATTGTTTAATTTAATGTCCATTTGATAAGTGGTAGAACTGTCGATTCCAAATATATGAATCCTCGTAAATTATAAAGTTTAAATCTATTGAGATGGTAAATACGAGTGATTAAATGGTTTTTCAATACTTTTAAATAAACTTTCAGAAGAAGAACAAGAATATTTGAAAAACTTGATGATTGTGAGATCTCATTAATATGGAAAGATGGAATCGATCGGCA